GGAGGACGGCAGCCTTCTCCTGAGCAGCAATGCATCTAGGGACTTGTGGCCTTCAGCAACCAAAATGCTGCAATCTGCACAATAATGCACAAGTGACCCATTGGGAAGTCGATGATGGAGCTGGGTCAAATGCCCGAAAGCATGGCCCCAAATTACTGCACTAGAAAGAGCAAGCTGTGATTGGATCTTGAATTAGGCTTCAGCTTTCGAAAAGCACAAGTGCGAAGTTCTGAGAAGCCTCGTAAGACCGTCCAGCTCTCAAAATGTGGGGTGCTCTATTTGGTACCAAACGAGAGCGCTTCTCCCTAGAGGAGCTAAGGTATGTTTCCAACCATGGGGATTGTCTGGGAAGCGGGTTCGCCAGAATCCAGGAGGGCTTTCGTGGCATTTGCTCGGGCCATGAATACGGAATCCCCTTCATCCAAAACTTAGTTGACACTTCAGGAAGTGTTTGTTAGAGATCAGCATTCTGCATGCCTTGGCAGTTTCAAAGGTTTTTGGTTCAGTGAAGCTGGTTGCTCCTGGGGTGGTAAACCTTGTGGTGGCAAGTTAGCCAGTCACAGTTCATGACTGATTGCATTCGTTGACGGTTGTGATGACATGCTATGCGGTGTATCGTACCAGACGGACACACATCTCAAACGTGTGTCATGCAGGTATCTGTGTGACCAGCTGCAGCACTTTGCGCAAGCAGAGACAGAGTCTAAGCAGGTGAAGTAATCTCCTATGTTTTTAATCAAGGATGATCCTGAAGAAGGGGCTCTTTCTGATGAGAGCCATGATCCTGGGATGAAGTGGCGCGCGCAATGGAAGAATTCTTGCAGCAAGCATGCCTCAAAACTAATAGGAGAGTATTCATGAAGCTGGCCTGTATCATTGTGCCAGTTTTGCGGCCTTATAGGTCAACAGGATAAACCATGGTTACAAAACGTACTCATGAGCCCCCGCATGTGTGCAGGATGCCGTGAGAGAGACCCTTCGCTCACTGGCTGAGTTGATGATCTGGGGGGATCAGCATGATGCGACGCTTGTCGAGTAAGTCAAGCCTAACGCGGTCATGTATCAGGCAGCTCTTCACGCTAGTCACCCTCATGCAGGATACGTGCTAGTCTGACTGGAATATTCAGTTGCAAATGTTCCTTGTTCACGTGCTTGCTTTCCACGGTATCCCTTCCAGTGACTCACGCCTACTCTTGTCGTCTCCCGCCACACACCTCCCCCTGGTTTCAACACTGTTCCCCGCATTGCTTCTTGTCCTCGACTGGTTGATACATCCCCAGATTCTAATCCCATGCTTTTGTCCCCCCTCTTTTCCTGAGTCCTACCCTTCCCTCATAGTCTAGATCCATGCCCCTCCTGTTTGCAGCTTCTTTGTGGACCACCACGTGATGCAGACACTGCTTCGGATCCTGCGCCAGAGGAGCAACCGCAGGGGAGTGGTGGCAGTGCAACTGTTGCAGTCGCTCAGCATCATGGTCCAAAACCTCACGAGCGACATCGCTATCTGTAAGTGGTCACGCTCTCGAGCGCGGAACTCCAGGCTGGCCATTGCTGAAAAGATTGTCAGTTTTTATGCTCTCACTATTGTCCATCTCTTTTGTGATGCTCCGCGCGTGGTTGGAAGGTTGTGAGTCTGTTTGCGATGTCGGAAGCAAACCTAGGCCTGGCCGTTTGTCGGACGATTCCAGTTAGCGTCTTTAGAAGTGATGTTGGCATCATCTGGGTCTTTCCACACTGCTTAGGCTGGAGGGAGCTTTATTGGGATTGATCAGGAATAGCACGCGAAATGTTGGCGTGGCAAGCACCTCCGCTCGACAGTGGACCAATCCACGGGGTCTGCTTATAGTCAGCGGGCGCCCCTGCCATTATTACAGCAAGTCGAGGAGTTGTCTTCTGCTGTCTCGCTCAGTCACGTTCCATTCGGATTCCTGTCACAGACTACCTCTTTAACAACCACCACATGAACGCCGTCATCCAGCATCCCTTCGACTTCACGGACGAGGAGGTCCTTGCCTATTACATCACGTTTTTGAAGTGAGTGCAACCTACAAACAATTCTTCACATTCGTCGACGTCCCAGGACTTTTGTCAATAGCATCGAATCGTGCAACCGTTGGCGTCGTGGTTTGCAAAGTTCCAGAAGCGGGACCGCCAGAGGTGTACTCCGAAACTCTTCCCACCCAAGACATCCAACTATCTCGTAAAGCAGTTGCGAAGGGTCCGAGTGCAATCTCCTTCGTACCCCACAGTGGATAATCGGCCTTTTTCTGAATTGGGCTAACAACTACATTGTTAGAATCGAACGTGATTGAGTCGCTTGCATAAAGAGACGGTATTCCAAGAGCCCGTTTTGCCGTTCTTGGGCCTCAGCGTGCCTTTCCTCTGCTGCAGAGCCATCAGCCTGAGGCTGAACTCTGGGACTATACAGTTCTTCATGAAGGAGGAGGGAGTAAGTTGCGCCGTCTTAGAAACTCAGCAGTGCGCATCTTTTTCTGGCGCATTCTGCTGCCTTTTTACGCCAATACGAGCAACCTACTTCATTCCAGCACAAATCCGTCATTCTTCCAGACAGTCGTGAGCAGACTTCGGGTCGAGGTTGCTGGGTTGCGCTTAGTGGATTCGTAGAGTGACACGTGTCATATTTTTGGCCATGCAGGGCCGGCTGATCCTCCCGCTGTACAGCGAGGCGGTGAAGTTCTTCCATCACGAGGAAGCCATGGTTCGAATTGCTGTGCGGACAATAACACTCAACGTATATAGTGGTAAGCGTTCATTGCTGGTTGGTTTCTTGTAATCAGGTTTTAACTTCACATACGTGGTGTCGAATTGGTGGCAACGTTACATAAGTTCTTGGTCGCAAACGGGCTTTGGCGTCTTTTGCCAATCCAACTCTCGATGTTGTGGGGCATCGGACGATTGAGGACTCGATTGGCAGTTCAGGAGAGTCTTCACGCACATTCAAAAGCTTGGTTCTTGACGGTCCGTCCCATCATAATCGTTCCGATTGCATCGCCCTCTGATATCGCAGCTGTCTGTCTTTACGCGTTAAGCGCGAAATGAAGCGCTCCCGCAAACCATTCCGCATGCACTGCCTTCCAATCAGAATCGCTTGAGAAGCGAAATTTCTAGCCCGTCTCTCTCCTTTGGCCGGCCCACCCCTCCATTGTCGATTTCGCTTCTCAAGAACGTTGGAGAAAGAGGTAACTCGCACAGTGCGCCAGATGGGTAGTTCGATCGTCAAACACGTGGCACTGTCAAAGGAAATGTGGTTCTGAAGAGCTCCAGGCGGCAAGAACTGGGCCCCACTGTTGATTTCAACCCCTTCCGTCAACCCCTTCTTCCGTTAACCCTTCCGTTAACCCCTTCCGTTACACATTTCCGTTAACCCCTTCCGTTACACCCTTCCGTTAAACCCTTCCGTTCACACCTTCCATTCCGCAGTGGACGACAAGGAGGTGCGCAACTTCGTCCTAAGCGACGGGCCCGTCGACTACTTCTGGGACCTCGTCACGTTCATCCGCCAGCAGAGCTTCTCCCTAGACAGCCTGGTCGCCGAAGCGGAGAAGTGCGTCCCTCCCGCCCTCATTTCTGGAATCTGCTTGCCAGCCGTTGCATCTCCCTGCTCACGAACTTCGTCACCCGCCGCTGGTAGATTTGGCGTATGGGCGTTCTTGCTATGTTCCATTCTGTCCGTCTCTCGCTTGCGTCCAGTTCTGGTCCCCAGTCCTGGTCCTTCTTACTCTGTTCGAGTGGAGCAACCTTGACACTCTATCGTATAACAACAAGTGTCAGAAAGGCACCGACAACCCTATTGCACCGCGCGTGTCAAAGCGGGCCTAGCACTTTGATTGACCAGATCTGGCAGGATTGCGCAAGCCATTTCTTGTACTGGACTTACCTCCCATTCCTCCCTCAGGGGCGACCCCAACACGTCTCGCTTGGAGGGCAAGATCGCCGAAGTTGGCGATCTGCTATACTACTGCAACGACATCCTTAACTCCGGGGTGCCTGCCCTCAGCGCGGTTGTGATGGACCATTTACTCACCATCCTAGTTCTCCCCGTGCTGCTCGTATCGCTGACGCCTCCAGGGGAAGAGTCGATGCACTCCTCGCACGCAGTGAGTGTTCCTTTCGTCGCTTTCTCAATAGCGGGATACCAAATGAAATCGTGTGCGAGCTACCAAATGAAATCGTGTGCGAGCTAGCAATCAATGGCTTGGTTTCCCGATTGCCGGGACTTCCATCCTGCAGATGCTTGCGGTTGGAAGGAAACGAAGTTCTTGATAAACACCCTTTTGTAGTTTGCGCTTGCGCGAGCGAGCAGTATTCGGCTTGGTTTCTGGATTGCCGTGAGTTCCGTTCTTTGAACATGCTTGCGGCTGGAAAAGGGCGAAGCTCTTATTCCCTCAGTTCGGTCGCCTGAGCCCTTTTTGGTCCAAGTAACTCTTATCAAGCAATAAGCATTATGATTGAAATAAGTGGTCAACACTAAAAAGCTCATCCGATTCCCTTTCTTGCAGTCCGGCCGCCTCTGCTTGCAGTCCGGCCGCCTCTGCTCCTTGTAACAAGTCTCCTTCTGGAAGGCAGATTTATCCTCTCTTGATATTTCTCTTAAAAGTGTATACTAAGGTTTCGCGTCGACCGAAATGGCTGAGCGCTCATCTCCGGTCCTCCGGACCAATGAGAACGCTTCAATCGATCACGTGGCATGAGAAGTACAGACCTGGTACAGAATTTTGCTAGAGAGGCAGTGTACAAATCTGTACGCGGATCGGAGATGCAAAGCTTGTGAGCCCAGAGGTTTTCGGTCGACGCGGAACCTAAGAGCTCACTATGATCTCTTTTCCGCAGTTCGGCCGCCTGAGCCCCCTCTGCTCCATGTACATACTCTCCCGCTTCCTCACGGCCATTACGTACAAGCCGCTGCTCGACGGCGTCCTCGCCGTTCTCATGAGCACGCCATCCCGGCCCCGCTCTGATCACCCACAACCTACCCCCGGAAGCGGAACCAGACAAACGGGGGATCCCCCTAACATTCGAGGAGGGGGTTCGGAAGCGGAGTCGACGGCAGCAGATGCGTTAGAAACAAACAAAGATTTGGGCGCGCATAAGGAAGGAAAAGAAGACGGGGAGCCTAGTGGGAGGGAGGGCCAACCGAGCAGCGGTGGCGAAGCGACCACTGCCGGGGGGGGAACGGATGAGGGGGCGGACAAACCCCTCCGGAGAGCAAGAAGCTCCAGGTAAAACCTGTGTCTTTCGATCGGAATGCGTTCCTGTGTTGGCCCTGCCTTGCTCTGCAAAGTATCAAGGGCGACGAGCGCCGAAATTCACAAGCTGAAGGAGCATTCCGACCCCTTCCGGGCAACTATAGCAAAGGAGCTGACCGGAACTGGCGGACATAACGCTTTGCGTAAGCATTGATTTGCATGTACCTACGCCTGCTCCGGACTGACTTGGGCGATCGCTCACGGCTGCGCTTTCAGGAACACTTCACAGCGGCGATCTTTTTCTAATTGTGTTGGACCACACACATCTGACATGCAGTCTGTGGCCTGCTTCTAACATTATCGAATCCAGTAAACAACGACCATGCTGCTCAGCGCCTTCCTGTTGCGAAGTAGCAAATAGCCACTGACGACTCCACCAATTTTTTCAGGGAGGTCCTGCTTTCATACCTGGTTGATCCCGACGATAAGCTAGAGTTGGCGGCGCTCTGTACACTGGTGGCGATGCTGCAAAACAGTGGTAAGCCTTTGTTCAGACGTCGCCGCTTTTGTGGTTTCAGGGTTTGAAACTTTCAGGGTTTCAAAAATCTCAAATTCGTACCGTCCAGAGAGCCGGAGAAGGGATTCGAGTCCCTTGGGACCTCGAGATTGGCTAGATGCATTTGATACGTGTTTTGTTTAAGCAGTCTTGGTTCGTGCCGTAGAGAGCCATCATCCAGAAATCGAGGTTATTTACATCTGAGCCTTTCCCCGTGCACGACAGACACGTTGTGAAAGAACAGATCCGACATTGGATCCGACATGTCCTTTCTCGTCGTCTTCTCTTTTCTCAATCCTGAGAAACGTGTTCTTACCCACCTTAGTCAAAGAGGCACCAATCCTAGTTGGAACGCTGTCTCGTCTGTATCATAGAACTGCACCTCAGAACAGAAGTGTTCTTCCGAGGGCAGATCGCCGGGTTTGAAGTGATTACTGGATCATAGCCTCTTGTTCTGGCTTGCAGCAATGGACGACGCCTTGCTAGACGCATTAGGCATCCTGCCAAGGAAGAAACGGCACAAACGGCTGCTGCTTGTAAGTAGTAACCCCTCCGGTAACGTTCTCACGCCGTCGAGCCAATGCAGCGCTTTTGTGAAAGTCACTTTCTCACTCTACGTGATGACATTGATGGTGCTGCTGCTTCTCAGCACGACAAATCTCTCCTGCAAACTTTCTATCACGACATTCGTCTCTCTGCTTAAGAGTCGAGGGGCAAAAGCCAAACCCAGAGATGGAAAACCGCCAGCGTGGCAGCTGAGCTTGAGGGATCATGCCGGTTCAGAACTCAATTCTGCTCTTCAAATTACAAAGTATTGAAGTCTTTGCCCGCATAGGCGCCTCTGCGATCGCCCAGGTTTGTGACCTCATGTGTGACGATCCTAATGACCACTTTTCCTGTTTGTCCAGCAAGCGCTGACGTCATCGGACGCTGACAAGCGGCTGTCCGAGTTCTACGGGGGCCAGTCGGAGCAGAGCGAGGGGCAGCAGCCGGACGGCCTGGAGCGTGCGGACAGCAGACTGTCCAAAGAGGTGAGCTCCTTGGATCCGAATCTTCTTGCATTGATGCGGATCAACCGTGATGATCTGAAAAGCGAGTGTAGCTGCAGCTTCCTCTATCTCACACACATTTGTCTTAAGCAGGTCGCTTGACCCCCGGATTGGAATCGAGCTCTTTGTCACTTGGTGTCTCAAGAGCTTCCCGAAGTTTCTAGTGCGAAGTTTCGCCAAAGCGGGAACGAGATAGTTTCGAGAAACGCTCGAGGAAGAAGCGAAAACGAATGGAGAGATGTCACCGACTTTAGATCGTTCCTCATCATCTTAAGGTGGGAGGGAACGAAGTGGGACACAGTGTCCCTGATGTAAAAGGCATATAGTTGTCAAAATACATCTAGGTAGAATATACATGAGACGGTATACTAAAACTTGAATGTTTTATTCTATTCTTGGGTTAGGGCTCTCTCGAGGCGTCATCCGTGGGGCAGGAGGAGACGGAGGGGGCCACGGGTCCAGCTCCTCGAAACGGGGAGACCACGGAAGAAGGGCAACCCGCAGCCCGGTTACGGCGGCCCTCTGCGTCGAGCCTGCGCGGAAGCTCTCTCCAGCATCGAAACGAGGTAATGCCAGAAACTCGTCTTTTCGTTGGATTCGCGTGTGGCACTGGCCGCTGCTTTCTTAAAGTTGCTATCTTGGCGTCTTCGATAAGTGGGATTCGAGTCGCCTCCAAAGGCTCTGGCAGTGCTCAAACCTGATGCAAAGCACACAATTTTCTCTAGCAATCCTGTATGCCAAGCAGCACGTCCTTCTTGCCCGAGAACCGCGCCTCACCTTGCTTACAAGCATTTGAGCTGCCATACCTGAGGCTCGTTTCAGTTCAGCGCCCGGTCATTTGATTGGCAAGGAATGCTGTCTTTCAATGCGTTGACGTCAGGAGTGAGATCATCAACGTCAGCTTTTCCTCCTCTTACTTTAGGTGTTCGACCTGCTGACGTCCCTCCTCTGCCGGCGGCCTCCCCCTTGCGTTGAAGCCCTGGGTCACGCTGGCTGGTTGCTCCACCAGCTACTCCCGGAAAGCGGACAGATCACTGCTGCCAGGCTCGAGCGGATCAGCGTGAGCCCCTCTGACTACCCTTGCCTGCTGATCGTCCTTAACTTTATCCCGCTAAGCTCTTCTATTTTTTCTCTTACTTCTTATTTCTCAAGTCAAAAAGTGGATATGCAAAGGCAGTCTAGATCAGAAGTGGTAAGGTTGTGCTCCCGTTCGTTCGCCGTTCGCTCTCCGTAGTTGTTGCTATTTTGTACTCAGCTGCTTCGGTCTGCCCCGTGTCAATCTCTGTCTGCCTTTGTCTTGAACGAGCTTTGGTGGATCCACGATATCTACAAAAATGGGACCAAAGAGGCAAAGCTGGCGATAAACGAATGTAGCACGGGGGTTGCCAGTGGTTCCATGATTAGGCAATCACCCAGATCAGCGGTGTTCTGTATGCGTTGATGCAATACCCACTGTTTTCAAGGCAGCATCTACCGCACTGACATTTTTCCAGAAGACAGGACAAAGCACTCACAGCCCGAAGATAAGCATTCCAATTGTGTTCGTCAAATGTCAGATCAGAAGCGCATTCCTATCACCCTAAGTGATGACGCAGCTATATCCGACTGCAGGCTGCGCATGCGGCGTCAACGCGCGATTTGCTGCCCCTGATAGACGACTGCTGGTGCGACCTGATTCCTAGCATCATCGGCGAGGAGTGGACCGTCAGTCAGAAAGGTGGGCTTTCGATCTTGTGCAATTCTATCCTTCTGAGCACTTAACCTGCGACTTTGCAAGTCCGCAACGCTGATTCAATGGTAGAGAAAGGAATGCATGTCCTGGCCCGGTGAATTTTCAAGAGGGTCGCAAAGGACTGGCAGAGTAGTTGTACAATAAGTCGCCGATGTCGACCCTTTTCATTGCGTTGCAAAATCAGCCCAAGTCAAGGGCAGCATCTGTTCGTCCTTATGACGAACTTGGTGTACAGCAAAGAGTGGCGTGGATGGAATGCATCCGTCGCCTTCCTTGGCGACTTGCGCGGGGTTGCAGCTCCTTAACGCCGCATGGCTGCTTATCACCTTCGCTTCTCAACCGCGCCGAAACGGAAATGAAACGGGTTCGTATCCTGAGTCTTCCTTCATTACGCTTGCAGCCTTTGAGACGCCGTCGCTGCAGAAGGACTCCTCCGTCGTGCTCATGCCAGTCCCCAGGCCCTTTGCGGAAGGTCAGTTCTTAACCCGGGTTTCTAACACTTGACCCGTTTTTGAGACCTTTGTCACCACTGCAGCCCCAGTTACGGACTGTGCCAACGGTGTTTGCTGGTTCTCGCGACGCCTCTCTCTTCCACCACAATTGGCAACCAGAGTCTTCGATTCTCTTCATGTGCCTCCTGCCACGCATGAACAAAAGCTCCCGTGGCATGGGATTGGAAACAGGTCTTCTCGCTGCTTCGCCGCTCTCCGTACCTCTGATGAACAAAACGCGTTGAAAGATATGACATTGCGCCTTGTCCAAGCCAAAGACATCTCGACGTACTTCAAACCGACCTGTCTCTACCCTCTCTCAAGATCTAGTCAAGCGAGCCCCCTGTTCGGACACCCTACCCAATTTTCCCGTGATATGCATTGATGCATCTTGATTACCCTTTGCAGACGACGTGTCATCGAGCGCGGTGGGCGAACGGACGCGCGCCCGCGTCAAGACGTTTGTCGCGCTGCATCTGCTGGAGCGGCTCCTCGTGGGGGGGTCCATGCCCCACAGTCCAGCGTTTGGGGAGCCGAGCCGGCCACCCCCCACCGTGCGCGCGGATCGGAAGGGGCTGTCTCTGTCGGGCGTGCAGGAGGGATCGGAAGTAGAGCTGAGTAAGTGTCGGTCGGATGTGCCGGTAACTTAATGCTTTTCGTGATAGCAATGTCTTCTTTACTCCAGGGCTGCTCATACGCAAGACTGATCCTTGCCGTAGGCTGGGACTGTTCCCGTGAGAGTGGGGAAAGAATTCTGAGTACGAGAAGATTAAGAGGAGTGCAATCAAGACTTCTTTGGGTCGGCACGGAAGCTCGACGCGTATTGCAGACGATCTTGCAGCTGATCTGCAGCAGCGGCAGAAACCAGCAGACCGGAGCAGCTCGGGCCTTTTTACCTCGCACCCAAGATGTTGTTTTCGACGGAGTGTTCGATAGTTGCCGTGAAGGCGGAGAGTATGGTATATCGTCGATTTCCGTGGATTTCGCACCTGATGAAATGCAGACTGGCCGTGCAACATCTTACGTGCGAGGTTAAGTTGCCGAGCAGGGTCTCGCAGACCTCACTAACAACGAGCGACACCGCGCCCCCCGAGATCTCATATCCGCACGAACGGACCTTCTTTCCCCGCTGTTCTGACGTCGTCAAGTCTAGATGCAGTCAGGCACGAACTCCTCTTCTCGATACCTCCTCCAATGCTTGATCCGAGTACTCATCCTTCAAACCTTTTTTTGCAGCTGCCGGTGAAGCACTGCCGTGCCGAGTGGCTTTCGAGCGAGGAAAGGAGCGGTCTGTGTACCTGATGGTGGCCACTTCCGGGATCCACGGCTCGCTTCTCTTGGCGGAAGCGGCGCCGACCAGACTGGGCCACGGAGTAGTGCGGGTGACGGCACCTCTAGCGAATTGCAAGGTGAGGCCTCGGTTGGCGCGTGGGCACACCAAGTTCTTCATTAGATCTCGATCGAAAGAAGGGCGAAGAAATAAAAGTGGTGAAACACGTCAACGTGCAGGGGAGTTCAGATGATCGGATATTGCAGTCACCGTGAGTGTCAGGATGAAGAGGAGGCGTGATCATGGCTGTGACATCTGTTGAGACGACGATTGGGTATACTTGTCGGTCTGGTGAGAAAGCTCTGCCAGATCGCTTCGTCTGCCCTTTGCTTTAGTAGGCATTCAACCGAGCCAGAGAAGGGTGACTATCTGAGGAAGTTCGTGTCTTCATTGATTCTAGCTACTCCCCGAGCGAGAACATACGCCTTAATTTGTCTTACATGGGCGTTTTTTGCAGCCGCAAATCGACTCAAAGCACCCGCGGTGGCTGCACCTGCGGATCCGTTCGCTGCGGTCGCCCTCTGCGGACGCTGGTACGATGTCGCCCGTCAAGTCAAGGAGTAAGCGCGTCCCAGACGGACGATGGACGGTCGCTTTTGCGGACGAAGAAAGGGCTGCTTATGCGGCGCGGATAGTCGAGGAGGAAATGGTGATACAGAGGACTGCTGTCAGGGAAACGCTAAAGCCTCTTCTCGAGCACATTGACATGCAGTCCGTAGAAGCTGAAGGGTTGGAGAGCAATTTAGGCGAGAAATATTGAATGAAATCGAACAGTTTGGCAAGAGTCCGCAAAGAAGCAGTCTGATCGAGTCACCTGCTTGGCGCAAGCGCCTCAATCGTACCTTTGCCGCTTACGAGAGACTTTTTGCCAACGTACAAGCATGCGTTTCACATGAGCGACCAATGTTCACTTCAATAATTGCAACGACAAGTCGCGGCCGCTCATGCATGCGGGGAGCTTGCAATCAATCAATATGAGCTTAACAACGACAGACTGTACCTTCCCCGCATGCATCTTGTTTACTCATGTTAACTTGCGAATTACGAACGTACAAAAACGACATACAACAACGACAACAAAAGAACAGTAATGGCATGCATGGGTTTTCAGGGCTTTGGTTAACCAAGTTACAAGTGAGAGCTGCGCTTGCATGGGCTTTTCGCTCCGGCCACCAGTTGTAAGAGTGTAGCTTCTCGCTCTGCAGCTTGCCCCGATCCAGCTAGTCCGACGGCGAAGGGTGTCTCATGCTAGAGCAGCCCATAACTTGACCCATGTTATCTCTGAGGCCCTAGCTTTCATCCAGCTCGGCATGCCCTTCAATCTGAAGCCCGTTCTCTGTCCGACGCCCCTCCTTTAGCTCAAGATACTAGCTTGATCGAACTATACGAACTTTGGAGCATTTTGTGACGCGAGAGCTAGCAAGCTAGTGTGGAGATACGGTAAGCTGAATTGGTGCTTTGTCACCAATCTGAGCATAGTATAGGCATATCACTGCAGGGACATGCATGTTTCTATTCGTGCAGCTAGCGACGTACTCCCGCTGTCAGCGGAGTGGACTCTTTCGATGTTGACTGTTGATGTTTTCACGGTCGGGGATCGCCTAGGGGGAGAAGCGTGGTAATTGGCATTCTCGTGAAAGTGACGTCTCAAAAATGTCCAGGGATCAAGCATGGACGAAGACACTCGGATAATCACGAAGAAAGTCAAAACGGCTGGTCGCCGGCGGGCCCCGGGGTGCACACTCTCTTCCCGCTCCTGTTCCTCCTTTTTGGAAGGGTGAGCGACTTTCAGCCTCAAGTAAACGTCTACAAATGTCTGCCTACATGGATGACCGCGGGCCCGAGTCAGTGCTTTTCTGCTTGAAATGAAGTCAATAGCGACGTATATAGGCCGCCCCATTAATGGGAGATTAGTTCAACACAATGATGATCTGCAAAGCAAATTGCGTATACATGAATTTTTTAGGTCACTATCTACTGAGCCTATAGCCTAGCCGAAAGGTCCGTAGCTTAGCTAGCTAGTTGTTCAAATCATGCAGATATAATTATTGGACGGTATTGGCAATCAATCATGAACAAACGTCTTGCAGCGCCCGCGTGACCGGCCCATGCATGTACACGAAGATGGTACTAAACATCATGCGACATGCAACTAAAGTCTCAAGGACTCTCGGATCCTTCAATTTGCACGCGTGCCCTGCATTCTGGACGTTCACATTAAGATGGAGTAATATTGCTTCATTTTCGTTAAGGAATGGGGGCCAACGGGGCCTCATACAACGCAGCCTCATAGATGGTGGGGCAAGAAGAGACGCATTTCTTCCCTAATAACGTTTCTCTGCGTAGAAACGTTCTACTCATTCCAGGAACGTGAGTGGTATTGCACAATAATCTCTTTTATGTGTATATCATTTACCGTTGTACAGAGACTCCAACTTGGATATTCTTGAAGTCTTCGAGGACCAAGCTTCTTATTGCACTGAGGTTCACTGAATCGACGACAAACGCTATTCAAGTATTCTGAGAGCTGGGCAAACTTTAACTAACATCCTCAGGTTAGCGTAAACCTGCGAAAAGGATTCATCATCTACAAACAGGTTGTATACTCGAATTCTAGTCAGGCTCTTTGAGCACTCTTTGGACAGGACTCCAAAGGGCAGTGCACCCAACAGCTCTTTGTCAAGATGCAGCGTTTGTAGCTGCGGAGGAAGGAAGAACGCAAAGTCGCGGAGACCCACGTTCATCTTTGCAGTCGGAGGGTATTTTTGCAAAGCTACATTCAAAACTTGCAAATTTGGGCAGCCCGTCAACATCTTCAAAAGCGGGTCTATAGTTTCCACTTCATTACCTCTGACTGTAAGATTTCGCAGCTTTGTCAGCCTTCGCACCTTGGAAGGCAGAATGACGGTATCAAAGACTTGCAACTTGGGTGCTTCTAAGATGAGCAACCCGTAATCCACCTCCAAGGCAATGAGATTCTTTGCAACTATCTTCAGAGGATACGTCTTGTATCTGCAAAGGAACCCTTCCTTCCCTGAGAGTCGCTTCAAGGTGTCGGACTTGACTACAATATCCAGTGCACTAGATCCTCCCATTCTAGGGTCTCTAGCACTGGCAGTTCATTGGTGATTGCCTCAAACCCATACTTACTGATCTCCAACTTGATGAGGCGGAGCTTTTTAATCCACAAACATCTTGTTACAGGCGTGATAAATGTCTCATATCTGCCCAATATCCGCAGCTCTTGGACTTTGGAGGGCCCCATCCAGGCCCCGTAGTGACCCTTTAGGGCCTGAGTCTGTGTTCCATGCTGGTTATCCTGATTCGAAACATTGCCATCTAGTTCTTGAAGCCTCCAAAGACCTCCCCAATGGTAATCTGAAATGACTTGTCCAGTTGTCCTGACATACATCCGAGATGGCAGGCAGTGCCGGATTCCAGCGGTGAACAGCTTAGCAGGCACGGTCTTAAGTGCCTCTTGGCTAACACCAAGGACAGAAACTCTAATTCCACTCCCTTCCTGTCCTTACAGGTCAGAAAGGACACCAGAGTAGCCGCATCCTTCTCGTCATAAATGCGCCAAAGAAGCTTGGTCACCCGTGAAGAGGCTGACCTCCACTGCCGGCAGACTAGCCGTGTTTCCAGCAAGTCTTCGCCATTGGCTGCACCAACCATGCTGAGAATGCCCCCCAGGATTTCTTCTGGCAGCTGCTGAATACGAGCCATTGCTGACAGGGTCAGGACTGGGCCGCTCTCTACCGTCGACGTCCTTCTCTACCAAGACCTGCACAATGGACAGGCTCTTTGTCGTTTGACACCTCTGCTCTCACAATAATCCTACCTAGTATACCTAGTGTGTTTTTGTCGAATTTTCTTGTCAATATTTCAATGGATGTAACGTGGTTCGAGGAACCGTCAATCCTGGGAAGTTTGACCTTGTGCAAATGAATGCTTGACAATATGAGTGTTGCAAAGAAACCGTCAAAAGATTGCCAGCGTCAATAAAAAGGCACGAAAAGGCACCGCGTACTTTAAAAGTTGATGTTTTATACTGCCTCGGGAATCGGAACCCAGCTGAGCTAGGCTGGCTGGTGGCAGCTAGAGACAGCATGCTTCATGAAGGTTTGGAAAGATCAATCTCTGAGTCCATGGTCGCAGCGTTCTGCTTGCTTGCTTTGCGTTCCCCTAGCTCTATCTTTGTCCGAATAGCGTTAGCTGGCAGCAGTTGGTCAGCTTGGTTGTTCTAACAGATCCTGCATGAAAAATCAGCTACATTTCTTGCCGAAAGAATCGGAATTTGATTATCGGAGGGCAAAGCCAGCTGTGATCAGAAATAGTAGTAGAGATCCCTGCACAATTGTACGACATTGCAGCCAAAATGGTTATTTGTGCACTTAGTGCATCTCAAGTCCCTGTCATAAGCCTAGCAGACGGCCAAACGAAAGCTAGCGTCGCTGCAGCAATTAGGGAGGTAAGTGGCATAAGCGTGCACTTATGAAGCTGAGGTAGCGTCCACACGATCAGAGATTGATGTTCTTGAATAAGGGGATAAAGACGATCTTGAGCTGAGGCAATGCTGCTCATTCCCCATCTAAATTGAGGTAGGGCAAAAGATATTGTAATGTCATAAGCCGCAGCTGCGGGTGCAAAATAGAGTCAGTACCGGCATCAGCAGAGGCTGGAGTTGCAAAAACAACTTTACTGACTCTGGCAGAAGTTGGACAGGATGACACCAGTAGAGTCTCATTTGAGCAGTGAATAGAATTGTGTGCTGTCCTCCGTACCTCCTTTGCTTGCCACATGCTGAACGTTTCATTGAAGTATGTATCAGGGGGTTGTCAAAGTTCCCTGCGTGCTGGGCAATCTGTGTCCAAGGGCTGCGTCTGGAGTGGCAGCCCGTTGAGAATGTACTGCTGATGATGAAAGCTGATAATCACTCGCTTCATCCCAGGCTTGCACCAACCTTGGCTTCTTTTATGTCAGCGATCATGGAGTTGACGAGAGCCTCGTGCAAGCGGCATTTGAGCAATGCTGCTTGTTCTTCAATCTGCCTGAGGTGAGGCATAGAGAACACTCATTCAGAAGTTCTGGAGAGTAGTTCAAAAAGAATTTCCGACCATGCAACATCGCTGGGTCTTGAACTTGACATTGTTTCCTGCAGACCTGTGTGCTCATTTGATCTTGTACCATTTTTCCTGGACGCTTTTAGAATGACAAGACAATTGTAGAATAGTTGTCCTGTAAAGCCAGTCCCCATAGATGACACGTCCTCTGTTCTGACCCAGGAGAAAAAGCGAAAGTGCTTGCAAGACTCAAACAATCGAGGGTACACACCGCTGGCGGAACAGATGCTTGATGCGTCGAGACAAACTAGAGGGGATACAAAAGAAGGGTACTACATGGGACGGGAGGTTCCGCTGGACCATCCAGATGCCAGCAAGCCCCTTCATGGGCCCAACGTTTGGCCTGACCCAGGTATAAATCCTAATGTTGCGCGTTTTGTTGAGTGGTTATTGGAGAGATGATTGAACCTGCTCAAAGATCATAACCGTTTTCCATTCTCTCGTCTGGAAGGATGTTAGACCTGTGCAGCTAATCTGCAGCTCATAATGGCGGCAAAGCAAACGCAGCTTGTGGCTAACGATTGCTCAAATTCAAATCTGCCGATCAAACAGGTGTGAAGAAGCAAGTACGTACAAGAGAAGGTGCCATCTGAAGCGAGTACGTAAAAGAGAAGGTGCCATCTGAGATGCTGTCGTTATCTCCTGGCCTGGTTATTTGAAGCCAATACCCTTGTTTAGTAACAGTTCTCAGCCATCTACTTGTGAATCCCCTGACACTCCAGGAGTCCCAAAGCTCTAGAATCACAACCTGAAGTATCACGATTGTTCTGTATGATATAATACAAATGTTGATCATTATTTGCTTCAATCATGAAATCTGTCCTTGCAGCCCTCCTTCCGGACTGGCGGCCCACCATGGAGCGCTATCAGGCCGCCATGATCCAGCTCGCTTTGAAGCTGACGGACTTCATTGGCTTGGCACTTGGATTACCAGAGGGCTTCTTCAAAAAGCCCGGCATGTTTGATAACCCGATGACAGTCTTGCGGCTCCTCCATTACACAGGTGGGGTCACTAGAACTCAGAATCAGTGTGGGTCGTTTCATCCTGTCTGGTCCTCTTACCGCTGCTGCTGGCGTTATGCTTTCCAAAAATATTGATAAGGTCATCGAAAACTTGGTTCCATCAGTGGTTATTACTTGCCTAGGGTGCTGATTAGAGTACTGCCATCTCAATTTCATCGGTTCGATTATTTTCCGTTTCCATGATGACCGCACCGCTGACGCACGGGCATATGCATATCTGACATCAAGACTGTGCCCGCCGTTGAACGTCTTCAATAAATGAAGTCCCCTTTAAACAGTTAATAAAAGGAAGAGAACCTGAGACCGGAATCTGCTCAAACCTGGCAAGCACATCGGTCAAGAGTAGAGTTTTAACTAACCAGATTGCCATATTTGAAATGGATTATAATTGGGCTATAAGTGGGTTATGGTCGGGTTAGAAGCTAAGATTGGCTTATAACTGGTCGGGTTATTGTTTGGTTGCAGAGGAGAAGTCCGCGCCAGAAGAAGGCGTCTTCGGCGCCGGCGCCCACAGCGACTGGGGAATGCTGACGCTGCTCAAGACGGACTCTGTTCCGGGCCTCCAAGTGAGTCTCCCCCTCCAGCCTGTCCCAAAATGAATACCTATCAGGCTGGTCCAGAAATCTGCTTTCGACCGATGAGGCTATTCACGTCGGTCGAGCTCTGTGAAGGTGCTGTTGAGAGCAACTGAAGCACCGTTTGTATTGTGTGGAACAGATGACACGAGGGCTTATCCAAACAAAGCCTGTTCTTGAACGCCTCTTCTTTCGACTTGAGTTCGTCGCGAAAGTATGTCGGTGACTACGGATTACCATCCGACTTGCTGATGACTTGCAGGGGGTGGATACTGACAGGACTCCGAAGGGTCTTCACGACCGCTATTATTTTCCAAAAGCATCCGATCGTTGGTAGCTCGGGTTTGCCTTCTGGGCGACTTGATGCCTTTCTCTAGAATTGTTCCTTCGACACTTATCCCGGAACCGCTGCCTAATCACACACGTCCCGAGTTTTGCCGCAAAGTGTTGGAAACTGCCGGGAACGCCGCAACGTGTTAGAAACTGCTCGGAAACGATTCTCCATAATTCCGCAGATCTGCCTGGAGAAAGACGCCGAGAATCAAACGTGGCTGGACGTACCCCCCGTCGAGGGCGCTTTCATTGTCAACATCGGGGACATGCTCGAGCGGTGGAGCAACGACCTGTTCAGGTAGGTACCGCGGCACTTGCCACCACTCTAGTTTGCCACCAGTCACGGTTCAAGTCGAGAATTCGTACAAGAAAGGTGGCTGCGCAGAGTGCGTCGCACTGCCGTTGCAAGATTGCGTCCCAGTCGAGAACGATATAGCCATTCCGAGTTGAGCATATACTAGGGGTTTCGACACACGAATTCCAACTCTTTGTCGGAGTGCGGGAGACGAACCGACCGGTAAAACATTCGCTAGTTAGATACAGGAGGAGCGGCCTGTTGGAACCCTCCGATCCCGCTTCGTCTCGCTTGTGCAGCACCAAAGCCTAAGGACACGGTTTTCGGAAACTGCAGAATGTTAGCGTCAGCTTTGGACTCTGATCTCGAAAATACCGGTAGAGGCCCCTGTTTTGTTGTAAAACGGCACTCCTCTCATTGAACATCCGATGTGAGGTCCTCTAAGGGTCCGACTGCCTCTGATGGAAAGCAGGAAACGATAGCTCCTGTATCTTCGACATCTGGTGTTCTACAATGACACTGTGGATGAACGCGAGTAGATTGAAAAGGGAGCCGTGCCTTTCTGTTCTTCGCCGACCCCTACTTCACGCATTTTGACCCGTCATGCTTTGAAGCGTGCGAACCAGGGGGCTTTGGCAGGGAAAGCTCGGTCAACGAAGGACTCTGTGGAGAGGATTGAAGTAGGAAAGGCACAACCTTCGACAGTCTCTGACCAATGTCTGGGCTTAGAGGGTTCTGTATTTTAGTAGTGAGCGCCTGAAGTCAAGCGCCGATCGGCAGTTGATAAAAGGGCTGCATCGGGTTGTTGTACTTGGGGGAAGGTTGACTGCGAGTCCTTCTTGGAGCTACGGCGTTCAGCCACTTCAGCAATTGATGCTGCTTGACCTTATTCCAATCACGAAAGTCTGCGCAGTACGCTTTCGGTTCATCAACAGACAGACTTTGCATTGAACAAGCCCGTCGCAGCCGGTGTCTCTTTGGCCCCCTCAAACCCGCCACTTGACTCCTTGGAAAATCCTTCCCGTGACATGGGTTGCCCTGTACTGTGGAGGCATGATGCTTTATCCGCTCTTCTTGAGTAAACAGTTAACCATGTGCCTCTGTACAGATCCACACTGCATCGGGTGGTTGGCCGTGGGCAAGAACGTTTCTCGGTGAGCCGCATAACGTACAGATCTCCGTTTGTAACATCTGCTTGGGGTGCCGGTTCTTTTGATGGAGGACACTGCCGGTGAATCTTTCAAGCAGAAAGCAGGGATGAAAATTTGAGGGGTCCCTGACCTTGAACTGGTTTAGCCTCCTCTCTTTCGGAGTGTAAGGGTCGTCGTGTGCTTAGATCGCTTGTCTTCTGCCCTTAGCATCCTCCAAGATTCCAGAGCATCCAAAGCGCTTGCGGAAGTCGTTTGCGTTTCCAACAAATGCGACCCTGCCAACTCGGTCCGTGATTATTTGTTGCTAAAATGGACCGTTGAAACGCGTACTTCCGCAGTGCACTTGAAGCGGAACGCCTCATGTTTTTCACAAAAGTGCTACGATTGGTGGCCGTGGAAGTATCGGACAATCACCTTCAAAGACCATGCTTGTCGTAAGGCACAGCTGTTTTGTATACAGATTCCGTTCTTTTTCGAGCCCAACTTCGACTGTCTCGTGGAGTGCCTCCCCCAATGCTGCAGCCCCTCGAATCCCGCGAAGTAAGCCACTTCTTCTGAGCTTCGGACTTGTGAACGCAAATCTTTGCACTACGACCCCCTGAAACAGAGTTACCAGTTCACAAAGCCCATCTTATGTTCGCCACTTCAGGAGTCAAGCTTAGGGAGACGGAAATGCTGCCAAACACTTGATTACTCACGAGTCCAATATTGCGGCCTGCTCCATGCGAGTCGTGTCGTTTCATTTCACTGCTTGTTGGTTTCCCGTCGGAGATACTCCTCGTTTGGTGCACAATCTCCTTTTCTTTTTGCTAAAACGCAGGTATCCTCCAGTGACGGTTGGCGAGTATCTCATGGGCAAGCTCAAGTCCACACATGCCGGCTATAAGGCATGACGAAGGCTCAAGACCGACGTGTTGATTGCGGGGTCCACGCAGCAGCGGTTGAAGGACACCATGATTGCTAGAAGTTGCTTGTACCGCTTACTTGCCACTCACAGCAAGCATTCTATTGTTTTGCGAAGTGGGGCACGGATGCCTACGCATGTGTTATAAAAGTTGCGCCTTTCCGTACAAAGCTAGATGTATAGATGCTAGGGCTATAGGAGGCTGAAGCAGTTATGGTTAGTAGTAAGTGTCCAGAACGCCATGGCACACCGCGATCAGAAAAAAAAGCACTACTGCCGTTAGCAAGACTTGTATTTATGTATAAGAAATTATAGATCATGCAATTAACCGTCAATCTGATAGAGAAACAATGCTCTGGGGGCCGAGCTGGCTTTGAAAGGAAAGGACGACAGTGCGCACTGGATGCCATGGTGACGCACGTTGTATTAGGTAAATCGATCCTAGTCGGGCAACTAGCCAGAATTGCGGACTCACTAGGAAGAAGTTGTGTGATTCGAATATAACCTTAGTAAAGAACCAAGCTCTTGTTCTTCGATCAATGGTCATCAAGAGCCAATCGCGTGGGACGGAGATCGATCTAGGATGCAAGAAGATACACCGGTATCACAAGGATAGAATATAAACGCCCTCTATGTGTACGCCTATAAGCAGAATCAGCAATTGGCGCGGATTAAGTACTCGTGATCAGCGGTTCAATCGCCCACATCGGCGACCTACACGTATCGCCACTGCTTAATTCTTATTCACGTATGCAACTTGTTGAAAACTTTTTTGGCGCTGCGATTTTGAAGACTTCTGTACTGGCGGCTCTGCCCAGTGTTGTTTGTATAAGTCTACGCTATGCACCGCGCTGGCATGACAGTGACTCGCTAATGCGTCTATATCACATCAGCCTAGGTAGCCTAGACCCCAGATTCGTGTGAACTGACGTGCCGACCCTCGTGGGCCACAGTGCAATCCGATCAGGCCATGAGCTCCGTGCAAGCACTTGTTGCAAACTTGGTGAAGCTTTTGATCTCACGAGTATATGCGGGACACGAATGCGAACTTATCCCACGTTTAAAGCGATGACAGAGACGAATGTGGATCCGATCGTGCAAAACCGATGTCCTCCTTTCCTACCTAATTACAAGTATGTACACCTTTGCACTTCCAATGATGACCTTTGACCGTTTCCAGTGGTTCACATGGCGACTGCTGTTTTTGAAGCTACCCTGATGCACCTCTACCGAGGCTAGCGAAACTAGGATAAAAGAATGTTGTGACATTTGAGAACCCCTCACCTTTGCGTCTCATTGTGCACGCCCGCTGCGGACGCTTGCATATTCTACTTTTACAAGTTGAGGGTTAAAGAACACCCCCGGTTCGTCTGGTATTGATGTGTCCTAGCTAGTGCCGTCTACATCATCGCTTTCGTCGCTGCTAGTCTCCTTGCCTCCACCCATACCCGGAAACATGAAAAGAAGGCCGCTCGACGCCTCATCATCCCACTTCTGTCTGAGCCCCTCCAGTGCTGATGATGCCGCACGCGCGACAAGCTTGTTCCGATCGTTGGAGAGACGCTGCCAATCAAAGACGGACAGATGAGTCGTCCATCATAACTCTTAACACCTCTTGTATGCCCCGAAGGTTCAGCCTCTCTTTCTTTTCCCTCCGAGAACCACACGGCCAGAATCTGCAAACAGTCTACAGATAACGAGATGAAAATAAGATGGTAACGAGCTTCGGACTTGAAGCGCCAGTATCAATGTACAAAGGTCTTCGACGACTGTTCGGATCACTTTGATCAACCTTTCGTGACATGCAGTAAACCGCCGTTTGCAGGAACTAAGACCGACTTCCCTCCTCTCCATCAGCCTTTTCTAGGAACTACCTTGATGGACATAGTTGCCCGGACTTGCCCATCTGTCTACATGTGTAGTACATCGTCCGAGCTAAATGCTTTCAACCATCTGAGCACTGCTTTCTGCATTGATGAACGACGTCTTTCCATATTGAGCTAGAGCCCCTCGGTAACCTGAGTCTCACCTCGAGGGCGCTGATGCCCGCGTTCCCGAGAGCCCATAGCGAGGGAGCAGCCGCCAAAGCCTCTGCCAATGCTCGCCTGCATCAAAATGGTGAATAAATGATCAAAACAATGAATCTGCGGGACACTTTCAGTAGGTAAAAAGCACCGCTTATGGAGACGGCTAAAATTTGGGGTGGGGGCTAAAGTCAATGGTGATTAACATACTTTCAGGGTCTTCTTTGGACAATCCAGGTTGCAAACCAGAAATTTTCTACAATGTAACCTTATGCGAACGATTGCCGGACCGCGGAGGAGCTTCTGTTGCCTGCCAGAACTCCTCTTATTGTAAAGCGTTGAACCCAATTCTCGACCTTTCTCGTTTAGCAGTTTCTAAAACCCGAGTCGTCTTTCAACATTTCAGGCCGCAGACATGCACCTCGCAACGTGTCGAAGCCTGGACCTAAGCGCGGAGTGCATTGCATATAGGACCATCTCCCGCACGTGGCTGACATGGGGTCCCGCTAAGCTCCAGCCTTCTGGAATTGAAACTTAATCTTAACACGCCCAAGAGCGCGCACTTTGTCCGCCTTTCTTCCCGCCGAATGTAAGTAGCTTTCCAATCTTGTTTTGCCCCTAGGATGCGAGAGAAACAGAAAGGCCGGATTTGGTGCCGCTTCAGCCTCGATATTGAACGCTGCCTCTCTGCTCTTGGTCCACTTTTACCATCTGGCGGTGCTGCCAAATCGTGGACCAAAATCTCCATCATTCCGTACACAAGCGAGACCGACAGCTCAGACACGAGCACCACATGCTGCCACCTTCCATCGCGTCCGAGTTCGTACCGGGGGTTCCTAGTCCACAAACCCGCAGGACAATCCTCGCATCCAGATCCTGAATACCTAGGAATTTGAAGATGCACCGCAGCCAGATTATCAAGTTCCAGGAATTCTCGACCATTGTCGAGCCCAAAAAAACTTTCGCAAAGTCCAACCCAAATCCCAAAATCGCATACCTAGTTGCCGCGTCGGGCGAGTGGGACGCCTCGGTCACGAGCACTGCGGCGCTGCCCCCGTCAGCTTCGTCGAAATCCAGCAGCGCCGCCACAATTAGCTCCAGCTCTTCGCTGTCCTCCGCACTGGCCGTGCTTTCTGCTGTCTCCTGGGCCAGACTGCCCACCACCTCCAAATACGCCGCCTGCAGATAAGTAGAGGTTAACAGGGGTCATAACCAAAGTTTGACCGAATTTTCAAACCCATCTTTTCAAGCGCTGCTTTCGCTGTCCCTCAGCACTGACAGCGCTCTCCGCTGTCTCCTGGGCCAGGCTGCCGACCACCTCCAAATATGCGGCCTGCAGAATCACCTTATGATAACCAAGTTATAGCCGAAGCTTGACGGAACCATCTAACGAGATTTGCAACCAGCACCGCTACAAACAGCTCCAGCTCGTTGCTGTCCTTCGCACTGGCAGCTTCCTCCGCTGTCTGTTGCGCCAGGCTGCCAACCACCTACAAACAAGCCACCTGCCGTGACCCACATAATAACCATGTTGTAACCCAGAGCTTAATCCGTGTACAACAAAACAATAACCATGTTGTGACCAGAGCTTGACCGAACCGTTCCAGCTGTCATTCGGACTGGCAGGATCTCTGCTGTTTCCTAGCTAAGCCGCCCCCAATCTCCAAGTATGCTGCCTGCAGATGACGACAAGTTAAGCCCATTATGACCAAAGCTTAACCCAAGCGCCTAACCTCAACTAGGGCCACACCAATCACCTCTGCCCATTCACTGTCCTCTGCACCGGTGAAATCATCAAATCGCGGTTTCTGACCGACTTTGAACGACTGAAAGGATCAGTTCGGACATAGAATGAATCTTTTCACTTGGAACGTTCACGTCAGTAGACTTCGATGTCGCCACGTCCACCTCAAACTAAACCGCCCGCCAAACCCACCTGCATCTCTGCCGCCTGCTCAGCCGTACTCAGTCTAGTTTTCGACGAGCGCGCACCCTTCCGCTTGGACGAGCCGCTCTTAGCGGCCGACTTCGCCTGGATGAGCCGCGTGAGCCCCTCCTGGATCGCTCTTACTGACGTGGCAGCAGCGTACGCGTCCTCCATCACGCGCCGCCGGGCGCGGAGGTCGGCGAGCCGCAGGTCCGCCTGAACATGCAAACCGGCGTTAACGAGGGCCACGTTTCACATGGCCCTGCTGTTGCAAAAAGGGCTTGAATCGCAACTGGAAAGCACTGCGACTTTGGCAGCGCGTGCCTTTCTGAGCAACGGCTAGAGCTGGATCGTCGCCGTAAGGAATGGACTTCCGATGGGCCGCTTGAATCCGGATCCTGGCATGCAAGAAACAAGTTCGAACTTCTCGAATTGAGAAGGTAGAGTTCCTGATGGAAAAGGCATTGGCGGAAAACCACGGGAAAGCATGTCAAAAAGTGCACATCTTGTATCGAAGGTGGCGCGGTCAGATAGAGAGGCTCCAAACACGAAGGTTGCGCCAGACGCCCTTGGACGTAGAAACGCATCGATCATGAAAGCCAGGGCTGAAGATACGGGTGATTGAGAGAAGGATGATCGTAGGTAAGGCTGGAAGTGGAAAACAAGGGTATATGCCTGGAAAGACAGTGAACCTGGCAATAAACGAGGCGTCAGCTCTGCCATCGTTGCAATGGCTCATGGACAATGGAAGGCAGAACTTCCTGAACCTTATGGTGGAAAAGCGAATAAGAAAATGACCGCTTATACAATCAAGGACCACAAAGGATTGGTTGAAATACTGGGCAGAACCTGCGCCGATGCCTAGAACGTCGGTGTGACGTTGGAAAGTAGGATCCTGGGTTTGTAAAAGTATTTCAGTTCAGATGTCATTCATATACTACATGGAAGCGAAAGGGAAAAAAAAGTGAGTGGGACTACAACCAAAGAGTAGGACTTTCGCACAATAATTTTCCCACTGCTTTTCTGGCTGAAGCCCTTCTCCTAGAAGCCCGATTCGGTACCAGCAAAAGCCTTCAATTAAAGTGCCCTCACCTCAAGCGCCCCGTCACTCCAGTGTTCCTTGCCTGCGATTGCAAGGCTGGCCTCGACCCCCAGGGCAATGTGTCGCAGCCGGCGGGCATCTGCCTTGGCGCGCGTGTCCAGAAGCGCCATATCCTGGCGCGCCTTATTGTCCAGCTCAACAAAACCCCTGAGTTAAAAAACGGTTTAGATATCCGATTCAGCATTTGGTGCTTCTGATGTGAAAGGTTCAGTGAAATGAGGTCTGGTGTTGCGCGTCTGGTGAAAGAGCTCTCAGATGGAATGTGGCCACTTGGCTTCATTATGCTTAACTACGGAAAGTTGTGGGCGAAAAATGGTCGCAGGAGGTTTGGAGTTGCTATCCTGGGATGCTCAAAGACTTTCGGGCGTTGACGGTCTTCCTGAAAGTGCACACAGATGCTAACAAAAGCAGAATAAGAAGGCTGGATTAGATGGATAAGGAAAAGTTCAGGCGTTGACAGTCTTCCTGAAAGTGCAGACAGATGCTAACAAAAGCAGAAGAAGAAAACTTGATGTTGGCTGGATTAGATGGATAAGGAAAAGTTCAGGCGTTGACAGTCTTCCTGAAAGTGCAGACAGATGCTAACAAAGCAGAATAAGAAAGCTTGATGATGGCTGGATTGCACAGCTCACTGAGCGGTAAAAAACTAGAAGTCTTTCTGGGTACAAGTAGAAGAAAAGTAAGGCTGTGGGACATTTTGTGTAGTCCAGGGGTTCTGATGATGATGAAGAAAGGTCAACGAAAAGGGCAGGGACTTTCAAGGTGCTGAACTCGGAAAAGTGCATGTAGGCTGCTTGAAACGGAACCTGGTGCACCACCATTTCAGCAATTACAGGGAAAAACTTTCTGAACACATGGTGCACAACTACAATAGATTGCTTGTACAATCCTAGGAACTCCAATACAGCCTCTGCCTAATCAAGTACAACCATGTATATGTCTTGTTTTGAGGATATCTAAGCTAAGCACTTCTCTGTATGATCAGAGCCTAGTTGCACAATATCATAAGTGCTGCTTTGAAGGCTAAGCTGCATGCCTGGCTTTGGCATGGTGCCACCGACAAAATGTGGGTATATGCCAAGAGGCATACTAAGGCATCCCACATTCTCACGAAGCTTCCGTTCCTAAGCTTTCAAAACATACTTCTTTCTCCAACCCTGCACACGGCGCCCGCTGCTATGACAGAGCGTGAGAGGGCGTGCTGAGATTGATTAGCAAAAACTCAATTTTGTCAAAGTATCTTGACCTCATCAAGAAACTCTGCTGCCTCTTGGCTGCCACCAAGTTTGCTGGATAGCTTCGCCTCTAGACTGGCATCAAGTCGGCTTAACCAGCTTTATAACCACAATCGATGGAGATCGACTTTGATGGAGATCGACGACAAACAGACTAGTAAATGTACATGATTGTTCAGCACTTCCAGACAGCTGCATGTCATGCACCTTACCTTTGCAGCATGCTCAGATCATTGCGCGCCCTTTCATCTAAAATTATTGCATCCTTCCGTGCAAATTTAGCTGCAGTTGTGATCCCAGGCCAGGGCCTCGGACATCTGGCGCTTCGGATGCTCCGTCTGCGCTCCTGCTGGCCAACTCGGCGCCCATCCCCCTCATCCCCTTGCTTGAACACAAACGCACGACAGAATCTAGGTGGCAACCCCTCATGCTTGCGTACCTTTGGACAGATTGGGAGGGGCCGGGAAAAGAAGCTGGTTTTCAAGCAGAGAGAAGGTTGTGCTCTTAGGTGCAAGGCGCCCTTGCATGATGTCAGTGTCGGATAAGTGTCCGTGCAGAGTCCCTGCCCGCTGATGGAAGCATGCGAGCCGCTGGCGGCCCGCCTGCTTGCAGCTTGCATTGCACCAGCTGTGCAGGTGGTCTTCCTAAGGGAGCCTAAGGGAGAGCAGCTGAGAATAGCTGGCGGAAGGACTGGGAACTTGGAAGGCGCCTGTCGCCCGTATTACTACGGTGAACGGACGCCCACCCACTAGGACGTTGAACCATGCAAAGCAGAATGCAAGCCTTCCATGCAAGCATCACGCCATTGCCAGCGAGTCCCGAGAGCAATAACGGTACTCTGCGCAGGATATTTTCTGTCCTTGCTCATGAAAGAGAATGCGGCTCCTGCCTTCCCCCGCCTTCTCTTCGAAGACGACCTTCTTCCTGCGCAGCACCCAGACCACGTGGACGTGGCACTGTGGTGGCCCCTTCCAAACTGCATAACTGAGCCGTCGGATGTCCCTCTCAAAAACATCTCGGCCGTTCGAGCTGTCTGTTAAAATGCGCGCGCGAGGTCAGGCTCAGCCCGCTCGGTCGGGCCGGGGTCCGTGGGCACTGTACTACAGGCTTCGGTACCGTAGTAGCCTAGAGAAAACGTCCGACTCGCGGCTCGAGGCGGGAGGGAGGCGGGGATAAGTTCAGCTCTTCAACATGCCAGGACATGCTAATACTAGTACAGGTGGACCGCAGAACCGCAGAATAGCTGGGGGACGACCAAGAATCGCAGCGCTGCCGTCCAGATTTTGACGTAAAAAAATGAACGCTCGAGATCTTTCGTTTATTCTCACTTAGTCCCGGTTTGTACAAACCCTAGTATCGGAACCTGTCCTGCCAAAGTTTGCGACCCCCTAGCTAAACTTTGCAGACTGGAGTCCTTATGTTCAGATTGGACGCGGTAGCGCTGCGATTTCGTCCATCGCGAAGTTCTGCGGTCCGCCTGAGTACATGTCTACCTAGCAGGCTACGCGAGAAATAATGCGTTGTCTGTATGTCGACCATATTCTCAATCGAAGTGGCTAAAGTGCTTTTAATTTCACTGCACTGGTGCAAAAGTTAAGGTTTGACAACATTGCATTGCAAAGCGTTGAAGTGTTCAAATATGTCAGCATGACTTGGCAATATGGCAAGCTTCATTGCTTGGAGCATCATGGTCATACTTGGTGCGGCGTCGCCGTGCCCATGACGACACGATTTGCGAGCCACACGACTTGACCGTGCCACAATCGGAATGCTTGATATGTTGTCGAAGTCATTCGTCTGCCGAGTTCCACAAATAGGTTGATGTTGCAGCTTTGACGTATCTAACGTGCTTGATTGTCGGCACTCCTCAATCGCTTCTGCGACGGTTCACCGACTTCTTTCTTCACCGGCTTCAATGTGGTCACCTCCTACGCACAAGCATGATTTGCATGTCAGACAAAGCTAGTCCAAGAAGAGAGTGAAAAACTTCGAAGCTCCAAAGACTGCATGTCAAGGTGGCGTGCCTGAAGAGCTAGGTTTGGCTTCACAAGATGACGTGCCTTAAGTGCCGAGATTGGCTTTCCTTTAGAGCAGAAGAATGAACCGTAGACGAAATTGGAGCATTAAACGTGGTAGGACAACTCAAAACTTTCAAGAAGGAAAGGATAAGAGCTTACCGAAGCAATTTTCATCCACTTCTCTTTCTCAGCGCTCTCTGCTTCTTTCTCTCGCTTGAGCCTCTCTATCTCCGCCTTCAATGCAAATGGGCACTTGTCCAGGTGTGCTTGCATGTCTTTGCGCTGTGCTTTTTCTGTGCACCCAGCCTTCATCATGTGGCACTTCAAAACGGTCGCAATGCATTCTTCCTGAAAGAAAGATACAAAGAAGTGTTCGTTGACACAAGCCCAAATTGCATGCCGTTTGCAAAACTGCAACATTTCATCATCCTTATGAAAGGCACGAATCCATCCGCGGACAGTTACATTGTATTCGGCTAACTTTAGCAATGAAGGAGATCAGAGCAGAAGCTCCTTATATCTGTAAGGAAGTAATGACTTGATGTGTGATTGTATAAGGGTTCAGGGTGGTTTTACAATGATCCCCAATGAATCTTTATACCCCTTACTTGAGACGAATTCGACCTAAAAGTACACAAAATGCGTTCCAACGATAGACTACCTTGCATTCGCAGGTTTGTTGGCTCAGACTGCTTTCTCACCTTCTTATGATGCGGCATTAGTTTGGCAAGCACCAGCATGGTACAAGGCTGTTGTGAGCACTTAATCTTGCACACATCCGCATGTGCCACCACGTCTTTTCTCCACAACAACGACTTGCACCCTGGCAAGCATCGGACGACCTTGAAGCCACACGTCTTTGCGTGTTCGCGCAGCTCGTGCTCACGGCCAACAAACTCACATGCTTCTGGATCCTGCAACCAGGAAAAGAATTAGACTAGATAAAGTGAACGTGAGTGTTGCAAGTATTCGAGTGAGGCCCGCTTCTATTTTGAAACCGCGCATTCTCGGGTGCCCTAAACCTATACTACTACATATTCCAATGGATTGGACGAAGCAGTACACGATTCACAATCCTAATTAATTATTAGACTTACAACAGCAAAGATTCGAGTATACTGTGTACATAATGGTTTGCAACTGAAGACACTGCCCTCATCCTAGACAGATGATGAGCAACAGCTTTCATGCTATTCATCTAGAGTCTTACTACGATTACTACCCTCATCAGGGGTGAGCCAATCAATCGTTTCCAAACGATTCACAAGCACAATGTCGTTCAGGCAACTCACTTTGAGGTAGCAATTCTTGGATTTGTCATAGCACAAGGCGTTTGTACACCACCGCTGGTTCCGAACGAGTTGTATCACCGTGCCATATCCAAGGAATGGCCCAAGCAGCTTTTTGTCAAACTTGATTTGGCACGTAGGACAAAAGCCCATTACCTTAGGCACAACCTTGAGAATGCATCCCCTGCAAACGGATTATTTTGAGCTTCAACAATTGGGAGTCGCTCCATTTTGTGAACCCCAGGGCTTTCCGATATTTGGATAGGACCTTGATTCCTAAGCATCGTCTGTAAGACCAATGTCGCTGACACTAGGACTTCAGGCTCGTATTCCAAACTTTGTTCTGTAGACTTTGTCGAATGAGACATGTGAAAGCGACAGAGATTCTTTCTTAGTCATCAAGCCCCTCCTATGTCCGCGTACCACAAGATTGTGTTGAGACTAGAGCACAAGTTACATTTGCTTACTTGCAAAATTTGTGGCCACAGGTTGGCACTTGGACAGGCGTCTTCAGAAAGTTCTTACACTTTCCGCACCTGCGGAGAGATCGAGAACACGTGAGGCTCCCAAGGCTGCAACAATTGATCAGTGTGAGGCTGCCAATTGTCCAGGATATATTTTACTGAGCGATAGGAAACCAGCTGCAATGCGGTAGTCGCACTGGAGAACCAGTTTCTCAGATGGATAATTAGAAGACGTCGAATCATTATATCCTGTTACAATGCTGAACCTGGAACAGGTTAGCCGAATGGGTCCCTCAACTTCAGGTCCACAGTGCTTCAAATACTGTTCACAGCAGATTGCCGGCCCAAACGCATCCACCAGGCGCCGGCTCACTTACTTGAGGTCAGGGACAACCTCTGAAGAGTAAATGAAGTCCGCCTCTCCAGGATACGGTAGATATTGGCAGAGATATGAGCCATCTCCCGTACGACTTCCTGGCTCAACGAAGACATGCGACTTCTCCTTGCCGCTTGCCTGTACATCTTCTCGGTTTGAAATTCCATGCCCAACTTTGCTCCCAGAATTGGCAGAAGCGTTTTGCTCAGCACTTGAGCTCTCTTCGGCCACTCTCACATAGGTGGGCACATCCAAGCCCCCAGCACGGCGAAAGAGATGAGGCGTGTCCGACTCGTCAGAATCATAGTCACCTTCCCCATCGCTACACATGATTACAGCAAGTTTTGGCTCTGCTCTTAGAAACCTGCCTGGTCAATGCTGATGCTAGCGCAAAAGCCCAACGAGAGATGCCGTTGTCACTCTGTGCATTCTTTGACAAATGTCTTGCAGGATCTTACCGGCATCGGCATCCCCGCAAGCGTTCCCTGTCCAAAACCTCCTGAAGCAGTAAAAGCACTTGCTCCTACAATGAATCAAATGAATGCCCAAATGAATGTAAGTTCGTAAGCAGTGCAAAGCAGTGCTGAACTGCATTTGGTCACCATGGACGATGTGGACTGGTCCCTGGTGCCTGGTGCTGCATGCAGTGGTCCATTTGAAGATACGACGAAAAGCGGATCCGGATTTTTTGACACTCATCTTCGAGCGCTATGCATTCAACTGGTTTTGGATGCCTAAGCATCATACTCGAGTGTCAGGACTCAGAACATAGATGCGCAAAAAGAAAATTAAAAGACATTATGGTTTGGGGAACTGCATTTTAATTCGTGGTGATTCAAATCATGCATCCAGTTTGCGTGCAAACAACAGTTCTTTGAAGAAGGCGTCTAAGTAGATCTGTCACCTTCAAACACCCTCCAAAATTCAGTTGTGGTGCTCCTTCAAATCGTGCTTAAGTACAGTTGATTGGCGCCTGCTTGCAATTACGACGATGGCGGTGGTGCGGCAGCGGGCGGTGGCCGCGGGTCGCAGTTTCCACCAGGCATGGGCAATGGGGTTTGCAACTTGGCTGCATCCAATGCATCGTGTCTTGGCTCCACATGCGGAGATGAAAGCCTGCAGTGACATCGAGGAACTGACATTCTCTTGCGCCGAAAGCGCCCCAGCATGGCAAGCAAAGAGCAAAAGGCACCGCGACACCACTCCTTGTAACGCGGCTGTCAGAGTGACACCAAGCACTTGGCTTTTCGACGAACTGAAAAGTCAACAACAGCATGATGTCGGACTGTCACAGCAGCTCAGCAATCAATGCGCAATGGGTGAGGGGCGCCTGCCTGAGGGAAAAGGTCTTCTCTTGAACCCTTTTCTCAGGATGTTGAAAGAAGATTCTGGGCGGTTGTGCCACACTCGCAACTTCCACTCAAGAGCATCAGCAGCGGCAGCGCCAGCACTTGCAGAGCCAGAAACTAGAGGCGAGAGCTTGTACGACCAGCAGAAGGCGCTTGAGCTCACCGAGTTCCCGCCAGAGCGCATTCGCAACTTCTCAATCATAGCGCACATTGATCATGGCAAATCGACATTGGCGGATCGGCTGCTAGAGCTCACAGGGAGCATTCGTAAAGGGCAGGGCCAGCCGCAGTTTCTAGACAAGCTGCAGGTGAGCCCCGGTCTGATGCACAATGGTGTATCAGTGGTGTAATAAGCTCTTGGCTGACTGGCGATGGAGAATTGAGGGGATCGTGGCAGTGCAATGATGTTTGAGTGGTTGTGACACATGTTTACTGCCAAACCTTCATCAAACTTTTCTACGTACACTGCTGATTTGATGGTAGGGCGCAGATCTCTTCGGCCTGTCCAAATCTTATGCATACTTGGTGTGTCTTCTTCATACCACACTCAAATCTGTGGAGTCCCGTTGGTTTGCATTCCTTCTCGAAGGATACACAATCCCTTACTTCCAGAGCTTATCAAAATACGTTGAAATCTGATTCTCAGCGCACCGCCACTCTCTCTGCTCTCTTATACGCGCCGCCTCAAATTCTCCAACCGTAGTCGCACGCCTTCATCACGCAATACTCCCACCTTCCTGTTAGATCCAAACGTTCAAAGGAATGAGCTCAACACGTCCCCTTTTTTCTCCAGGTCGAGCGCGAGCGGGGGATCACCGTCAAAGCCCAAACTGCGAGCCTGCTCTACAACTACCGACCCCCCCACCCCTCCCTAGTTGCTTCCCCCGGGTGGCACCTCCTCAACCTGATCGACACCCCCGGTCACGTGGATTTCAGTTACGAGGTCTCCCGCAGCTTGGCCGCCTGCCAAGGAGCGCTTTTGGTGGTCGACGCGTGCCAGGGGGTGCAGGCGCAAACGGTTGCGAACTTCTGGTTGGCGTTCGAGGCGGGGCTCAACATCATTCCCGTAATCAACAAGGTAAGAAGTTTATACGAAAAGTATTGTGCTGTGTTGAATCTTGTTAGAGAATGATTGCGCTTGTTAAAGCAAGGCGTCTACTGATGAGCGACCCACGTTTCGGATGCATTGGGGTCAGATTGCACCTTTCCGTGGGCAGGGCTGATTCTGAAGGACCTCGATCTATCTTGTTAAAGTGCTCTTGATCTTGAAGTCCGAGGGCCAATCCTGAGTTTTGTTTTGTGACTGGTCGGCCAGAGACGCGTCATTCCCGAAAAAGTTTCGGAAGTTGACAAATGGATTGGGTACTTGCTATCAATGAGGCAATCGAACTCGTTGTCAAACTGAGTCGCAACGCTTGAACTATCTTCCCGCCGCACTGGTCAATCTCTCGCCCGGGTATACTTTGTATGAAGGACCGTCGTTTGGGCCTAAGACTCTGGTTCATCAAATTGGGTCGGTCGATGACCTGTATCTGACCCAGTTCCCACCCTCCGCCCTGCCAGATCGACCAGCCCGCCGCAGACCCCGCCCGCATCGCCAAGCAGATCGAGTCCACTTTCGACATCGACTGCTCGGACGTCCTCCTCTGCTCCGCCAAAACCGGCCAAGGCCTCGAACACGTCCTCCCCGCAATCATTGAAAAGATCCGGCCCCCCGCCGGGAGTCTAGACTCGCCTCTGAGAATGCTTTTGCTGGACAGTCATTATGACGACTACAAGGGCGTCATCTGCCACGTGGCAGTCGTTGATGGGGCGTTGCGGCGGGGGCAGAAGATTGAGTCGGCGGCGACGGGACGGGTGTACGAAGTGGGGGACGTGGGGCTCCTAAGACCGGAGATGGTTAGCACGGGGAGGCTGTTTACCGGACAGGTGCGTGATATTAAAGAGTCTTCTCGTTTGCTCGTCTGTCGGAGTCTCAGGTTCGCTCGGTTCTGCAGAAACGACTGATTGAGCGTCGGCGATCTGGCCGGCGTTTCTCTGGGCCTACCTTTCGTCTTGCGTTTCTGAATGATTGACCCTTCAACTGGTCACTGAATGCCTCAAAACGGTCTTGGTAGAGGCGTTTGTACGGCCCTTGTAGAGTCGCTTTTCACTTCGTGATGTGCTGCCCGTTTTCGACTTCGAGTGAATTGCCATTCTGCAATCGACTCGATCTCACACCAGTCCGTTTTCGAGTCAGTCTTTTCTTAATTCCTTGGGAACGTCGCTGCGAATTGATCTCATCTTCTTCCCCGCTCTTCGGTGATGTTGGGTTGCCTCCAACCTCGGTTCTTAATCTCGTGCTCATCCATACTTCCAAAGAAGCTCGCTTCTCAACGCGTTCGTTCCTTGCTGTAATCCTCGTCTATGTCATTCCTCAACCATGCTCAATATCATTTAATGTCACCTTGTTAGCCTCACTGCTGGCCTTAAAAGCACCTTGTAAACCTGCACAAGGTGCAAACCAGTCCGCTTCGGATCCAACGTCGCCAGCATTCGTTGCTTATTGTCACAAAAGTTGCTGACGGTTTGCTTTTAGCTCCTCACAAGCCGGAGGGCTAGCGCATCGTTCGCAAGAAGTGCACCCACAAACATAGCGTCGGCCCAGGCACAACGCTTCTACATCATTCTCACCTCACCGTAACTCTGTGCGTCTTAGCTTATACATCTAGCGTAACGTGGGTCAACCTCCCACTTATTTCCTCCTAACCAGGTGGGTTACCTCATCGCCGGCATGAAGAGCACCCAGGAGACCCGCGTTGGCGACACTCTCCACGCAGCAGCCCAGCGCGTCGAAGTCCTCCCGGGATTCAAACCCGCGCGCCACATGGTTTTCGCCGGGATCTACCCCGCGGCCGCCGACGAGTTCGAAGCCCTCAGCAGCGCGATCGAACGGCTGACGTTGAACGACGCGAGCGTCAAAGTCGAGAAAGAGAGCAGCGGGGCGTTAGGCGCGGGGTTCCGGTGCGGGTTCCTGGGACTTCTGCACATGGACGTTTTCCACCAGCGGTTGGAACAGGAGTTCGGGACGCAGGTCGTGGTCACGACGCCCACCGTTCCGTACGTCTTCGAGTTTTCGGACGGAACGAAGCTGAACCTGCAGAACCCGGCGCTCCTGCCGTCGGCGCCGAAGCACAAGCTAACTAGAGCGTGGGAGCCGACCGTTACCGCGACCATTATCACCCCCACGGAGTTCGTGGGCAGTTTGATGACGTTGGCGGCGGACCGGAGGGGGGAGCAGAAAGAGTACTCGTTCATCGACAGTCAGCGCGCGCTGCTGAAGTACCGGTTCCCGCTGCGCGAGATCGTGACCGACTTTTACGACCAGCTCAAGAGCATCACGTCGGGGTATGCGTCGTTCGACTACGAGGAGGCGGAGTGAGCAGTCCGCCGGAACTCTCGTTGTGCACAGCTCGATGTTTCTCAGATTCTTGAAGAGTTGCAGTTGAAGATTCGGTCAAGCGTGTTCAGCCAAAGCGCATCGAGCCGGTTGAAGTCTGAGTGCTTTCCGCTTTGTTAATAGATATACGGTTTGTTACTGGCTAGACTCTCTTTTCGAGCTATCATCAGCATTTGCTCCCAACTTCAACCCGAAGAGGCCAACCGAGTTCCCTGGCTCTGGTTTCTTCTTTCTTTTCCGAGAACGCCCACCTTTCGTTAGGTGCGGTTGTGAAAGGCTAGAATCCGGTGCACAATTCAGGAGAAGGACCTAGTGAAGCTGGACATCCTGCTCAACGGCTCCCCCATCCATGCGTTCACGTCTTTTCGCGCTTCGAAAAACAGCAGACGGGCGAGCTTTTCTTCGCTTGCTGATCGCTCCTTCCTTGCGGTTCAGAACTCACTTTGACAAGCCTCAAGCGAATTATGTGCTTTGATGCAGGAACCAGGAGTCCGACCTGGTCAAGCTCGATGGTTTCCCCGTCGATGCGCTCGTCATGTTTCTTTCTCTAAAACAGAAGAAGGATGCAAGAATGGCTCCTTCTTTCTTCCAGCTGAAAACCGAGGATTTTGGCGCAGGTACCAAGAGTCCGACCTGGTGAAATTGGACATTCTGCTCAATGGCTCCCCCGTCGACGCGCTCGCGTCCGTCGTGCACCGCAGCAAGGCGCAGCGCGTAGGGCGGGACGCCGTCGAGAAGCTCAAGAAGATCATCGACCGTCAGATGTTCGAGGTGCGCTCGCTGACTGTCGATCTCGCCGCCAACCGTTCTTTCCAGGATTCTTGACGCGGTTCCCTATGCAACAAACCCTGCGATATATGCGCTCGCGAGAGGGCTTCTTATGTGGCCCTGCTTGAGAGTCTTTGTGCCTCTAAGGAACGGCAGATTGGTTGCTTTTGGGAATTGCTGAAAGGGCCCGTCAATGCTGGGGAAGGGGAAGGTGAGTACGATGTCCAGATCACAGGTTGTGGCTGCTGCCATGGCTCTAACCCGAGTGAAAGCGGACCCGCACAAGGAACAAGTTCTGCTTCACACCGTCATGTCGACTTCGTCGCACTTATGCTTCGCGCTTCGCCTGTGCCCTCGTCCCGTGCCAAAAGTTTCTTTCTTCAACAAGGAGTGTACTGCTGAATCTGGTGCAGGAGCGCATGAGCGCAAGTCCAACGTCTTTCGCATGTCTGCAGGTTGCCATTCAGGCGGCGATCGGGATCAAGGTGGTCGCAAGAGAGAGGTAAGCTCCAGGCGCCTATCATTCAGCCAAATACAGAGGACTGTGACCCGGTCCCGAAACTTTAGTCTGCGGTTCATTCCATGTTCTGACCGAAAAGCAACCACCGCTTGTGTCCGCTTTGTCGGTTCAAGCTTCCGTTGACGTCTTTCATCTCCCATTCTACAGCAACGTCGTCAACGATACTGAGCAAATGTCTTACATTCTTCTGAGGCTCGCTTCGCTTTACTGAGCGTCTCATGACCAGGCTGGGAAGGTGTCTAGCGAATATTGGAACGATATCATCTTTCGAGCACGGCCAGGCTTGAGAACGAAAGAATTGTTTGAGTTACGCCCTGCTCCGTCTTCCCCTGCAGCGTCTCGGCGATGCGCAAGAACGTGCTGGCCAAGTGCTACGGCGGTGACGTCAGCCGGAAGCGGAAGCTGCTGGAGAAGCAAAAGGAGGGCAAGAAGCGCATGCGGCGGGTGGGCAACGTCGAGCTGCCGCAGGAGGCGTTCCTGGGACTGCTGCGCTCGTGATCGTGCCACGTGGCACCATAACCGCGGCGCCGCAAGAAGCTGTCGCACCGCTGCCGGAGGAGGCGATTCCTGGAGCTGCCGCGCTCCTGATCGTGCCACGTGGCACCTATCCACGGCTGTGGCAGAGGTGCTTTGGTTTGGGAGGTACTGCACGAGGCACAGCCCTGGGGGCGCTTTTGCGAAAGGCTGTGCCACGTGGCATCTCCCGGAAAGGCGTTTGGGAGACTGGTCTGCACCTTGTTGGAGCCACGTGGCAATTCTCAACGGCATTACCTGAGACACAAGCGCGAATTGGGCGAGCAGCTTGCGAGCGGACCCGCAACAAAGTGGGTCTGATTGCTTGTTAGAACCCGGTTGAAGCAAATGACGCGAGCAATCAGACTTTCGTGCCACTGCCTTTGCCACCACGCACTCCTAGACTTCAGTTCGTCTCTGCATGGCGAAGCTTAGGCCTTGCATTGGGTGTCCGAGCATTAATCTTCAGCGGAAGTTCTTGTTCGAGAATAATTCTATGCGCGTGAGAGGCGGTGAACTTCAGGAAAAAAGGGGTCTGTCTGTACCTAGACCTGCGGGATACGGTGACAAACTTGACATGTCTCCTGCACCAAAACGCCCTGCTTCCCAAATCTGGAACGCTGCTGAGGACTCGATTGCGTTGCCGTTCTTGCAGTATGACATTTCTCATGGTCACTGAATCAAGGGAAAAGCAGAACGCCACGACATGATCCCATGGATGCCGTTGATCATATGTACGTGTCTGACATACGCACTGTGGCACATCCGGGAAGATCATCATGAATGGAACCGCATGCGCCATAGCTTGAAGATCCTGTGCGCGTGGAGCTCGACGGGGGCCGCCCTGCATACACTGAGCCACATATACATCGGTCATTCACGTATGGCGCAAATTGACTAGCATGTTGAGCTGGCGTAGTACCATACGCATGCCTACGTCAAAGCTTAAAAGAACATGCAGTCCAGCGCCATCTCGCGGAGCAGATTTCAACAGCTCGAGCTGTAGCGGGAAGAAGGCTTCAGCTGTGACTAGCCTACAAGGTTTACTATACACACACTTCAATGGTTTCAAAGAAGAAGACATATGTCAGTCGAAGTTTCACGCAATCATCTCGAGTACTGGTCCATGTCACTCTTCTCATCCAGCACCTCCGTGTCCGTCGCGCACTCGTCCTCGCTTAGCGGCGGCAGCTCCTGTGCTTTCCGCTTCAGATTATGTCGGTGCCAGTCCGACTTGAAGTGCTCCCGAAACAGTTTCGCGTCCGCAAACGGCGCCTCGCACGTGTTACACTTTTGTTGTCTTCCCCCCGCCGCTGGGGGCGCTTTTGCAGCTTCGCTTCGCCCCCCTCTTCCGGAACTCTCCGGCTTCGACTCCGCCCGTTCTCCTTCCCCCCGGTCCAGAGCCGCCCTCGCCAACCTCTCCGCTAACGCATCCCCCCCCTCGCCGCCCCGGCTTTCTTGGCCCCCCTCTTCGGAATCGTCCACCCGATGATCCCCCTGTTCTTGTACCGCGAGAGCGACCACTTCTAGCCGTCCCCCGCACTCCCGCGCCAGCGAGTCACACGCGCGGAACTGCCCCGGATCTACGAGGAAAACCACCGAGAACTGCCGCGACTTTTCCTCCGACTCGGCTGTCGCGTTGATCCCCTTGAGCCAGGCCGAGGTGCGCTGCTCCGCGTCGGGGGGGACCGTCAGGCGCAGCTTCATGCGCGCGCGCGAGATGGGAAAGCGCTTCTCCAGAGTGCGGATCAGCTCGAGGGCCTGGCAGGAGACACTTGATGTAAGCTGGACCGTGTTCGAAGAGGGAACGACCACAAGTTCAGAGGGGTGGGTACGATGACATTGGGGGATGTGGACGAGGGACCCTTGATGCGGTTCAGAGCCCGGTCGAGGAAAACGAATGCTTTCGAGCTCGTTCGAAGGAGGATGAAACGAGTCTCCAAGGCGAAAGGAGTGAGCGTCAGTCGATGCGAGGGACGCTCATTTGTTGGTTGTCATGGAGTTTTGCGAGCGACTTTACGGACTAGACACGAAGCGGAGAGGCTATTATCGAGGACGTGCCGACCATTGATAATAAGATGATTCCTCAGCAACATCAGCAGGAGCCTCTTCAGAACGTGCTAACTCCCCCTCCAACGCTTGCATAGGAAGACTCCCATACGCCTACTCGTCAAACTAACTTGAACCAACTTTTAATCCTGCCACGGGTCTACCTTTGATTCTTTTGTAGGAGGAACCGTAACGACGAACGGCGACTCGACGAATTTGACCAGGGCTTACGAGAGCCAATAGGCTTTCCTGGCCTGGACATCGGAGCCGAAATGCTCACGCAACCTTTCGCTCTCGGCGGCGCTGTTTTTAGCTTCCTTGGGTACTTCTCCTCCTCTCTCAATCCGTCATCCCATGACGATGAAATTCAATTCACTCAAATACCAATGATCCGCTCTGGAACGTGTATGATACCACTCTTACGATCCAAACGCCGAATTAGCGTCTACCAGGTTTTCCTCCCATTTACAAGACCGGCCCCCTGCTTCGTCGGGGGTCCAAGAACGCCTAAATACCTCGCACCTTTCAGAACCGGAACCTTCAAACTCAACGACTTCTAGACGACCCGAATCTGTTGTGATCATACAATCTAGACTTGAAGTGTTTTCCAACTAGTCCAACCCGCCTGCTGCTTTGCGCTTTCGTTGGGGTCCACTTTGAAGCGCACCTCCTAACGCAGCGCTCAATGAAAGCTTTTCAAAACCGAATTTCTCCGAACCCAACGAAGTTTAAACGGCCCAACTCGGCACAATCTTCAGAATTCAGAGACAATCCACAATGTTTTGCGCTCTGGTTGGGTGCACCTTACAAGTGCACCTCCTTCATGATGCACTCGACATTACGGCCTCTTTGGAACCGCACTCTTCGAATCGGAATATTCTAACGATCGAATCCGCACAATCCAAAGGAAATCCAGTATGTCTTCCCGCTGACGAAACCCACCTGTTGCTTCGCGCTCCGGTTGGGGTCCACCTTGAAGTGCACCTCCTTCATGAACCGCTCGATCATGCCCACCGTGTACGGCCGCTGCGTCTCGGGGTTCACGCTCTTGTCCATCACGATCGTCGCAATGTCGCGCGACAAACTGCTGAAGTGCGCCTCGCGCTCCTTGTCCGATACTTGGAGCTCGCCGTGATCCAGGATCTGCGGTTAAACCGTAGTTTCGGTATACTTTGTTCAGATTCAAGAGTTTGCTTGAATTCGCTTTGACTTGGTACGAGTAACGGCTGCTGGAAGGCGCCTTGCACTTGTGTGACATAGCAGGTTAGAAGGAAAGTCAGCGAAGTTGGTTAAATACCCCTTAAGTTCGGCTAAAAGTATAGTGGCTGGACTTGTTGCGGCTTTGCTGCAGAGTACGGCTGCTTGCAGTTTGCCTTGTGCTCCTTAAATATCCAAAGCTCTCCCATGTTCAATTTTTACAAATCCGGAAAAACAAAGAGCTGCTATTTATAATCTGGTTCACTGAGAGCAAAGAATGGACAAAGAATCACAAGTTCCAGATCAGAAACGAAAGCGAAAGCGAAAGAACGAGGTCACCGCACTATGAGATCTGTCGCTCTTTCAGAAACTCTCCGACAACAACTTTCCTCACTCCAGAGATACTGCGACCATTGACACGGCATGATAATACTCCCCTGATTTTGCGATGCACCTACCTCGAGGCAGACCTTGTCCTCGTCCGCCGTCCCAAACACTTGCACCAGGTCCTCCTTCTTGGCCAGCACGCCCTTGGACACATGGCTGTAGATGGTGTGAGACTGCAGGACCTCGTCAATGTCCTTTTCTCTGCACGCGAGAAAATGCATCACTCAGAAAACGGCATCATTCCGGAAGGAAAGATGGCTGCAGATGGTGTGCGATTGCAGGATCGCGTCGATGTCCTTTTCTCTGCGCGCGAGAAGATGCACACATGAACGAGTGGCGACATGCCCGAGAAAGGGCTACAGATGGTGTGCTACTTTTTAGACTTTGTTGGTGTCCTTTTTCTGCAGGTGTCTTTCTCTCTGCAGGCAACACAATGCACCATCTCAAAACCACACCATTGAGATACCACTCAGGCAAAAGCTTTTCATGAAACAGGCATGGAGGGGCATGAACGCTCTTCTTTCTGCACTCAAGAAGCAGACCTCCGCCATGAATGACCAAAAACCCCTCAAACCTTCCTTGAAAATCTCTCAGGGCTTAATTGAAGAGGTCCTGCCAGACCTTTTCTTGATGGCATAGCACGATCGCGCTCAAACAAACCATCAAAGAAACCAGGCGTGGTTGTTAGACTTCTAAATAGGACTCAAAGTACACCACCCCCACATCAAAGATGTTAGCCTTTGATTTCCCAGCCTTGCTGACAACAAGGGAACACCGGAGAGCACGATTCGATGCGATGCTGCCAAAAAAGGACTGGACGACTTTCCCAAATTAGCTCCTTTCACAATTTCAATCAGTAGGCAGACAACCATACCAGGTCTTCATCGTTGAAAATACTGAAGACAGCTAGCGTCTAACCGTCCTTCGCACTTACACTTTGTTTCGCCAGGAGACGACCTTGTTCTTGTAGCATGCAATCTCAAACCGCTTCCCATACTTTCGAAAGCGCACGATGGCCACGTTGGTCAGCCTCTTCTGCCCGATTGGCTGCTTCACACTGTGCGACATGCCTGCCAACTGAAGTGGGCCTCTGAACAAGTTGCTGCTGATCAGCACCAGGGATTGAACGCTGTTCAGAGCAGTTTGGTGCAGCTTGAGAACCAACTAGGTAGGTTGCGCTTCGAAGAACTTCGTCGGACTCGGAACCGCGTGCGATAATGGTTAGTCCCCTGCCGGTCGGGCGGCCCGATCCGAGGACTGAGCATTACCGCGCGCCGTCACACTTAAATCTCGCAAATTGGGCAGCTGCGCGCCGGAGCTCTAACTAGAGAGAGAAGCTTTTTGCGGTGACGAAGTGGCAGATGCTGGCGCGCAAGCTGGGTTTTCGCGGGCAAATGATTCTTGAGTCAGCCTTCCAAGTTCCGAGTCAGGGCCAAAGCGTCTTCAACACACTACATCCAGGCTGTTGTGTGCTTGTGGCGTCTGTCTCATAAGCAATTCGCTGCTTTCACCTGACTGAGCTCTTCAAACAGCCTCGGATTCTCTTGAGAGCTTTCGACCAGAGGGAACGAAGTCATTGGCGGTGGCAAAATGACGAGCTTTGCGGTCGTTCGACAAGGGGGCGCCATCGCCCCTTCGTTCAGCGGGCAGGCACATCAGCAGCCAAACTTTCAGAACGCGAGCCCCAGCCGGGCATGCACTTTCTTTGGCATGCATTTGAGTGGTTCACAGGGGCAGGAAACTTTCGAAAGGAGATTGCGGGACGCGCATAGAGGACCGACGGTCAGGGGTGCCGTTCTGCAGGAGTCGTTGCTGCCAATGACCAGTAACGAAGCAAAGAATATGTGAGTGTTCGCAGAAGCAGAGAACTGCATCTGCATCTGCATCTGCATCAATTCGTGCACTTACTTCCATTGCAGCATTGCTTTCAGAAGACAAGCTCAACCTTTGACAAGTTGGCAGACTTGTTCGAGTCACCATTACCAAGTCAAGGACAGTAACTCGCTGAGGCTTGATCGCTTTTATTCATGTTGTGCACGTTCAAGCTTAGCTTCTTGGAATGTCACAATCGGTGGCGTTTTACTTCCACAGACCCATTTATTTGAGGTGGACTTGGAAAAGCATTTGGTTTGCTTGTTGGGAAGTTTGGCGGCCATTTTTTGTTCAAGGGTGGACGCAACAAAGGGACAGTCAGCTCAGCTTCAGAGACTGATTTCTGTAGGAGAGTGCGTGCGTGCAGAAAGGCTGCTTTTGTCATTGGAAAGGTGCATTTGCTGCTGGTGGTTGCAACTATATTGCTTGGAATGTTCAGCAACCAGGTGCCCAAGTGGTCCAGGATTCAATTTCAATCGGGCGACCAACTCTTGAATAGGGTAGGTTGGGGCTTCATGCCCCGTGATTAACCAGCTTCTGAGGTGGCTCAGGGTATGGGTTCGAGACTTGAAGAAACGAAGGGGCTGGTGCGCCTATAATCCAAGAGATGGTTCAGTCACACAACTCCCAAAAAAAAAGGCTTGCTCGTCACAGTCTCTTGCGCCTCCGCAATCTGCATGCTCCACATGCAATACCCCTCACCTGCCAAATTGCAGTGAGATGCCCCCGCTGTACGTGTATTCTGCACCACTCTGCCCATAGCTCCCATAGCTATGCTTCCCCTTCTTTCGCAAGGTTTGCAGCTTCTTATTGAAAAGAAGACGGTTACAAGCTTCTTGCAGCCATCAATAACCAGCTCATACCTGGTTGTGTTCCGCTCATAGCCTATGCTGCCCCCCTGCAGCTCCCCAGTCGACGAGATTAAGAAGCTGCGGCTAATCACGGCTATCAAGACTCCCTATCTTCCTGACGGCCGCTTCGACCTCCGTGCATACGACCACTTAGTGAACCTTCAACTAGAGCAGGGAGTCGAGGGCCTCATTGTCGGGGGAACCACCGGGGAGGGCCAGCTCATGAGTTGGGATGAGCACGTCATGTTGATTGCGCACACCGTCAACTGCTTTGGGGACCGGCTGAAGGTGCGAGAATCGAAGTTCATTGGTCTTCTGAAGTCTACATCGAGAAGCGGCGTGTCGGGGGGCGTTGATGCAGTTGTTAAGAGTCCAGTGATCATAGCGGCGTTTGGTTTGTGTTATTTTTGGCCTCGCTGCTTATGCTTTGCCTCTTCTGCTTCGGTTTTTGATCATGCTTATAAGCAGCTTTCCTGAGCTACCCCGGATTAATGTTTTGATCTGACCCAACTACTCTGCTGGCATTAAGCTCTGTCTCCGCTGCGTCTACTTATGTATCCACTGTCAAAAGTTTATGCTATTCCTGCTTGGTCTGTTTAGAACTCGTTCAAAGATCAGGAATCAAAAGTTGACAAGCCTATTGCGCTGAGTTTTGCAGGCTTTCTTTGCTGCAACATTCTTGCCAAACGGCTCCTCTCCAATAGATGGCTGTGCGGGAACGGAGACACAGCAGGACTGTGCTATTGGCGCACCGGTCCATCGAACTTGGACGGAGTGCGTTCAGAGCGAGGGAAAGGTCTTTTGAGAACCACCCCCCCAAAGGAGCACTGAGATTGCTCTGCAAGCATTGACAGGCCATTGAGAACCCGCTGCAAGTGGTCTCAACTCAGTCTCAGCTGCAGTCCGGCAGTCAGTTGTTTGCATCAGCCCCTTCGTAATCGAGAGACAAAAACGTACGTGATTGAGAGGAGAAGAAGTAGGAAGAACTCACTGTTGTTGAGCTTTTTCGCTTCGGCAGGTCATTGGCAACACCGGCAGCAATTCGACGCGGGAAGCGATCCATGCAACCGAGCAGGGTTTCGCTGTGGGCATGCACGCTGCTCTGCACATCAACCCGTACTACGGCAAGACGTCCACGGAAGGCCTGCGGATGCACTTCAAGTCGGTGCTCGAGTTCGGCCCCGCGGTGATCTACAACGTACCGGCGCGGACGGGGCAGGATATCCCCACCAGTTTCATCGAGGTGAGTGGCTGACGTGGTTGATTTGGAAGTAGAACTGTGTTGGTTCTGAGCTTTCAGAACACTCAGCTGAAGAGTAGTTACTAGGCTGCCAATTGACGTCGAAAGAAGAAATGATTGGTCTTGGGGAATCAGCTCTGCAATCGATAGCCTCTTGTTTGAAGTCAACGGGGGGTTCTTTTGAAACCACAGGGACCATCCGCTTGGGTTCGACGATGCTGGCTGACTGTTTCTTGACTAAAAGGTCTGATTGAAGTCGTGGATCCCAGCGTGCTTTCGTCTATGACGCATTTATCATTCACATTTGGGTATGGCAGAGAACTCACAGTCAATGCGCAGGGGTGTAGGGCCTTCCTGAAAACCACACGACGTGTCCCGTTCGCCCCCCTTTCTGCAACAGAGAGGAGCGTGGATAACAATTCAGTGTATAGCTTTACTGTGTTCCAGAAAAATTCAGATTCTGTCGGTGCGTCCTGGAGACTGCTCGCATGACACTTGGCGGCGGCACGAAGACCTTCACAAGCCCGCCCCATTCTACGATTTCGATCTTTTCAGGCGTTGGCTAAGGACCCCAACTTCGCGGGCGTTAAGGAGTGCACCGGAAACAAGCGGATACACGGGTACTCCTCCCAAGGAATGAGCGTGTGGAGTGGGAACGACGACGAGGCGCACGACGGCCGGTGGGAACACGGGGCACGGGGGGTAAGCGCCAGCACGTTAGGTCTCTCGGACTGGGAGACTTGCTCAGCCAGAGAATCATGCCGAGCATTAGCAGTTGCCAAAATTATACAGGATTCTGGCGACGGCCGGTTCCCTGTCTCTGCGATGTGGCCTCTTTTGCGAGCACAGTGTTGGCAGCTTCCAAGTGGTCTATGAATCTTGAAGTGTCCCTAAGCGAAGTTCGTCAATCAGCTTTGAGCACCACTTTGAGGCCAGTACCGAGGCATGTGTGGGAAGAGTGTTAAATTGTGACGGGTGATACATGCCCAACAACTGAAGTTGCCGGGGTCCCCCATGATGCGGTTATATTGACACGCCCAACCTTATAAGCTAGTCTAAGGCCATTTTCCCTATCTGAAGACGAAACGATACCACCAGTACGAAGTCACCGTTTGGCGGCTGCATCTGTGCCCAAGCTCGCTAGCACAAGCAGGTGCATAAAAGAAGCACTGATAATTCGTTCGTGTCAAGCAGAGGGTTACACGTCAATACTACCAGACTGGAAACTCCCTCTCTCGGCCTTTTTATCGTGCCATACGCGCCGAACTGGAATCCCTAAATCAGAAGCTGACGACGGGCCAGAGTTGCTTGGCCGACGGGAGCACGTTGTGAAGCGCGCTTCATCCCGCTGCCCGCTGGTTCTAGTGCTTTCGAGAGCTGGTATGCAGGCTCGCTTCTTGACCCGTAGAAGCAGAACATATTGGCGTCGATGCTTGGTGAAGATACATTCTGCTCATTCTCGCACCATAACAAATCCTGACACTGTAGAGACCCGTTTTGCCAACCGTTCGTTTTCGCTTCTTGGACAGGTGATCAGCGTGACGAGCAACCTGGTTCCCGGCTTGATGTACGATCTGATGTTCGGGGGGGGCAACATCGCGCTGCGGGACAGCTTGCTCCCGCTCATGAGCTGGCTCTTCCACGAACCCAACCCCATTCCGCTGAACACGGCGCTCGCACAGCTGGGACTCATTCGACCGATCTTCAGGTAAGCGGAGTCACGGCACGTCACGAGAGATCGATTCGAAGCACAAGAGAAAAGATTTTTGGATTCGCGGGGGGGCTTGAGGATTTCGCTGCAGGGAGATTCGTGCACCGCTGTCCAGATGCGGCGGCATGATAGGATGGTCCTCTTTGGCTACGCAGTTGCTCGGTAAGAACGAGGTTGCTGACGTCTGTGACGACTTGTTCTGGACAAACGATTGTTCGAAAGGATCATCAGATTGGTGAAGAAGGTTCTTTTGCAGCTTGAAGTTGGTAAATTTTACAATAGCTCAAGGTTTCCCGCACAGAAGATTGATCAGAGACTCTGCTATGAAGTTCAGGATCCAGGGTGGACTGCACTTCCATGCCCCTCATGTCACCCTCTTGTTCTTCTGCAGATTACCATACGTCCCTGTTTCCCGCGAAAAGCGACGAGAGTTCGTAGAAATAGTTGAGAAGCTCGGCCTTGAGCACTTCAAGGGCGCCACGCAAATACGGGAAATGGACGACGACGAGTTCCATCTCGTTGCGCGCTACTGAGATTGCTCTGCTGTCTGTGGTGTTGCGTAACATTAATGCGTTCATTAGATTCTGATAAAGAGACACTGCTGTTGTACAGAAGAATTGACCTTAATGCATTCATGTGTTCGTGCATGTTGGAGTGGAGGGATCTGCGACTCTGAGACAGCTTGCGGTCACAAGTAGATTTGATGGACACTCATGACGCACGTTATAGATTTTGATGGTTGGCGCTCCTGACTGCATGCATTCCTAGCTTAATTTCCAGTTGCAGTCAAATATAGAGGCATAAGCGGCATGGCCTCCCTTGATGAGCCCTCCATATCATCGAACCCGGTCAAAAATGGCCCTCCGACCGCAGCGTACAGTGTGCCGAGCACGAGCTTGTTGACAGTGCTGGGGACAGGGCCCCCTCCATATGAAGCTTGGGGTGACGCTCGGCACGCACGAGACGGTACACATGACCGCATGGTTGATGGAGGGCTCCAAGCTAGTAAAATATCTGATTTCACATGAGCAACGATGCAAATGGTAATTGTCAGTGTCGATATAATATATTCGTGAATATTTTCGACACTGTGACGGCTCGGCCAAGCCCCAACACGCAACAGATCAGGGGAAAATCTTTTTGCAATCACCCTTTTCTTGTGTGGCCTCCTAAGTTCAAACGCGAAATATTCAGCCTGCAAGACAGCTGACTGCATGTATGTGGGTGGTCATGTTGAAAACCTCAACGCGTCTTGGCCAAAGTGAGTATAGTGCATGCTTGCAACACGCGCGTCACCGGTACGCTACCATGAGCTAGGGAGGAAAGGAAACGGCAGTAGCAGAAGCAAGTGAATCATGTACGCTAATCCCATGCAAAAGACTCGCAGCTATCTCTTATCATGACGCCGGTCACTAGTATATTGAAAGAGATGAAGGAGACAGGTGACCCTCACGGACTTTGTCTTACCTGAAAGTCATGATCTTTGGTCATTGTGGCCGTATTTGTAAGTTAAGGTATCAAGGTGCGTAAAAAGGTAGAGCTGCCACTGCAAGATCGAGAACACATTGTTCCCGTATATTCTAAGATCAACATTGTACATAAAACCTTTAGTCTCTCAATGTCAGGGACCTGAATAGCTTAGTCTGGCTTCAGCCAGCTGTACAATAGCTATAGCGACTACGAAACTCTGAAGCTTTCAACTTCGGGATACTTGGCAGACAACGCAGCTAAGTCTGGTTCCAACTTATGGTGGACCGTAACACGGCTTGCACCACCTATGCTCCTCAGAATGCTTTCTACAGTCTCCCACTGTAGGTGAGCCACGTCTAAGCTATGCAGCATCGGTGCGTGGGAGATAACCACGTTGCCCCACTTGATTGGTTCATGTACGACCCAAGAATGTGAATTCTTCTCAGCACTGATTTTCAATGTCTTCAGAAGAGGGCACTCTAGCGCAAGTGTTAACTCGTCTTTGTAAAGCCAATACTGCCACAAGGTGCTCACTTCCACGACGCGCAGCTTAGACCCCCTGACCAGCAGTTTCTGCAACTCAGGGCCGTTTGAGTAATCTTCGCATGTAAACTGCTCAATCTGTTCCCAGCTGAACTTTGCCAGAGTCTCTGATGCCAGGGTTTCGCTACCCTCTAACCTCCCATGTATGCACAATTCTTCCAGTTTTGGAAAGCGCTTTTCAAAGTCCTCGATGGAAAATGACTCGCATGAGATGTCAAGATATTTCAAGCGATCAAAAGAAGCTCCCACAAAGGCCCCATCAGCATACTCAATGTCTTCATTGGTGAGCCCCGGCCAAACAACGGACTGCTGCAGATGTTCCAGCATGAGGCACATGCCCAAAGTCATTATCAGGTGTTCCATTGCACCTGGAGTTGCGCCTATAGTGTCCTTCAGCCGCAGTTGGACCCCTTGTAAGCGCCGCTTCTTGATGCACTGCTGAGACGACAGCAACACCATTGATAGGAAAGGTGCATAGAAGTCATACAGCTGCTCCGGTTCGTCTATGCCTGACGTGAAGTTAAGAGCCACTGTCCTGAGCTGAGATGGGGGCCTCCTCAGGAGGAAGCTTGAGAGGCGTAAACCATCCAAAGCGTAGGACCAAACCAAGAACTTGGTAGTAAGCAGGAGCATATTGAACCTCTGACAGACCGCTGTCAGGCGTACCAATGTCTCGGGTCCTCCATGTAATCGCCCAGACGTGCATAAGGTAGAGGATTGATCAATCACAGCCCTTTCAAGGATGTCCGACAATATCTCGTCTGGAATCTCGTCAAAAGGCGCAGCCATCGCGCCAGCAGCAATGCTCTTGTTCACGTCGATCATGTGCTTTCTCTTGAGTCGCGTATTGCAGGTTGCGAGAGGTTCCCCCCTCTTTTCACTCTGGTCCGCAGGTTTCCAGCCGCCAATCCCCCGGGATAAAGTATTCCTGACCGTGCGATCGATCACATCTTTGGATCGAGCGGTTTGTATGCTATGTCAGTGAACCCTGAAGGCTTTCACACTTTCAAATAGACATTGACAGAAGAACGCTGTATGGTTGTTCAGGCTCTTCAGCATCCCAAAACTTAAAACTCTAAAAGTTAAAGGCGCGCTCTGCTTTCTGTCCTCCCAATCTCTCTCTGGTAATTTTCGCTGGTGAGGACAGAGCCACATGTAGCTAACAAATGCAGGAGCAGCACTTCAGCGCAAGGGACGCCCTTCACGGCTCGATTGCAACACGTGACGCAGTAGCTGCTGTACTTTGCATCACGCTTATGTATCGTACTGCAGCTCTTTGTACATCAACGCTGTGAAAAACTTTAATATTCGAGATGACCATCTGCGCTAAAGTCAATGCCAGCAACAGGTTGCATTTTCATAGTGCTTCATGCAGATGGAACAACGCTCTTGACCACTTGTCAGGTCCCATTCACGCCCTCATACATCGTTCGCAAGAGCGGTGTCGACAACTGCAGCGCAATGTGCCCACGATACAAGCAACAAGGTTGCAGTCTGATTATCGTTGCCCCAACCATAATGTCGTGCTGATGCAGTCAGCAGCATTTCAAAAAAGACTACAGGGAATGCCTTTGAGCGGGAGATCTTGTAGTGATCATTTTGGAGGATGGAGTCAAAGCGGCGCTCCAGTCCGCTGTAGTGCAGACTTTGCGCCTGAGTCATTAGGCCAGGGTTCGGAAGCATCGGCAGACGAAGTAGTACCCGCTTCTCGCTCTCTGGCGTTGGAAGACAAACCTAGAGATGGATTGCAAAGCGAAGCAGGTGGCAGTAGAAGAGACCTCCAGTTGGAGACTGCGGGGGAGCATTATGCAGAGAAGCGTGACGGGGGCGCCGGCGGCCGGTTCTTTGAGGTGCTGATGACGAGTATGCACAATGTGGACAACGGTGAGCCTCTCTCATGCCAAACAAGTAATGGAAGGTCGAACACTCTAAGCGCGACCTTTTGCAGATGGTTGCACCAACAGTTGGAGAGATCGATATGGTGGCACAGCCAAGCTTCTAACAAAACCACGGCCGACTGACTAGTTGTCGCACCCCTCCAGCCGACTGTCCTTCTTCATGATGAGAACCGGGGAGGTTTGAAGGCTTTATCTTCATGAAACTTGTTGCACTTGGCGCTGGATTGTGAGAAGCCCCACAATAGTAGTCACAGTATTCACCTTTTGTCAACGGGTTTAACCGGGGCTCACGACCCGTTTCGACCATACCGCTACCATGCGCCCCAGCTTATTAACCCAGATTGCAAACCATCCCCTGACCACCGCTCGTTCCCCCTCCCTTCAGCCAGGTTGCATCCTGGGACTTCTGTGCACCGGAAACAACCGCGGTCCCTGGCTGGAAGGACTGCGCGAGTTCCCGCTGTTCCTCAACAAACTAGGCGCGGACGCTTTGCAACAGGCGCTGGATAAGGGGGGCCTGCCGCATGGTAAGCCCACTTTTCTCCTCTGCCCCCCAATTTTCGGGCTTTCTTTCCTATGATGTAACCATCGGAAGATACACCGGGTGAGCGATACCTCCTTGCACGACTTCTGCACTCAGATGCGACCCGAGTCAGATGAGACCAGATTGCAAAGACTTGCGATTTACAGGTGTCCGCACAACAGCCGAGACTTTGTTCCATTGCGGTCCTCTCGTTTAAAACTTTAAACCTTTAGTACTTTAAACACGAAAAGCCCCTTTTCATTAGACTGAGTTCGATAGCACGCAACTTGTCTGGTCAATTTCGGCAGGTCGCACGTTGCTAGCGCACTTCAAGACGAATTTATCAATGTATTGAGGCCAAAATTTGCTGGATTGGCTGGCAAGCATACAAATCTGGCTTTAGGGAGTCACCTAACGAAGAGCGGTTGAATCACGTAGACTGATGCCTTCCACTCTGCCGCGCGCCCCTTGAGCTTCTCAATCTGAAGCGATTTCTGAGCAATCTTGCAAAAGACTGGCGTCTTTTTCGATTGCTTTGACATACCCAGAATTTCTTCGAGGATCTTCATGCGCTGAGGAATATCAATCTGGATACGAGGTGAGGGTGACCCTCTTAGGAAGGATCGGAGTCCTTTCACTTCATCCTCGACGAGATGAAAGTCCAATGGGGGACCAGACGGAGGAATCCCCATAGCGGATTTGGAGCCTTTTTGACTTCAGCCAATCCTTTGAGAGAACCCAACGTTTCATGTTCTCGACAGCAACTGTAACACAAAGAGGGTATCTCACCGGCATCCGTTGCGCCAATTGCAGCTCTGGAGTCTCTCGAGCGGATGCAAGAACACGACTTATAAAATCAAACGCGACGAGATCTCAAAGGTTTGACCCCTTGCACCTAGTTGTGACACCGATGAGACTCACAGGTGTCTGACGCTTCCATCGCAGCTTTGGAGTCTCTGGAACGGATGCAAGACCACGACTTACAAAAGATCTGGGTGACCGCCTTCGACGATGAACGGCGCGGCGGCGAGTTCTCGCTCCTCGACGAACGGACCGGCGAGCGGAAGCAGCTGACGTCAACGTTTCCGCAGGCGCTCGGGGTTGCAATACGGTACCGAGAACCGTTTCTGCTGGAGCGAGACGCGTTGCTGTCGGCGAACGCGGATTTTGTGGATAGGATGGTGATCAATCCAAAAGGTGGGTGATTTTGGAGTGTTAGGATGAGAAAAGAACAGGCTGATGGGAAGAGTGCCTTGGATATTCGTGTTCGGAAGGTGTTATTTATTGATTAAAAGTTTGATTTTCACTGATCGGCCTAAATGGTGTGTCCTTAATCACTATGAATACAGTTGATTAAGTGTGACGGCGAGAACAAAGCCGACTGAGTTATGATACGGTGACGCTACTTTGCCTTTTTTTTCGGCGCCCTGTCATGGGCGGGGCATAGGGCTGCTTCGGAAATCGGTCCTTGCTTTGGAAAGGTTTGCGCGAGAACCCTCCCAAAAACCCTATTGCCCTACAAGTATGCTACCCTAGAACACGAACAAATTGAATTCAAGCCTCTTCAGGTGAAGCCTCTTCGGAGTAGGTACGTGTGGTAGTGCCTTCCCAAGAGTCGCGAACAAAGAGTGGAACTGTCGCTATGCCACCTGCTCAATGCGTCTCATTTGTCATTCTTGCATGTTTGGGCCGGTTCTAGCTGTGTCCCGTACCAGAAATTTATCGCGTTTTCTTCGAGGTCCAGCCGAGTTCGCAGGAGAGCCTTATAGACGAGTTCGTACAACCGTGTGAGAACTAAACATGACGTCTTGAGATTTCGACGATATTGTGGTACGGGTGGAACTAAGGCAAAGTTTTTCGGGACGTTCCGACACTCATTCAACCGCTGAGAGACACTGAAGTCATGGATCCGTTACCAGCGCAAATTCCGATTTTTAGAAGCGTGAAAAGTGTGTCATATTGGTGACATATTTCTTTCTGTCCGCAGCGAGGGAGCATCCGGACGATGTGGACATGCTCGCGCGCCTTTCTACCAAGATGCGACTCGTGGCAGCACGGGTGACGGACCTAGAGCGAGAGCTGACGTCAGCCGTTGAAGCCGAGCAGGTCAGAACGATCTTCGCGAGAAAGCTCCGCTTTGTTTTCGCCATCTATGAGCTTCAAAGACTGTCGGTTCTGTACTGTTTTACGTCTCCCTCGTCGGAATAGACGACTTCAATCCGCCGTACTTTCGTGTGCGTCGTCAGGAAAATTAGGAAGGTGAACTTGGATGAATCTCTTATCGCACGCACAACGGCCAGCGGGTCAACTGCACCTAACCGAGTGTCTCGTCCTCTCAACCTGAAAACACGGTTGGTACGGGGCGCAAGGCTGCAAAGGCCGTGCTCAGCCTGGCTTTGCTTTCTCCTACTTGTTAAATAGGGCTAAGAAGGTGCCACTCATGTTGACATCCCGAAAAACTCGAAAGCTGCAGTCCCACATTTTTATTGAACGTTCGAATGGATTTTCAACATTGGCTGCAGTACGAGGACGCCGCCCGGTTGAAGATCGAACTAGAGCGGGCGCAGCTCGAGACGGACGCTGCGCTCCCCGGGCTTCTCAAGGAGCTCAAGGACCTGTACCTGCAGAAGATGCGGATATTCTTCAAGCTCTGATGACGTCGCTTTACCAGCTTTGGCGAGAGGTAGGGATTTAGAGAACCGTTTCGCGGTACTTCTCTGAAGTCAACCGCGCGAGTTCATGAGAGCTTTCAGAGTCAAAATCGCCAGCATGCTGATGCTGTAAACATTGAAAGGAGTGTTCTCAGTAAAGCAGGCTTACCCCGTCCCTGACAAAGTAACAGTGCGATCCGTTTACGGTACGATTTCCGAGTTAGGTGCCTGCCGAATCAAAGCAATGCTGCGCATGGCACGCAGGCTGGGTCCACCAGTAGTATATACGTTTACCTAGTTGTTCGCAAGGATGCAGCGTATCAATGGTTGAGAGCACGAGCCTGCTTCCGACGACTCTTCTCTTGGACGCCGTTTGCGGTCATCATAGCACGGCAGCTTCATGGAAGAACTTGAACCCCGCGCCGCGCATGATCTCATGTGATCATCGGTTCCCACTGCCACTGATCATCACCGAGTCATTGCTGGACATACATATGTCAGTTTAAGCTAGGTTATGGTTGGCTCGAATGTTGCGCCGTCAAAAACACATCATTCGCTTTTGGCCCCACGGTGCCATCAGGATTGATTTTCTCGTGACTCACCTCGTAGTATAGTACCCTAAGTTATGGTACTGCATGATGTCATGCAACGCGGAGGGGTTTCGCAATATGTGTGCAGCACCTTTATAGCTTATAACTTAGCTTATATATAGTACGTTGCATGCACACGATATCGACGGTATGTACGTCCCCATGCACAGAAACAGTCGGACCGTCCTCGCGGAGGATGAGTTAGTGCATGACTGGTGACATGATCGATGCAATGCACACATGAATGATCACCTTATATATATCCTGTCGACCTCATTGAACTTAGCAACATTTTATTAACAATCTTCCATGCTTCGACAATCCGGTTCGCAACTTAACCTAGCTGGCGGCCGCCGCCAACTCAAAACTTATGTTCTACCAACTTACAAGAATTGAACGTGTGCATGCATGCATGACCGTCGACGCCGGAAGCTGGTTAACTTAGTTCGTAATCAACATGCGGACGTAGCGTGCTGCAGCTCCCATGTTTATGCATCATGTGGATCAATCTTGTAGAACTTATAGGCCCTGCATTCCGTCACCGCTGGCACGGGGTACAGCATATGGGCACTTCCCAAATACCCCGGATACGCTTGTATGACCAGGCGGTCGGACTCCAAACATACAACGGTCAGACACATGCATGGCAGTTCATCGCAGCAATCATTCATAAGCAAACGTGGCCCATGTGGCAGCGTCTGTCTCCGGTGCCACTGAAACTATTGCTTGATGGTCTCTGGAATCTGCCTTGCAAGCTTTTTAATCCAAGTACTTTTAATGTTATGTTTGAGTCACGGTGTATGTTTGAGTCACGGTCTGTCCATCGCAAGAACCGACATCGTCAATGGTATGTCGAGCTCTACAGAACCACGAGCATATGATTGGTTGGCAGGCGTACATTTGTAACGAGTGACCTCGCTTTCTCGTTGAATCGCTGATCTCCCCTCGAGCAAGCGGTATTGAATTTTTCGTTGCGCACTTCCGTTAATCAAACAACTGCATCTCCAACGTGTCATCGCTGCCAAACCCCGTCTCGAGTTCTTACGCAGCGGCTAAGGCTTTGCTTCCGACGCCCGTACAAAAATGAACGGTCTTCCAGAAACGGTCTCCAAAAGCTCGCTCTTTGCTTTTGCGGCAGCCAACGAGCTTCTTGCCCATTTTGAACGCTCGACGCTCTCTTCCGCAACGAGCAAGCTCACCCCAGCCCCAACAGCCGCGTTTCGTCTCCCGTCAGCCTGCAACCACACCCCCGTTCCGCCTCGTCGCGACTCCGTCCGCTGCTTCCCGAGGGCAAGCTCCTGCCCTCGACTCCCCCTGTTGATGTCACTTCGCGCAACAAGTCTTTCCTTGGACCTTCTCAGGGGGCAGAACTTGCCACGTTCAACCACCCCCACTTTGCCGCTCTTGTCCGCGTCCGCTGCTCCTGGGGGCCCAGCTCCAACCCCCAACGTGACCTCCGGAACCGATACGGCATCGTGGGACTCGACTTTCAGAGAGCCTCCCCCAGCCCTTTCCCCGTAGAAATGGATTTCCGCCGCGTCGTCTCTTCCAATTGCCCCTCGATAACGCGCCTACCCCGATCCCACTCCAGACTCGCTTCCACTTTGCCGGGGGGGGGTGGGAACTTCAGCGCACAGTTGGTCTCCCCAGAAGAATTATTTCCGGGGGATCCTCGTCGCTTTTTTCCACTGCTCCTCCGGGGGCAGCTTGCGGTCCTGCGGCCGCAGGAGGGCGTCCACGTGGCGCTGCCGCGCGCGCTCTTCCTGGTACTCCACCTGAATGCGCGTGTGGTCCTCCGCAACTAGAACGCGGTCGCTACCAAATGCGGTGCGGGCGGCGTCAACGCCGGGGCCCACTTGGTACTGCAGCAAAGCACAGCGAAGATATTGAGAATGAACCACAAGACATTGGAAAGGGTACTCGATCTGGTTTCCGGTCGCTGCCAATCGCGGCATGGACGGCTTCAACGCTGGGACCCACTTGGTACTGCAGCTTGACGTTAATCGTCATGTAGCATCTTCCAAAACAAGCCACAAGCAGATTGAATAAAGGATTTGACTTCCTGACTTCAAAAAGTTGCCTGATTATTGCACACTCGAAGTAAAGCGGCCCAGTCTCTTCCTTTTTCGACAATCTTGTCTGCTTTTCTCTTATCAAAGATTGACTCTATTTAGCATGAAAGAATCCTAGGAAAGTAAGGAAGAGATGACAAACCACGAAAGAAAGCGCGACAGCAGCAAAATTGTTGCGAAAGCGGGAGGGCAGCGAAAAGGATGAAAGACAAAGAAAACGAACCCCAGATACAAACTAGAATGGACAGCGAGAGTCCCAGCGCTTACAGTCGCTCATTCCTATCAGTATCAGCGGTTGGGAGATTTTGATCGTGCTTCCACACGCGCGGGGGCCGCATTCTCCTAGCACGGGAGCCCCAAACGGTCCAACAAAGAAACGTCTCAAGATTCAAGTGTTCAGGGGCCTCAGGGGCCACTTAGATCCATACCTGGTATCTTGGGCTGATATGCGTCAACACCAACGTGCGCGCGTCCATGGCTCGAGCCGCTTGCCCGGCCATTGCTGCAGAAACCGGCAGGTTAGTTCAGGTTTGGAGGTTTCTGTCATGGTCCGAGATGTGGGATAACCCGATTACAGGGTTGTTAGGGTCGGTTATCATGGTTTGATGTTGATGGGTCAAGTGAAATCCGGCTCAGGGGCACAGCCCTGCGGCTCAAAGCTTTGTCGCCAATTCGCTTCTTAGCATAGTCTGCCAAGGTAATAGGGGGATACATCGCTACTAAGACCGCCGCTCTTGATTCTGTAATCCTGGTGTTTGTCAGGCTGCCCTCCTGACAAACCCGCTTCGAAAATGTCTGTCCAGAAGTCCGACCACTTTAAGGACCCACAATTATTGTGCCGCATTTTCACTCCTTCTGAATAAAAGACTCAAGCTGCGTTTGGCAAGAGACGCGAGATACAGAAAGGTCCGCGGCGGCAGCTTAGGATTGACCTCGAAAGTAGAGGAGCTGAAGGTTCTGACAGAAGAAAGAGGAAGGTGGCGCTCCACTACTGACTAGTGCTACGAGAGACGGTGGTCCATCCAGTTTATGCTCACGCTCATTGGTATGTATCGGACTGGCCAAAGGACCTTGTAAAGGTTGACTCGTATGACCAGAATCTCTCGTCTGCGAACCGCTTCTCAGGGGTCAAAAATCAGGCAACCACTTCCACGCATATTAACAACTAGAGTGACACGATACAGCACCCCCGGAGTGAAAGTTCACAGGCGGGGGAGTGGCCCATTTGAAATGCATCCCGCTCTCGTTCCTCCTGAAGAACAAGTCACGAGAACCAGATTGACACGAAGCACCCTGGGAATGAAAGCTCACAGGCGGTGGAGTAGCCCATCTGAAAAGCACCCCGCTCTCGTTCCTTCGGGAAGAAGTGTTTGAGAACTAGATTGACACAAAAAGAATTTCGGAAACGGAAGCTCACTGGCGGTGGAGTGGCCCATCTGAAAAGCGTCCCGCTCTCGTTCCTCCTGGAGGACCGTCGCCTCATGCACCAGCAGGTCGCAGTCCCACCCGGCGCGGTACAGCGACGACGACTCGCACGTGTCGCCCAGAACAACTGCGGCAGAGAAAGGATCATTCGCTTGTTGAGGGCGACAAAGAAACGGAAAGGGGCGGAATGATGCCAGTACGTGTCGCCCAGAACAACTGCGGCAAGAAAGGAGCTCAGCTTGTTGGGGACGACCTAGATCAGAGGGGGGCGAGACGGGGCTCGTAAGTGTCGCCCAGAACAGCTGCGGCATAGAAAGGAGCTCAGCTTGTTGGGGGCGACAAGAAATTAGGAATAAGCGAGAGGGCCCGTACGTGTCGCCCAAAACAACTGCGGCAGAGTAAAGAGCTTCCGCATGTTGAGGGCGACAGAAACTAGGAATGGGCGAAGCAGAGCTCATAGAGGCCCGCAACGGGAGCTCAGAAGAACTGACCAAAGTACTCCCGCCGCTTGATCGGAGTGGCGAGAGTTTTTCACAACATCAGTAACCAAATACAAAAGGAGGCGACTTGTTGGATGCCAGAGAATAACGACGCGGGCTCACGGATCAAAATGGGGATCGCATGAGACTGACCTATCTTCCGGCCTCTCCGAGGCGGCCCCACCACGTCTTCCGGATGAATCTGCAGCACACGACATTGTAAGAACAGATTCTTGCGCTGAGACTTGCGCTCAGACCTCCAAAATCTATGAACTTCTTCTCTGACGTGTGCTTCGCGATTTGCTGAACCGTTCGCAGTCAGTGCCAAGTGCTCTGATGCGCTCGCCAATGGCCGACATCCATCTTGTAACTCGTCTGAACAAACCTGCGCAAATAAGCACCCATTGCACAGCTTCGCTGCGGCCCGAATGAAGAGGAACGCATTTTGCAACTAGGCGAGCCGACAATCCACTTCGCTAACCCTTGGTTACCTTGAGAAACCTCGACCTTCTTACCCAGCTACTTGTCAAACCCCGGTTTTTTACGGACGCAGAGGGCCATTCCATATCTTAGTGCCTCCAGATCGTTTGACGCACACGCAGCGAAGTCGAGAAACTTTTAAGAGCGGACATCAGGTATCATCAGGGTCTCACGCCAGCGAGGAGAAAGTAAGGGAGCATCGCCGATCTATCACAACGGCGTATCTCACCGTTCGACCGTCTGGCAGCGTATGGCTCTTCCCCCGAGACAGCGGTCCAAAGTGGTCCCTATGAATATCGAGCGCTTCCGCCTTTTCCCTGTCGAATCTGTGGAGCGGAGACGGAAACCAGGATCACAAACAATCCAAGAGGAAGACCGCATCTGCAGAGCGGCCAATGTGGACAAAAAACCAATCCTCAAAAAAATCGAAAAGCCAAAGGGAGGAGTAGTTCTCGCCGGTAGACCGAAAGATGGACAGAGACGGATTGATTCTCGCAGGGGGAGCAAAAGGCCCTGACAGAATGGTATGGCCGAGGTATGGCCTGGTCAAAGCAAGGAATGAGCGGCCTCCAGTTTGCAATCTGGAGCTTTTATATTGCGAAGATTTCCATCTTCCTACTGTGTCCAATCAAATTACAAATACCCCACCGCTTGTGCGGGCTCCGATCGTACTTCTTATAAGGTTCTGAAGTTCCGTAGTTGCCGGGATCAAAACCTTCGATACCGGAGTGTTGACAGAAACCGGTCACAAGCCCCCCCGGCGCTCACCTCCCAGGTTTCACTTTTTCCGAAATGGCGTAGCCGAAGCAGGGGATGGTATGCTTGATGGCCCCCGCCTTCACGACTAGGTTAGCGTCCTCGAACACGTGCCACGTGCCGTCCGAGTCGCACACGATGTCCTTCCCCGGGAGCTCGTCCCGGTGGGGGAGGAGAAACTCGTCAATTCGCCGAGATCGCTGCTCCTGAGAAAGAAGAAGAGAAAAGGGCGGATCTGTGGACGGGGAAAGTAGCGTCGATCAAGTTCAGTAAAAAGAGGCCGTTCTTTTGAGGATCAATCGATGCCAGAAACTCGTCGATGCCGCATGACAGCTGCTCCCGGAAAATGGGAGCAGAAACAAAGGGAGAATCAGGGGCGATTAGCATCTCCTTAGGCCTCACAAAGTGCGCCACTTACTTCCAGGTACGACATTTCGCAAGGTGGTCATTGTGTCAGGACCGCTCTCCTAGCAAAGGAGAGGTGAATTCGACAAGTCGTTTTTTGTATGAATAGTAATTGGACAGTCTTATTTCGACTTCCGAAAGTTGTGAGAAGCCTGTTCCGGCTTGTCAGAACCTAGACACAACGCTCATTACTCAAATTAGCGGAGGTGTGTTGTCATGTTCTGGAATAGTGTATGAAACCGGGACCGGTAGCTCTCAGATCGGTGACTCCGGAATCGGAAAATCCAAAGAGCTCCCGGAAAGAAGACAGTCATGGGTGAAAATTCGCGAACCTTGCAAAGGTGGCTCTGGATGTGCGGTCTCTCGCTATTCTCACAACACCTCGTCCGCACCCTACATACACTTAGATTCTCAGCCCTAAGTCCCAAACCGCTGAACCTTAAACCCTCACCCGCTCGTCCGGCGGCAGCAGCTCGTGCACCGCGTACCCCGCGTCCACGCCTGCATGCGTCGCGCTCAGCAGAATCCGCAAAAAGTGGCGCAGCCCAAGCGGCCCGTACACGTGGACGGGCCGGATGTCGGCGTCCTTTCCCTGCGAGCGGAGCGCAGAAAGTTTGAACGTCGCGGTCGTCTTGTGCGCGACTACGACGTGGCAGAAAGTGAAGTATTCAAGATCTTGATTTCAGAATGATGGTGAGAAATTTCGGGCAGAGAAGATTGATTTAGCTGGGACACCTCAATCTCGTGTCGCTATATCTATATTCCGATGTCAGAAGTAAAAGTTCCAGATCTGTTTTGATTCAAGGAGTTTGCCCGTTTGTCCTAGATCACATGCAGAGGTCCAAAAGCGACTGGGCTGCCCATGGCTAGACCTTCCCGTCTGGGGTGGCCACGTCGAGATCGGACGGCTACGACAGGATTCAGCAATCGTGAACTTCTGCCTGGGGGTTGGACACCCCCAAGGGTCCTGGTATTCGCCGATGAAAGTGGAGCGTGACTTGGATTTAGGACGTCGTCAGACAATCTGGTCTCTACGGACCGTTAGGGGGAACGGTAGCTGCAGAGCCTACCCTGTATACGCTACCCAAGTGAGCTCTACGGATGAAAGATGACTTGAGAGGTGCTGCGCTTCGTGGGAAAAAGACAGAAAAAGACAAGTGATTCGCTTGCCTGCGACGCGGCGCCCCGCGTGCGCAGCCCGAGGTAGATGAGCATCGCCGCAAGGCCGTGCACGTGGTCCCCGTGCATGTGCGTGATGAAGATGCGCTCGACGGAGCCGAGGCGGAACGGCGCGCCGCGCAGGAGCTGCTGGAGGGAGCCGTCGCCGCAGTCGATCAGGAACGTGGACTTGTCTGCAAACGAGCGGAAAACAGTTTGAAGAACAATTTTTTTCCTGATTGTTGAAGAGCATTTGAAGAACATTTGAAAAACATTTTGTTCTGATTCGTATAAAAGACTTCTTCTGATCAATTCAGTGGTCGGGAACGTGGACTGTTTTGCTAGTGAGTGACAGCAAAGCGGAGGAAGCCGTCGCCCCAGTCGATCAGGAACGTGGACTTGTCTGCAAAAGAGTGGGGAACATGTTCCTTCGAAACCGCCTTCTGATTCTGTTGAAAGAATTTTGTTCGATTGTTTTCATGGTCAGAAACTTGGAGGAATTTGGTAGCGGGTGACAACCAAGCAAAAGAGCCGTTGCCGCAGTCAATCAAAAACGTGGACTTGTCTGCAAACGAGCGGAAGCCAGCGGGGGCCGATGAGTGTGCGAGTCTCCTGTATGTTTTGATGGTCACGAGTGCCAACTTGTCTGCAACAAGTGGATGCGAGCGGGTGGTGCACGAATTTGTGGGGGAAGAGTCGTCAAAAGTGGATGAGAAGTGGAGGGACCCGTCATCGAGCAAGAACGGGTAGCAATTCATCGAATTGACGTTCAACTTTAGCGGATTGAAGGGCTGTCCTGTAGTTGACTGGAAACCTGGACCAATCTGCAGGAACCAATGAGAAGCAGAAGCCTCTTCTGACTTGGCTTTGTAAAAGAGACGCATCGCGAATTGGTCGACCAACGACCATTGACCAACGACGAGGGTAATAGTGGACCAAGATTACGAACTTCTCTACTCAAATTGTGCGATTCGATTTCCCCCAATAAACGGGCCCCACTAGAAGTGCGAGGTCTTCCCCCGTCAGCAGGAAGACACGACGGCGATATAACCGAGTTTCAAGCATGGCTTGGGCGACATGTCAGGACCTTTGCAAGCATAAGTTAAGAGGAGAGCAATCCTCGTTTCGCCTCAGATTTGGGGAAACCTCAAGCGGAGAGGCAATCTTTCCGAAGCTTTCATGCAGAGACTCGTCCGATTGCTGGCTTAAAAAAGTTCCTACGAGCGACTCTGAAAACGACGCAGACACCTAAGACCCACAACTTACAACGACAGCCACCCAGGACTTGAAAGCTCAAGACTTGGAAGCTCAAAACTTGGAGAACATCCAATGATGTAAAAACCTAGGATGATCGAAATGGGGAGAAAGAAGACCCGCGCAAACTCCCTCACCTATGCGGACCGCTGTGCACGACATGTTTCGCCAGAGCGACGGGACGTTGCTCGAGGTGCCAAAGAACACGACCTCGAACCCCGTAAACTCAAACCCCTCCGGCCGCGAGTCCAGGTTCGGGGCATACACCGCATGTCTTGGGTGCGTGATCTCTAGGTTTCCATATCTTGACGTCAAATACTCGACAGGCGCTAGCAAGTGCTGCGCCGCCCGTGGCCAGTTCTCCGCTCTGGTTTGCCGCGGGGCGCCCCCTGAGCTTTGTTGGCTACCCCTTTTGGTTTTGACAACCCTGTTGCTAATGGAGGTGCTAGTGATGTTCTCCTTGGATTGCCGGTTGTCTTGACTGACTTGCTGATCTCCGTTCGTTGTGCCAGTCCCCTCAGCGCGCTGACCTTTTCTAGACTTTCGAGAGGCGTTGGAGCTCTCTCCTTGTGGACTTCTACTCTGACTCGGTCTTTGACTAGGTTGAGCAAGGACTGCATCAATCGTTTCCTGGGAGAGGTTTGGACTAGCGACATCACAGGCGGCAGGGGTGGGTAGACTGCGAGCTAGGTCCGATGGAGGGGTGGTGGATTCAGGCTGCATATGTACTAAGGATGGGGAATGAGTGGGAGGATTATCTGACGGCTCTTCTGCCAACACTTGGGAAGGGGGACCATGGTCTGATGAGGAATCTGAACTAGAGGCGGCAGCGGAAAGATCAGGCTGAGTGGACAATTGGGACAACGGAGCCAGACTCTCAATCGCATGGTGGGCGCTGTGACTGCTACTAACTCCAGCATTGTTCGCTTGAGTACCATTGAGATTCAACGCTTGCTCGACCTGCGGCTGGACCTCCTTGACAAAGCTTGGCGAGACTTCATCTCTCTTTGCATTAAAACTGGCATCTGCGGGGGTGGTTGTGTGAGGAGGGCTAGAAGACCCCCCTTCGACTATGCTTTCCGGCTGGGAAATCGACAAGGGGCTTGCGACAGACCCTTCGGACGGTACAACCTGGCGTCCAAATGCTGTGTCCGACTTTTCGGACGCCACCACCTCACCATCGGACGCCACTGCCGGACTTTCGGACGGCGTTTGCGAGAACCACCGCTGACCGCCAAGACTGTGCAAAGGATGGTAGCCATTGGGCCAGCCAGCTTCCCTGGCATAAGCCCCGGATACTGCCTCTCTCGCGCGCCTCCGCTCGAGCGCTCCAGTTTGCAAAAGTGGTGGCAGTGTGGGTGCGGATGTTTGAACGAGCTTCTGGGGGTGGAGCTGTCGGTCTGTCAGCTGGCGTTTGACTGCGGAAGGTTCTGAGATTGTGGGTGTGATCACACCTGCAAGGGTGGTAAGAAGGAGTCTCAGCCAGAACCTTTTCCTGAAGGAGGAATCAACCCAGTAAGTGCTGAAAGAAGTGTACCAACTTCAAATTGTGCTCGAGGGAAAATCATAAGTAACATTGCTTACAAATTGGAGATTGAAGTGCTGCGCCAGCATTGGCGTGCTCTGCAGGCACGATAAGTGGTGGAACTTCCATCAGTCTGCATTGACAGAACTCTTGAGGACCTAAGTACAACCACCTGGCGCCAAATATTGCCAAGAGGAGGGAGAAGAACATCTTGGTGATGATCAACTATTGGAGAAAAAGTTGATGGCAGGAAGGAAAAAGACAAAGTCATGAGAACAAAAGGGAATGGAACAAATTAAGCCCTACCTGATATTTTGCTGCAGGTCTGCACCTTCCCTGACCAGGAACCTTGCCAGCCACTTGCTAACCTACGCGATGCTCGCTCGCCGACCAGCTGCCCACTTGGTGTTGCTCCTTCGAGCAGCCTGCTCAGCAACCTGAAGGCCAACCCTGTACCCCGCTCCATTGGCAGATATGGTATTTGCACCATTCAATCATCCTACTTGGATCTGCGGAGTGCTGATCGAATGGTCCAGTGAGGTTCAATGGCAACTGTTGAAAGACGTCCAAGTTGAACCACACCATGCACTCGGTCGGAGCCTGGAGGTCCGCCTTTGCTTGGCTTTCGGCGTTCGCGCGATCTTTACACGGGGCGAAACAGATTGTATCTATCGAACGGTCAAGGTAGAATCCAGAAGCAATCGTAAGGATAGAGTTGGAGCAAGAATCTTACGAATTGACGTGGCATATGTAAGATCCATTCGATTGGCTCTTGGCGAGAGCGAATCCAATAAACCTTTCGAGATCGATTCCGACATGCCCAATGTTGCCCATGATTTGATAAATTTGAAATACAGCAGGTGGAATTGACAATATTGTGGATGCTGCTAAAACAGAAGTCTCCGACCAATCCTGACGGGTTTCAGCAACTTAGCACATCATTTGTTCAGCATACAGAATGTTGCTTTTAATGCCAGCAAAAATAGTGCATCCTTACTATCCTTTGCTATCATTGCTTTGTTTCTGTGATCGCAACAAATTTTCATGCAACTTGACAGATGCAAGACCTTTCAGCAAGCTCCCGCCGGTCTTCTTAATTGAAGATTGATCTTCCAATCAACACGATTGTAACTGCATCTTGCATGCTCCATTCTGCATGCAGCCCTCACCATGACAGGACTTGGAGTAGCATTTTAGATGTTGGATAGCATCAAAGTCACGTATTCCCATTGCTGGCGAAAACAAATGTATTATCTTGCCAAACCCATCCAAGATTGTCACGTGAATGTATTACACCAGATTTTTGCCAGGCCACTCATCGCACTGCCGCAATTAAAGTGGGCTCATATGATACTCTTGAAGGTATACTTCTGTTGCAAGGCGACTTGCGACCAAACCAACTTTATGGCTGGTTGAGGAGTACCATGCCGCTACGTCCAACGACTCCGTTCTTTTGAAGAGACGCTTCAATGTTTCTATATCGATGTCAGCACCTAAACCCGTAGTACAAGTTCTTCAGACTCAACAATTATCATTCATCTTCTGGGCAGACTACAATTGTTCGAGCAAGACTACGAATGCATTGATGTTATGCATCTTGACTAGTGTTTGAGGCTCGCCAAACAACCCAAACGAGTTGCATCCCTGGATGACTGCGCTTAATGTGTTCCGGCTCAAAACGCCTTGATACGACTATGTAGCTGCATCGCCAGTGCTACTTTGAAGTATGAAATTTGGCCAACCATTTCAATGTGAGATTCTTGAATTGAAGCTTTTGCAAACCTGCTTTGCTAGCGGCGGGCCAGGACAAAGGATATCAAATTCTTGAATCTGCCCATGCGAACTGAGTGATGGCTTTAAGGATCTTGTTTCAGAATCTCATAAGTACCTTGTATGAGCAGATGGCTGTAGGTTCAAAGATGGCATGGGAAGAGACTAGGGAGAAAGCTTGAAGATATCTAAGCCGTCAAGCTGAAGAACTTCGGCTACATGGAAATCAGGATCATTTGACTCTGTTCGTTTGCCCTGCAGATCAGCCCGGCCGCTATGCTTTGGATCCGTTTCAAGAATCGACAAGGTCAGTCTAAAGTAATACTAGGTCCAGTATGATCCGCGGGTGCCCTTTCAATGTGGTCTAATTATACTCTCGGAAGACACAGATCAGCGCAAAGCCAAATGTTGGCAGCAGTGACGCCCACGCACAAAATGCAAAACCAGCTGCTGCTTTCGCCAGTCCGCACATTTGGCCCTGTATTTGCGAATCGCATAGCAGCCCGTTTATTGTCGTAACCCCCGCTGCAGCGCATCCAGCCCCAAAGCTCAACAGGACCAGCAACTGCAAGGAACAGCAGTGTCATCATCCTCAAAAACGTGTTAAGAAAGTTGTGTCTGTGTGCCCCGGTATGTTCAAAGGACCGGGACGTCCGCCCTGGCAACTTGATGACACTTTTCGTATCAGCAAGCTATCAAAAGGTGGAAAGCGAATCAAGTTGATGTTATCAGCATAATTGTCATGCAACAGCTGCTTTCTAGACGAAGTGTAAAAGCAGGCCCTGCAGACCACATTGAACGGACAAACTGGGATCAAGGAAGACCTGGAAATCTTAGATGCGGAAGGAGGCGCATTGGGAAGGGTTGACATCGCGAGCTATGGTGTTGTTCGACCAGCCATCGTCGATCGAGAAGGCCCTCAGAAACTCCCTGTAACTGCAGACGTTGCCCGTTGGCATCACTTCCAACAGCATCCCCATCTTTGTCAAGGACCATCTGTGGGGTTCTTTCACCCTGCTAGTGCAGATGACTGTGCTTCTCCTGCTCTTTGTCAAACTTGCAACTAAGCGTGGTTGCCATGGCCATATCAATTTTAATCTTGTCATCATCAAATATGACATCAATGTCAAGCTCACCGTGTCTGTGAGGAAGCAAGCCCAGATGCGCCATCTTGCCAATTGGAGGCGACCCCACCCGCACAACTCAAACAGGTCCCGAAGCAGGATCCCCAAGCTCCAGACGAAGGTCAACACCATAGCTGCATATGCAAGAGTGGCCAGGGGCTTCAGAATCTTCTATTGTTGCTCCAGACTGCTCCCTCACTACCTCACGCCAAGTTTGCCAATCTTTCTGATTCTTTCAATAGCAAGATTCTTGCAGACTCAATTTGCGCAACCCTGCGCTCCATTGAATCTTCTCTGCCCACTAAGAAGCCAATTGCTGTTAGGCTGGTGCGCTTGCTGGAACTGATTGGCCAGCTTTTCCGTAAAGGCAATCTGAACTGTGCTTGTGATGAGCTGCAGTTCCAATAATGAGTTGTGCAAAAATCAAATGGGAGAATCTTTGAAGGCTCCTGTGGCTTTGCTCACGCAGAACTTGCTCCAAAAGGCTTTTCCTGCAACCCAATAGTGTGGCCAGTCACAAGATTGAGACTGCGAATGCAGAGCCAAAGAGTTAAAGGTAAGCTCACTTACCCGCAACCAGAAAGCTGAATGGTGGGAAGTCTGAGTAATGCAGGTTGACTGATATCTTGGTAAAGCCGGTGTGATATGAGTAGCTCTGGTTTGAGGACGCCATGAGGGAGAAGGACACCAGAGAGCAGAGGGCTTGGAGAGAGCGGATGCCCAGGCTCAACATGGCAGTTGACTTGGGGCGATCCTCCAACATGAGATGCCGCCCGTAGCCAGACGAGGCTGCTGGGGGAAGGCCCTCCTGCATAGAGAGGGGTGGTGGCGGCGGCCTTCCTGCTCCCCATTTGTTTCCAGTTGGTCGGGGCCGATGGTTGGAGGAATTTGTGTGGTCCATGCTCCCCAAACTCTGATTCTCAGGGGTGAAAGCTGCTGCCTTGCAAGTGCAACGTCTACAGGCCGCAGTTGATGCAAAAGAGTTGGCCTTTCAAGTATCAACAAGTAGCATCGATTCAAGATTGGTCGCAAATAGCTACACAGTCTATCAAAGACTGCTCCACTTGATGCTGTCTGCAGGCATGCAGGCTCTGGAGGTGATCAAAGATCAGCAGATGATTCTGCTATGCTGCAATGACAAAGCTGATTCAAACTTTGCTGCCAGTCTATTCAACCCGCTCCAGAGACAGCTGAATGCAATGCGAAGCTCTCGCCAGCACAGCCAGCTGCATTGCATAGAACCTTTTCCGTGAGTTCTACTTGGTTGCACCAATCATCAGCTAGAAAAGGAAAGCGACGCTGATCAGAGACAGCTTGACCAGTATCCCGCCACCATACCCAGAACCTCCGGTAGGTCCAGTGGTCAACCCTCCTACCGGGGCCTCTTAACAGGCCACAGGGCGGCGTTTATGGTGCTAACAAAACCCCGACAACTGCGACCCTTACGACTGCTCAACACCCAGAACACCAATGCAGCGTTCCAACCAGATTTGCTGTACAAGACAGACAGCGCTGGCGGCGCTGGTGCGTAGGGCAGCGTAGGACCCAGGTACTACGGTACCTAGGTAGCGCTGGGTAGCGCTAGCTGTAGCCTCAGTCTCTGTCACGGTACTCAGTGTCCGTAGCTGAGGAGTCAGGAGTCAGGACTCTGTGCTCGCATTCAAATTTGTACTGGCCTTCCTCTTCCGTCACGTGGTGGGGCTGGGTTCCGATTGACCTGGCATTCCAGCCTGAGAAGAACAGGGCCCGCAGAGGACATGGCGCCAAAGCGCGCGCGGACAGGCTCCGCTTCCTGCCCGGTACGCACCTGCAACCTGTCCCTCCGACTCCCGCCTGACGTCCCCCGCCCACATCTGCCTTTCCAAATCATCCCCCGGCCTCAAAATGAGGGGGAGGCTCTCGGGTGCCGGGCGGAGAGACAATCGATCGGTGCCCGGGATGAGTAAAACACCGGTACCCCGGTCCCTTATGCATAGCGGGAGCTGTGCTGCTGAGTTTTGAGCAGCCATTTTCAAATTGTGCATGCCCTTCACTTTCCAGATTCCAACTTCCTCTCTGTTGCTCCATACCGGTAATCCATTCCGCCGTCTAGCCTCTGTGTCCCCTCAAAAAGTTTGCGCAGCTTTCTTCTGGGGCGAGAACAGAGGCTTCAGTGCCAGCATCTGCATTTTCAGAGCAACTTTTAGAGGTTCACACGCAGGCGGTCATCATGTTTGAGGGAAGGCTCTTGCAGGGGTCCCTGCTCAAGAAGGTCCTTGAAGCCATCAAGGACCTGGTTACTGACACCAACTTCGATTGCTCGGAGACGGGGATTGCTCTGCAAGCCATGGACTCCAGCCATGTGGCCCTGGTTTCTCTTCTGCTCAAAGACACCGGCTTCGACCACTTCCGCTGTGACCGGAACCTCGCGCTCGGTATCAACCTGCAGAACATGTCCAAGATGCTCAAGTGCGCAGGGAACGATGACATCATCACGCTCAAGGCGGAGGATGAGGGCGACACCATCACGTTTATGTTTGAGAGCCCCAGTGAGTGATTACAGCTTTGATGATAGGATATTGAACCGCAAAGTGGCGAATCAGGACTGTAGGCAAAGGCTCCTCTCACTTGAACGGCCTTGCGGAAAGCTGGAACTTGTCAGCATTTTGCATGCATTAGAACCGGCAGTTTAGGGGCCTTCCATTTTTCTGCAAATGCAGAGAGGACTTCTTTGAACCGTGTGTCGGGCACTCTTCACAATTTAGGCAGCTTGCAAGATCAGGTACCTGTAAGATCAGGCAGTCTGACCTTGAAGAATAGTTATCACTGCAAGTGCGTCAAATGGTTTGTCAGACTTTACAAAAGAAGATGCAGCAAGCTACTTTCTTCTTTGGTTTTTACCAGGTTCCAAGTTAGTTTTTGGGCGCTCTGGTCATCCTGCAGTCCTCAGTCCCTGTTCCGTTTCTTTGCCTTGAAAAGGTGTCCAGCAGGGTTGATAGTTTCTAAAGAGAAACCACATTATGTGATTGCACACACGGAGGTAATTCCAAAAACCGGCAGCCTGCAAATTGATCAAACTCCTTCCTTAGGAATTTGGGAGCCCTCAACTTATAGGGGAGGATCTTGTGACACATTTGGGCCTCCTCTTTGCAGACCAGGACAAGATCTCAGACTTTGAGATGAAGCTGATGGACATTGACAGCGAGCACCTCGGCATCCCCGACACCGACTACCAGGCCATCGTGACCATGCCGTCCGCAGAATTCCAAAGAATAGTCAGGGACCTCAGCAGCATCGGTGATACAGGTACGACCACCTTTTCCCTCCTGACACTCTAAAGATACTGTATGAGTTTTGCTGAAGCTTAGGTCTTGTCTCTCGGTCCTCCTATCAGATTCTCTGGAAGGATGTGAAGGCATTGGACAACCTATTCACATTGCTGGCAGAGCCTGATTGCGACATTGATCTCACCACTCTGGCAAGAACGTTCAGGGGCCTCAGAAAAGTTCGAATTGCACAGTCACAGCATGCTGTTGTCTTAGAGAACGTGATCGTTGTCCATGACTGTATTGCCTCGGTAAGGTCCTGTCCTCCTCTGTGCAGCGGTCATCGGTGTGACAAAGGAGGGCATCAGCTTCTCAACAGGGGGTGACATTGGAAAGGCCAACATCGTGTGCCGGCAGAATACAAACGTCGACAAGGTATGCAAACAATTTTCCCTCTTGTCAAACTTTTATGCTCTTCGCTTGGAAGTGCAGCGGAGCTGACTCAAAACCCTCCCTGACCATGGCGTCGTGCAGGCCTGGCCAGCAACTTAGTCAACATACTGCTTGTCACTTTATTGTGGCACTCTGCAGGAGATTTTCGGAGCTTCGGGCCTGCTTGATAGTGAGCTGACGCACTTTCTGACATCTACTTTGTATGTGCAGGAAGAGGATCAAACCACAGTCGAAATCCACGAACCTGTCTCCCTCACTTTCGCCCTTCGCTACTTGAACTCCTTTACGAAAGCCACTGCCCTCTCCCCTCAAGTCACACTTAGTTTGTCCAAGGAGCTCCCTATAGTTGTCGAGTACAAGATTGAAAAGATGGGTTTCCTGCGCTTCTACTTGGCCCCAAAGATTGAGGAGGGAGACGACGAAGAGGAAGCATGAGATAGACCGTTCCTGTACATTAAAACGATATTGTTGCTGCTACGCATCTGAGGATGCACATGCCAAGACAAAGCCATGAGTCGTGGCGAATTAAGCAAGCTGTTATCCGAGGCCATCCTTTGGCCCAATTCTTTCAACTGATGAGCGACCATGACCGCATGTACTTTTCATGGTGATACAATGGCTTCGAATGAGACGATACCTTACACGTTCAATGGTCGAACCTGATTCTCAGCTCATGATCAACGTAGAGCAATGCATGCATAACGTGGGTTATGTTTTAAAAGTATTGCAGGCCCGCATACGTGTGTTCATGCATGCTCCTAATCCATGTGCATGGCACACATTTACTGTTCTGATATCTTGGTCAGAGCTAAGAACCATTACTGCAGTGACGCGCCTATGAATCTGTATGTAGGCAGCATTTGTCGCTGTGATAGATGGCATGGGCATTGAGCACAACAATCAGCTATATAGAGGAACTTTCTAAAGCGGGCGGCCTTGCATGAATTTTGTACAGGAGTTACCCGGACCACCTACACGTAGACCTATACAGCAGCTAGGCAAACCTGCCCGCAACCGTAACGGCGCCCACGTATTGGTCCTCAAACCTGATCAAGGCACCGTGCAATTGTACAATAACTTCCTGGCGCACCTTCAATATGTACAGGTTCGATTGTGAATGAATGGCTAGGTACCTAGGATGGTGTCAATGAGCGCCGCGGACCCCTTGGCAACGTCGACGTTCGCGTTGAATGGGCTGTGCTCGTCCAGAACTTCCATGGTCATGGCCATCTGCAAAGAAAGACCGTTTCAGAAAACGCATCCGCTAAAAGAGTCGCTGATGCACATACTAAACATGGAAGGTGGAAGTCGGTATGTTGTAGATTTGGAGGTTCTTCCTTGAAAACACATTGCGTCCATTTCAACAGACAAGTGGAATGTTTTCACATTTCCCGCCATCTTCAACGGGCAGGTTCGGCCCAAAAAAGCTATCAACTCTCACGGTAGGTCTGACCCACACGCCAAACTGACCGGCAACTTCCACCAACACCTAGCGGGACGAAAGAGAAGCCCAACCGGGCGGACTTGTCATCTTCGAAAGGAGATTCTGATCAGCTGGGTTTTTTGATGGGGCTGGTATACTAAAAACAAATGTCCGTCTGCCAGAGTAAAAAACTTCCGAAAAGCATTGTGAGCGCCCACCTGCGCCATCTCCCGCCGCAGGAAGTCCGAGACCGCCCGTCGGAAGTTGGGGTCCCGGATGTAGTGCGCGCTGAAGGTGGGCGTCGGCAGGTAGCCGCGCTGGATCTTGTGCTCGCCCTGCGCGCCCGCCTCCACGCGCTTCAGCTTCATCTCGATCGCGGCTTCAATCGCCTGGGGGAATATAGGCAACCCTTCTAAGAAGACCGCGATTTGTTGCTGATTGCCAGACGGTGTTACAAGACAATCATAGGTAGTGTCTTCGAAGAGCTTCAGCTTCCACTTTGTTGCAGTCTCATCTGCCGCCGTTGGCTCGGGATCCTGAGAAATCCCAGTAAACTATTGCGGAGCGCGGAAGATGTCAGTCACTCGCAGCCCTGGTTGCATGAAGGTCTCCAAAGGACAGATTTTGCCTGAGACACGAAGGCTCGACGATCTGCTTCTTTGAACCTCCAATTGGTGATACTCGGTCAAAGATGACGCGCAAAAGCCAAAACCTTGCTTTGCAAAGACGTGACCGTGCAGGTTGCTTACTATACCTATGCAAGAGAACGAGAGTCGCCACCGTTGGTGTGGGCGTGTCAGGAACTGCTTGCCGTTGTTGTGTCGGCAAGTTTATAGTAACTGGGAGGGGTAGGGTTAGTATGGGGGTTAGGGTGGGTACGGGTGCGGAGCGGGTGATTATTTGGGTTGGGATTTTAGTGTTAGCTCCGTTCTTACTAAAACTTGAGCTTACAGTAAATGTTTCAGAGAGAAGTATGACTCTCCCCAACTGCACAACTGGACGGTAGTAGCAGCCCAAGAACTGCCGGTTAGGTGCTAGAAATTACCCGTTCGAGGTCAGCAGCTAGCTAACAGGAGGATCCTCCCTCCATTCCAGGAGAGCCGACCCGAAGGAGCAGAATGGCACGAAGCCCAAACTTGATAACAGCAGGCCTCAAAGGCGCGTCCCGTCGCAGACATCAACCGTTGAAATACAGCAAGAAGGCCAAAAACACAACCGCCAGACAGTCTGTGCGCCTGAACTCGCAACCCGTAATAGCAGCCCTTGAGCGCTGGTCTGGTGGCAGACGAAGAGCCTATGAACCATCACAGAAGGGATGCGCACACCTTCGTCTTTCCAACGGGAACGACCACAATGCGAAGATCCACATATAGCCCGTACCGGAGAAAGGGCCAGCCTCAAAGTGCTAGTCTAATGGCCGACGTCAGCAATTACGTGGTTAGCAACAAAGAAGAATCCGGCCTCCTCAGTTCCTCTCACGCCAGGACGCAAAAAAGAGAAAAGACAAACTCGCACCTGGTAATAGCAGGCTTCGAAGTGCAGGTTGGGGTAGTGCCGCCGGCCGTCGCAGCCCCAGTTGCGACCGAAGAGCGTGTCCCCCCCGATCAGGTTCAGCGCTCCCCCGACCAGTTCCCCGTCGTCTTCGGCCATCACGAGCAACACGTCGTCCGCCATACGCTCCCCGAGCAGGTGGAAAAAGTCGCGGGTTAGGTACGGGGTGCCCCACCTGAAGAAAGCGGAGGTTTCGGGGCGGTTAGCCTTTTGAAACTTGGAAATCTAAGCTGCTGACCATTTTGCTGGATAGAGAGGAGTTCTAGGTGAGTCTCGGGTTAAGATTCTTACGATGGAAAAGTTGCGGGTCAGGCACGGGGTTCCTCATCTAAACTGGAACGTTGAAGGCGGTTAGCGTTCTGAAGTTCGGCGTCGGCTGTTGTAAATTCCGGCTAGTTCGCAAATCTGGGTTATAAAACTGAAACTGAAAAAGTTACGCGTCAGGCACGGACTGCTCCCTCAAAGGACCGGTTTACGGCGGTCAACGTTTTGTGTTTGCAAATCCAGCTCCTGGCTCCGAGAACTTAGTCGAGACGGGTTCTATATGGCTTTGGGGTCACGATATTCATGACCAAAGAAGTCCCGGGTGAGGTACGGGACGCCCCACATCAAGCAAGGATCTCGGTCGGTTAAGGTTCTGGGTTTTGGTGATCTGTGGTTCTGAGTTTTGGTCCTCTAAGGTTCTTGGATAAGGTCGCTTCCGATTCTGGGTTTCTGGGTTTCACGATTGATCAAAAAGAGTTCTGGGCAAGTCTTAGGTCAGGAGATCCATGATGGAAGACGTCGCTCGCCGAAACCGTGCTAAGGGGATCCCTTTACTGTAAGCGGCGCAGAGAAATCTGCAGCGAAGTAATGCTCGGATGCACGATATCAAGATGCGGGCGGCTATCGCCATCAACGAAACGAGTTTGAGGCGAACGGCAAAAGTGAATCTAGATCTGCCGAGAGGTTCCAAGGCTTTTCATCCGCTTTGTTGTTTTTACTCTAGTCTTTACAAAAGGGTTGGACCACCCAGCTTCGTGAGAGCATTCTGCCCGGCAAGTTTGGGTGCGAGGTTTTAGGTACTATGCTCTCAAGGAAATCTCGTTTGCAAGGTCACCAATCCAATCCAGGACGCTACTGTTGGCAAGAGAACGGAAAGTTCAAAGAAACGGACCACTCACTTCATATCCGTGGTGTTCCGGTAGAATTGATAGAACGCGTCCCAATGGATCGGCTGCATATGCAACGGCAGAAGGGTAAGAATTGGGAGAGCGGCTGCGGAGGAATGACACAGGCGTGACACCACATTCTTTGTCTAATTGGTTTGACAAGGAGCTGTTACCCTGCCCCCTTGCTGGTAGCTTGAAATGGAGTAATGCAAGTTTGGGACGGTTAGATTTAGGTTACGCAAATCTTACTGCGCTGCACAAGAAAAGCTCGGAACAAGAAAATGAGATGTCGTCGATTGGAGAGAAGTACAACTTTCGGGAGTCGAGCTGCCACTGTCTAAGCAGCGAGCGTGCAAATTGTGCGCCTTTGTCCGATCGCTTAAACAAGACCTTTTGTTCAGCAGTGATAATCTACTCGACATATCGGAGCGAGCAGGCCACCTCTGACGATTCCGACCTCGGTTTACAACCACCAAATCTTCCCTCCATCTCGCACGGCGCAGCCTCAGGCCCGTCCACAAGGCTTGGCTTTGCCACAACACTCACTTCGGCCTTCCCGGGATCTTGTCTAACAAAAAGAAGACCCGAAAGGCCACCCACAAGCAAGAAACCGGTGCCCTTTACTACCGCCCTAGCCTTAGAAGCCCCTGGGGGCATACCTCGGACAATCCAATTCGCAGAACTCAAGAATTCCAACACTACAAGAGCTGAGAAAACTTGACACCCCAACACTGACCCTTCGAAATCCGATTCAAGAAAGTCCTATATCCTTCTAAGTACTGCGCGGACATCACTTTGGTATCCCCCCCGACAGTCGATGGCCCGACTATGAAGAGCTTACAAGAGAAACCCCGAGGTTCTCATACGACCTGCCCTGGGGTCGTCATACGACCTGCCCCAGGCGACCATACGACGCAATCAAGAATCCATAAGCGAGTGCGTCACCTTGATGTCGTCCCCCCGCAGCCGCAGCAGCTTGACGTTCTGCTCGCGCACTTTCTTGCGCTCCTTGCGCACGCTCGCGCGCTTGCTCGACCGGAAGTCCATCAGGAAGGCGTCGAAGCTGCGGCGAAGAGACAACGGTCAGAGCCACATTCCCTTGCATACAGCGCTCGTTGACGTTTCTTCTGAGAGTGATAGGGCGGCAGGGGAAGGAATCTCTGTTACCCAGTCATTAGGGATGCGTCAAGCTGCGGTCAAGAGACACCGGTCAAGGGCACCTTCCCTTCCGTTGAATGCTCACGGATGTTTTGTCTGAGGTTACTAGAGCCGCAGGAAAGAGACCGTTGTTACTCGGTCCTCCCTCGTGCTAACGCGTCGAAGCTTCGGTGAAAGACAGCAGCCAAAAACAACTCTGCCTTAAGGCTTCGCATGGGCCGCAAAAGCAATCATGTAATATAGAGTCACTCCGCTCCTTTACTCAACCATCAAGCAAGTCATGCAATTGCAGCGCGACGAGACCACTGTCAAGGAAACGCTTCCTTTTCCTTAACCTTTCTCAACCTTTGAGCGATAGGTTCCGCAAGGCAATCTCAATCTGTTCGTTCCGTCCGCCAGCAGTAGAACGGCAAAGCTGCGGGGTAAGGCAACGTGCTTCATTGCACCTCACTTGCATCTTCCTGAGACAAGGGCTAAACTTCCTTTCTCCTTATTCCGCAGTACGCTTCTCTCCCAGTCGCCACAGCCGGTGTTGCGAATCAAGTGTGTACGGAGGAGAACCCCAGAAAAACGTGGATCGTGCGCAGCGAATCCCTTTGGGCATTGCCCTGTCGAATAAGCAGCAAGCGGATAACGACAAATCAAGCGATGCCAACAGAAATGTTCGCATCGAGCTTTCAGCTCGGACCACCAACTTGAAAGATGGATGCAACAAGCAAAGAAGGACTGAAGAGGATTAACGCAACCGCCGCAACTGCCGGTTTGGAGTGGACCTGACGCTAGTGAAGTGAAAAACTGAGAGAATTGGTTCGAGTCAAAGGTCGGAACAGGCGTGCCTGTCGTAGTCCCTATTAAGCCAGTGGTATTGCACGCCAACTCGCCGCAGGAAGCCTTGCTTGCCCATCGTGTCCCAGTCGCGCTGGACTGGGAATGTGCAGTGCAAGGAAGAGACGCCCATCTGTAAAGCAGAGCAAATAACCGATGATGACCGATAATCTCAGAACATAGATGATCTTAGAGATGGAGAACAGCTCTGAAATTGCAAGTGCTGAGAACGACAATGACCAGGTTTCAAAGCTGCAGATTCGGCACTGAATTTGAAGATGAGAACCGGAAGTTTGCGTGCCCTGCACCAGTACGAACCCTTCAGAAAACAACCAGCTCTTCAAAGCGTTGCAAGTCCTTGCGGCCAGAGTTACTCCCTATTATCGCGTGCGCACCGTATCGGCCAGCTGTACCATAGCTTGGCACAGCCCCGCAGAAACGACTTCCGAGTGCGGCCCGTGCCGCACGAGCAGGCGCGGGCCGGTGGCGGGGGTGAAGGGGACGCACGACTGGAGCTTGGGGTAGTAGGGGACGCCGTAGCGGTGGTGCGCGCTGGCCCACGAGTGGTCAAATACGTACTCGCCCTGAGAATGCCTATATCAAAGATGAGACTTTCAGGACTAAGATTCGGTTGCCTCCTAATCGTTGCTTCCCAGATTCGAGGGTCTAGATGTTCTGTGCTAAAAGGGCTCGCCGTAGGGGTGGTGCGCGCTGGCCCACGAGTGGTCGGATACGTACTCGCCTTGAGAGTGCCTATGTTGGAAATTGATTGTTTCAATATTAGCATCGGCTTTAATTGTAAGTGGTTCGTTTCCGGAATCTAGGACCTGCATTCTGTGTTAAGAGGGGCATGCCATAGCGGGGTACCCGCTTGCCCACGAGTGGTCAAACACGTACTCACCCTGAGAGTGCCTGGTTTCCAAAAGCAGAGTTTCAGAGTTTAAAAATCTCCTGAAATTTGGTTCAGGAACCTAAAAGCAGAAACGAGACTTTCATTTTGTTTTTGTGGTAGTAGGGGGCGCCGTAGCGGTGATATGAGTGGTCGAACACGTACTCACTGGGGAGTGCCTGGGAATTTCACATGCTTGAATTTTCCAAGAGGTTGGTTATTCAGGGCCGACAGCGAAGAATGTTAGGGACACCGTAGCGGTGGTGCGTGCTGGCCCACGAGTGATCATCGCCCTGGGAGTGCCTGTGTTGAAAATTGACGATTTTGGAGTCAGCATTGGTAACACTAACCATTCGGTTTGCCAGAATTCAGGACTGGACTCTCTGTTGAAAGCGTAGTGGTCAACTACGTACATGTCCTCAGAGTGCTTGTCAATCACAAGAATAGGAGGTTCCCAGTCAGGATTTCGGTTTCTCTTTGAATCAATGGATTAAGCCATGGGGTCTTTGGTCTGAATTCTGTGTTAAGAAGGGCCCGCCATAGCGGTGGTGCGAGCTGGCGCATGAGTGATCGGAAACGCATGCGCCTGGGGAGTGCCTGGTGGTTTGAGATTCGGGGAGTTCGTGAACCACTTGAGAAGGGGAGCCGCTTTCCAACTTGGCAGACTGTATACGAGGAAGTTTGTGAACGTGCCCCCTTGAAGGGTTGCTGAAAAGCTAGGCAACTGCAGCGTCGACCTTGCGAGACGAGATAGTAGGGACAACCTTTCCTCGGGAAAAGGTCGCAACTCAGGGGCCTGTGGCTTGGATCGAAACAGGTTTTGTCTTTCTTAAAAAGCCCGTACATCACAGCATGAACTTACGTTTACACCCTAGAACCTTTTCCACCTCCGAAGCAACAAACGAGCAAATGTCTTGAGAAGTGTAGTTACCTTCTAAGATGCATAGGCACCACTCCAAACAGTCGCTAAGAAGTGAATAATGACATCACGTCGCCCTAGAAATGAAGTACCGTTCCAAGCAACAAAGCGTCGATTGACTATGTTTCTCTGAGAGTTGTGCTCACCCTTTGAGGTACATAGGCACCACTCCCAGCACGGCCCCAGTGTCATCCCTAGCTACAACGTGCTGCGGCAGCCAGCCTTCCTCCTGTAAAATCAAGATTGCTTGGTTTCGAGATGCTCCAGATTGTGGCATGGCCATTGGTTTGTTTCGAGATGCTCCCGACTGTGGCATGGCCATTGGTTCGAACAGGAGGACTCCATTCTTTGCGGTTTTAGACTATGGCTTCCATTAGGGACATAGTCTTGGACCCTGAGACTCAGCAGTTTCTAGGGTGCGTGGAAGGGAGCCCGAGAGGAAGCCCGAAAGTTACACTTTGTTTCGAGCGTCCAATTCAAGATGTCATCGTTGAGCACACCGCAGGACGATCCACAGTCCTAGATTCTCCCTGCCACTCCGTTCTTCTAGGAGTCGCTTGGAGAAAATGAAACGAGTGTTGTCAAATCGCATGGAGGGTTGGACAGATAATTTTGGAGCAGCCAGGGGAAAATTCCGACGCCAAAAAGGCAGACGCGGGGAATGGTGCCACGTGAGAACGACTCAGAGTCGACATCGTTGCTGCAACAGAAGCAGGTGTCCTCTGAAAGGGAAACTGGTCTGCCAACTTCCACAAGTCATGTACCCCTCTCAGCAATTCCTTCAAAAGCCCCCCTTCCTCACCTTGACTGCGCTCTTGCTTTCCTCCAAACTCAGGAGGAACGCGTGCGACAAGAACGGGTTGCGCGCCCCCTCCCCCGCTGCCTCGAGCGCGCAAGCGTCCCAGTCTTCCGGAGAGACTTTTGAAATGTCCGTTATTACTGAGACTGTCAGGTTGAGCTGCGCCGTCGACTGCTGATCCCCCTCGCCCTGGCTGGTGGTTGCTACCTCCTGCAAATTTACATCCAGAGGGGCTCTGAATGTCAAGCAAGGTCTTTATAAGCTTTGTTCCACAATCTTAGAAAATGCATCAACTTCAATGCCATGTTGGGACGTGGATTAGGCAGCTTTGCTGGAAGAGCGATTCCATGTCAGTGGTGATTGATGTTCTGTTGATCATGCGTCTGATCTTTGGATGTTCTTTGAACAGGAGTATTGTCTTAGAGAGCAGGTCAACTATGAGAACATACTGAAGAGTAATATTTGATTGATTTGTCTTGGTGGACCTTTTGTGAAGGGACTCAGAGAAACTCTGAACAGGACAGCCAGCGGCCAGCGATATGGTGGCCAGGGAAAATAGATGATCCTTTCAACAAACTATCTGAAAGACCGCGTAAAGATAGCGGAACAAAAACGTTATGGTAAGTCTTTAACAGCATCGTTGGATTTTACTGATTCATTCCTTTCAATGCAAGTGGCTCGCAAAAGATAGATCTCCATCACTTCTCCAGACCAAGGATAGACGATTTTCTGATTGGTGGTTTCCGAACTCTGAAGCTCCCGAAACCCCTTTATGCCCAGATGTGGACAACCTCGATAAGGTTGCAACTTTTGCAAGCGTCTTGCGACAAGAAAGACGGAAGAGGGCATGTCCATCCCAACTTCAGCAGGTTCCAAGGGGGTCACCTAACCAACTCAACACCTTCGAGCAAACCGAGCCAGAGTGGGGGTATTTTTCGTTAAAACAATGTTTTGTCATCAGATCTGAGAGCCAGTTGTCTCACGCTCTTGCTCTCCCAGCTCTCTGTGCCCACAGGTACTACTGATCTTTTGGGGGCGAACCATCCTGCGCGTATGCTCGAGCGGCTGCGATGCTTGTGCAGTGGGTGAAGCTGGCATTTGGAATCATTCCAGTCCTGCAGACGATGTCACATAGTGGTGTAAGTTGAGGTCGGGAGCAGGTTGTTTGCCACTCTGAAAGATCACCAGTAATAAGCCAATCAGCTGATATACCTGATTCAAAGAAGGCGAAATCTGCAGTTCATCCCATCGATATTCTCCAAGAATGTCAGCTTGACTGCTTGACTTGGGCCGCCGACCTGTGCCACAGAAAACCTGAGACAGCGATTTTGAAGGTTTCGAATGCAGGCTAGGTGGCACCATTTGGCGAGAAGGACTGAGCCAATAGCCTTGCCTCCGGATTGAAGAGCAATCAAGAAATGAGGTTTTAGCTGTGGCAGATAGAAATTCTTCCAAAACAAGGCGGAGCAAAAAGGGCAGTCTTTATACAATGGAGAGTGCCCACCTTCTTCAAGAGACCGTGTTTCAAGCGAGGGCGGAACAGTTGTCCGCCGTGAGCACAGTAAGCGTGAGTGAATGGAGAGAAGGAGCTCCTAATACTTCCTTCCGACGTTTTAAGAGCATTGATGTCCCCAAGACACTTGCGTCCTGTTGCCGCCATTTTCCAGGTGCAGATCATATGTTACCGTATAACAGTTTTAACTTTTATCAAACCGACATGGACTCGGAGACTCAGAGTCAGACTCGGAGCATTCAAAAAGGTCGGCTGACAGTGAATACGTGTTCCGGGCCTGGCCCTCTCTTGAGTGTTAGGGCGGAACGGACGGAAGCTCCCTCCACCCGGGACCACGTTCTGCGTTTCATCCAGGGCTCGGCTGGGCTCGGCAGCGGACCGGTTCAGTTGTCCGCCAGTTCACACCAGTCCGCCGGAACGCAGTTCTTCACGGGCTGCGGACTTCACAAAGTCCGCATTGCATTTTGTCAGGACAAAGGGCAGAGCTGGGCAGAGCGCTAGCGAGGACCAGCTTGTTGCAGGCGCACATTGGTGCTGGCCCTGGTCGTCGAGCTCCGACTCTCTTCCTGCAAGTAGGTAGGTTGAGCCGTAAAGGTCGACTGTCCTTGCCTGTATCTTCAATCTTCCTTGATGAGAGGACGGATATTGCTGAGATTGAAGCAGGGCGTCCGGCTAAGCGTGCGCGGATTTGAGGGGCCATCTTGCTGATGGCAGAAGCGGGGACAGTCCCAACCCCGATTGGCGAGTTGCCGGAGGCGATCGCAATCTCAATTGCCGGCTTGCTGAGCCTTCGCGATATTAGTTCGCTGGCGCAAACATGTGCTAGCTGGCATGCAGCTTGCTCCAGCGATGATCTGTGGAGATCCTTGTACTCGAAGAGGTGGCCAGATTCACCCCTGCTCAGTCCCGCTTCCAATGGCAGCCCCTTGATCTCGGCCCATCAGCATGCCTCGTCGCCTCTGGAGAACTACGGAGTGGGGTTTTCAGGCAGTAATGCCAAGGCCGTGCAAACGAATGAAAGTGACCTGGGGGCTCATTCATGGAGGGCAAGATTCAAGACCCGCATCAATCAGGTGGCAGCTGATGAGAAGGCGCTGGCTGCTCTGCTGGATAATTTTCCAACCTTTGGAGGGAGGACGTCTCGGAGCATTGAGGTTGGTACTGCTTGTTGCTAAGAAAGAAACCTTCCGGTGCAACAATTTCGTGATATTCCATTCTTTTGCAGCACTTTTTCATGTGGGGCGCACGCCAAGCGCTTCCTTCGTGGAGCCGCTGTTGAAGTTCTACCGGATATGTTATATGCCTCAAATGAAACAGTCTCGTTCATTCTGTTGGTTGAGAGGACGTTGCTACTAAAGTAAGTGCTTGCTCAGCGATGATTACAGCATGATACTTCGGTTGCTTCAGATGCCTCAATGCCAACAATAAAAACCAAAGATCTGGATAGGTTCTCTTGGTGTACTTGAGCTAAGATTACAAACTGTATCAGGCTTCTCACAGACCAAAGCTCTTTGTGAAATATGTTTTTTCTGATCCAGATTAATGCATACCAAGATGCCTTGGGAATCTTGAGGAGGAGCCGATGGAGCACCGAGGATGTGTTGGAAAGACTCTTGTCTCCAAAGAAGAGCGTCTTCCTCAATGTCGTTGGACTCCATCATTGCTTGCAGGTACCAAAAAGAAATGTAAGGCTCGCAGACTTGTGCTTAGTCAGGCCAGGAGATGCCCCATCTAAATTGGTCCTTTCTAGGCTTGTCTAGCAAACATGACACTCATCAAAATCCAGCCCTCCTTACTTGTGAGTGCTGATTAGGACATTCCATCGGGGTTCCTCAAAGGGCATGAGAAGGCCTGATACATTGCAACATCTCAGCAGATCTGTCCAGAATGAGCCGAATGACCACGAGTTTTTTCCATGCCTTCATCTCTTCAAGATATAAACATATGAAGTTTGTGTGCAGGTCTTGGCGCTGCAATTCTGGCTTGAGAAACAAGCGGTTGCTAGCAGGACAATATGCATCCGGGTATGGTCGATGGGTGGATGGGCCGTCCAAGGATTTCGTCGCCGGGATGAGTTCCTTGTGTTACCTGATGTCAGCCTTTCCTCCATTTTAATGAGCTATGTGACCGAAAATGTAGAAGAGGTTCCTCTGGACGACAAGGAGCGCACCGGTTCGCGAGCTTTGAAGGTTCTGAAGCGGGGGCTGATGCATGAAGTCCGGAGGGTCCAGCTATCCGCTGACTTTGAATCTAGTGCTTGGGTTGCACGTGAGCAACATTCACAAAGGTAGCCTGCCCCGGTTGCAATTTGTGACTATGCGGCCCCAGAGTATCGTTTCGGCTAGCAATGTTGTAGGTAAAAACACAAGTCTCTCGGCTAGACTTTTGCCTTCGGCAATAAAAACAACAATGCAATAGATTTTACTAACTTTTTTCAAGATGTCATCAGGAGTTGGAACATGTACAGCAAAATACGATTCAACAAAACTTGTGAAAGTAGGCCCGGATCACGCAAAATATCGCCCATGATTACTTTTAGGCCAGTTATGTACACAATCAAAAGACCATTTTTTGCGCAGTTTGTTTTGCAAAGACACTAGAAAGCACTGTACAGATTCTTTAACAATTGGAAGTAGGTAATCAAACAATCAGTACCTTTTTTATTAGTTGTCATTAGGAGGTCAAGGTGACTGTACAGCAAGAAGAAGATCGTCATGGACTTACTATAAAATAAGAAGAGGCGAGATGAACACTTTGTATAATTGGAGTTCGCCTGAATCTGCGTGAGCGACCTAGCTTCGCATGTTAAAAGGTTCAGCGACGCTTTGAGAGAGACCAGAGGCATACTAAAGAGTCCATTGCAAATAAATAGTGCCACAATCTGACATCTCTAGAGCAGTTCTCAAGGACGGTCGACACATGTTGGCAAAGGACATGAGGGACTTCGGATGCCAAATAGTTTGCCGTTCTACGTATCCCAAGTGTCGCAATGCGTTACGAGAGTGTAGGCTACCGTTGCATGACCATTGTTGAGTCGCAAATGAGGCTTCGGGGATTTGCGCATCAAGCATCATCATGGGCCTTTTGAAGTGACCCCCGTTGCCGCCCATTGCTGCAATCACCAGCGTGATAGGATTCAGTCTTAGGTTTGAGCTTACTGCCTATTCTGAATCGGGCCTGAATGGCCAAAAGCTACATATTGATTCAGGCCCGATCTGCTCCTACATTGTCGTCTCTTCTCTAGAAGGCTTGTGGAAGGCTTACGCCCCAGGCGGTCACGACTCGCGACTCAGGACCCACGTGGCACGTCCTCAGATTCTTGTAAGATCCTAGAAGTTGAGTGTACGTGAACTTTGAAGGCTGTAACACGTCGATGTTTTGTCGATCAGCGGCTGCGATGGATTTCTTACTGTGGTTCTTATAAGCGCAGCTCGCTTCTAAATCACACCATAAGCTATACTTATAACCTCCCCCAAGCTCTCTCCCTGTTGACGTAGTAGGTTATAGCCTATGGGCCCACTGGCCAAAGAACGAAGTTGTAAAAGTGTTCACATGCTACTTTTACGTGCAAGGTGCGTCACCATCTTTGACACTCCGGGCAATCTGCTCTCCTCGGTGACGATCTACAATATATTTGTTAAGTTATAGGTAACCGCAAGACAACCGGGTGGTTTCCGAGGGTCAGCTTGATCACGGTTAAGCTTCCGAGCCGACACGGTAATTTAAAAGCTTCCAGTCTTGAGTCTTTTTGCTTGTTCAGACCCCGGTTTGGTAATTGACTACCGACCTACCTAGAGATTGTCTGTTCGGTCATGAAGAAATGCTAGGATACTGTACTTAGTCGCTGCCCGGTTGTTTGAAGGAGTAGCATAGGGTCGTCCGGTGGACCTTGGATGACGCGCTACCGCACGCGCGACGACGAGATGTTCGGCAATCTTGTGGGCGGCAGTGCCGGCCTAGGTAACACTCGGCTGGTAACACTATTCGGTCCCACTCAGATAGGGACATGGACATAAAATCCGCCGTTTTGATTGAGCCGCGTGTCAAAAAGACCCACGTGTCGATCATAGACCGGGGTCCGAGGCGCCGGAAATACAATTTGATGCAACGTCATTTGTTAGTCACATAATGACTTTCTGAAGATCGGACGGTCAAATTCAATCTATCATTGTATCGAACGGCCATCTGGGGGCTCAATGGCTTATTCATATTCCTGATTTCGTCTTATAAGAGCGGTCATACTCTCCCTTATCTCTCTTTTTTCCCCTCTTTTTCTCTTTTCTCTCTTCTTTTCCCCTGTACCTATCTCTTGGCTGTGAGTGGGACCCCACCTGTGATGCAACTTCGTTCTTTGTACACTTGCCCCACTGGCAGGGTCTAGAGGCAGAGGAAGGGCCCCTGAACTGTGCAGCAGCCAGCGCCCTGCCAGCGCTGCTGCAACTGGGGGGCAAGCCTGCAGGACGGCAGGAGGACGGCAGGTTCAGGGATCAGATCGATTTGTTGGACTTGGGCGCTCGCAATGGCAGCAACTAGTGGAGAAGAGTCTTCTACTACTGTGGGGTCTGTGACAGGGAGGCAGTACGACCTGAGGGCCTTGGCAGACCCACTCTTCCAATTCTACCGGCGTTCTTTTCCCCCAAGTGAGTTTTTGAGGCTTGTCTGGGTTTGATACAGAACTGTTTCGATTGAGTTCATAGGTTTGTTCAGAACATGCAATCAGAGTTTGTGCCTGAAAGAAAAAATGTCTTGTGTTCCTGCTTCCGTAATGCATGTGAAGCCCAGGTCCGTGATTCTGAAAAGTGAGTTGATTTATCCAAAATTTCATTAACTGTCAGAGCACCAATTGTTTAAAAACCGAGTCAGATGTGCAGCTCTGGTGGATTCTCTTGCTAGACGTCAGCTTAAAGCCAGCATTGCCTTGCTCAGTTGGGCGGGACAGCGCTCCCTCTGGGAAAGAGGACAAGCAATTGGGCAAAGAAATATTGAAGTAGCTTTCTGGCTCATGCACGTTCATTGTCACCCAAGCCTTGAGCTATGAACAGAGAAAGCTCTTCAGAAGTCATGAGGTCCTTTTGGTCAATTCCAAAGCAACAAGCAGTGTCTAATTTTCAGTGGACCTTCTCTATTGTGCCACTTTAGCTTGGTGCAAAGTTGGCTTGGGACTAAAAAGACTCTAGCCATGAGCCCCTGGTATATGGCACCTCAATAGCCGCTAATCAGTAATCAGTCAATCTGCTTTGTGGATCAGATACCCCAACTAGAGATGGAAACAAAGTTCCCCCTCTGCGGTCACCACCATCGCGGCGGTTGCTAATACAAATCGTCGATTAACCTGTCATCTGTTCCTGTTAACCAGGTACTCCAACTAGAGAAGGGGGGATAATTGCCCCCCTCTGCAGTCACCACCCTCTCGGCGGTTGTTCTACGATTATTGGTTAACCTGTCATCTTTTTTTATCAACCAGGTACTCCAACTAGAGATGGGGAACAAGTCCCCCGCTCTGCTGTCACCACCCTTGCGGCGGTTGCTTCCAGCATCAAGAGGGGCGCTGAGGGCATGGGCAGATGGGGGCTTTCTGAGCTCACTCTGGGGCTGTACAAGCTCTCGCAGCGCCACGCTGCCGAGGGGGCAGAGGACGCAATTGGGGGAACGCCCGTTAACAACAGGGGGTGAGCATGGCGTGAGGCGAATGCTTCGAGCTTCGGACACTGATTTGCATTCCTGTGTGTAAGAGCGTTGGAAGACCCGCAGATAGAGTTGCTTTTCTTGGTTTGGAACTCTCTATTCCAACAATCTGTATCTGAAATTTCAGGCCGTCCCGAATCAGGCTCGTGGAAAAGGTTGGCAGAAATGTGTGGTACAATCTTCCTCCTTCTCCTGTAAGAGAGCGTTTTCAGCAGGTTGTTCCTTCGTGAGAAATTAGAACAGTGTCATTCATTGACCAGCCAGTGGGTTGTTGTCACACCCATACATCGTTGTCTTTCCTTTGGTTGTTGTCACACCCATACATCTTGGTCTTTCTTTTGGTTGTTGTCACACCCATACATCGTGTCGCTCCTTTGGAGTTGCACACCTTGCCTCAAGGTAAGTATGAAAACTTTTAACCAGATCCTCGAGCTGGAACCGCTTTTGCCGCTTTTGACCCCTTTGATTCGCCCGTTCCGTCTGAGACACTCGAGGAGCTAAAGCTCATATCGGAATCTGGAGGTTGCGAGAACTCACGGTGAAACTTTGTTCAATCACAGACCACAGAAACTGCATGAAAGTCCTCTTTATCCTCCTGCACTTCTCAGAATTTTCACCCCCTTTCTTCTCATGTGTACAGCGAACTCGAGACCCTCTTGTCATGGCTCTACATCGCCAATGCCGCCTACGAGCGTGACAAGCAGGGGGTGTCCAAAATCAGCACCCTGTCTGAGGAGCAGATTGTCAAAGTGTCCCTGATCTCGAGCGTGCACAAACCGGCGTACTACCTGGCAGTGGATCACTCAAAGCGTTGCGTGATCCTCTGTGTGAGTCCACCTGCTGCGCGCTTCAATCAAGGAACTGTTGGGATATTTGTTATTCGTTAGGTGCTCGGGTTCTGGAACTCGATGAAAGGGAGGGTCTTTCAAACGTTCTACTAATCATCACTGACTTGTCCTAGAAGATGTGCTTTTTCTGGTTCGAAACTTCCGAGAGTGTCGAGGCTTGAAATGTGAGAAAGAACGCCAGCCTAATACGTTTTGGTTTGATCCAGCTAAAGTCAGAGACTGCCACGCTGTGTCAGACTCGGAACCCCATCTTCCTGATAAGTGGAGAATCAGCAAAATGTGGGGTTTTCATTGACCCAATCTTCCGTAGTTTTCCAACAAGCTCATCTTTCCCCAGGTGCGAGGCACATGGACTGCCACAGACGTGCTCACAGACATGAGCCTCGCTAGCGAGCCCTTCACAGGGCCTTCTCATTCGGACGGCGGTCGAAGCGGACAGTTGGACAGTCCGGCGGCTGGGATCAGCGGCTACGCGCACCATGGCATGTTGGAAGCTGCCAAGTGGCTGGCCGAAAATGAGAGCAAGAACTTGCGCGCGTTGCTGACTAGGCATCAGGTGAGGGTCCGATTGTGATCGCTTTGTCAGCTTGCAAATTGGTGATTAAAGGCAAGGGGATTTTGTACTCTTTTGAGATGGGGCACTCCAGGGCTTTTCGTAATCATCTACTGAAAGGACTCCACCTGTAATGGTCGAAGCATGACTAACGGCAGACCCTCAAAAGTGTTTTCCATTGTAAAAGTTCTCTGACACACTTGCATCGGAGAAACATTTTTCAAGAAGAAGATACCGACAACAGCAGAGTGTTTGCATGCTTTGAACGGTGTACTTGCGGCTTTCGAGGGTGGGAAGTTCAGAGGAATTGCAAGTCAACGTTGACATGCTCCTGTTCTCGATTCAGAAATGCGTGTCTCCTGGACCCCTCTATCGCTCTAAAACCACCTCTTGACCATCGACGTCTGGTCTGCGAACAATGTGGTCACCGATCTGTTTGGCTGTACAATTGATTCTTATGCCGCCAATCTCTAAGCCGTCCATTATCCATCGAAGACCTCTCAAACCTGTGAGGATCCTTGGAAGGGACATGTGGACTTAAAATCCTTTTGTGGACCCCCACACCAATTGCCACTCTCTGCGTGCACCATCAGATTGACTGGTTATTATTCAAATGGTTTCGTTCGTGATTGGTCATAACACTTCTATCGAGGGTTTGAGCCCTCCAGTAAGATCGGTCGGTCATGAGTCGCCCGACGTTCCGAACACCTTCCCTAAGCGTATTCACACCTCTGTTTCCAGGGCTACGACCTCGTGTTGTGCGGCCACTCTCTGGGCGCCGAGACCGTTCGCTGTGACAGACTTTCGCAGCTGGCACCCTTCACATTTGCGCAACAATCTTCCCTGTAAAACACAGCGTCCCTGACCGTATCACACCTCTATCTTCGGGGATACGACCTCGTGTTGTGCAGCCACGCTCCTTCTTCCGGGACTACTATCAGTATCGAAAATCCTTACACCTGAGAGAGTAGGTACTTGCAAATACGTCGCCCCTGAAAGTATTCACACCTCTGCTTTCAGGGCTACGACCTCGTGTTGTGCGGCCACTCTCTGGGCGCGGGGACCGCAGCCCTTTTGGCCATGCTTTTGCACGGGTGGAACGGCAGCGCAGACTCGCAGACCCGACTGGGGGTCCCGTCGTCCGTTATTCGGGCCGTGCTGTTTGCCGCTCCGCCAGTCGTATCGCGGCAGCTGGCGGAGGCGGCGACCAGCTTCGTCACTACGGTCGTGCTTCAGGTGAGCCACGTGGGTGTCCGTGCGGAAGTGACGTCGTCATTACATCTTCTGCTTCTCCTGGGCCTGCAGATCCGTCGCTCTTCCTGACAAGAAATGAAGACCGACCCTCTTGGGGTAAACCTCTCCAGATCACTTGAGGCAGATAGTGCGCACCGGAGATCGGACGCCTCAAGAAGCACGTTCTCTAGCACTAGGCTCGTCAACGGAATGAAAAGCAGTTTACGCACGAAAAGGAGGCAGCAGGGAACAAGTTGGTACGGTGCAGAATTGAACGGAACTATCTGAAGCAAAACCGGACAGGTGAAACTGGGTAGATTGGAGTTTAGAAAGTTGGACGGTGAGTTCCGCTTTTTGGCGTCTTTGCCAGATGTCGCTGTTTCGCGAATGGAACACGCTGGTCTTGTTCTGAGAAGTTCTGGCTGCAGAACGGGAAGGGTGGCCGTTTCCCTGATGAGATAGAATCTTCCAGTCAATGACGTCCTTGGCCAATGAGAATGTTACTTGACTGAGGCTATCTACTTGTCCTGTCTGCTTCTTTCTCGACACAGTTCTGGTAAGAAGTCTACGCTGCCGCTTTTGGTCAAGCAGCCGCTAAGCGCTCTCGTCTTATGCGAAATTCTTTCCCGTGAGAGCAGAGAGGTTTGGCATCCCAGCAGGTACCCTGCGATACGTCGCGAGTTTCTTTTTGAAGAACTGCCAAGAAAGGGCTCCCGTTTATAACAGCAACGCGTCTCGGCAGGATGACGTTATAGCCCGCGTGTGCCCCGCCACGCTGGAGGACCTACGTGGCGAGATCCTGGCCACCGACTGGAGCCACGTGCTCAAGGAAGGCGAGATGAAGACCAAGGTCGTGGCGGCGCTTGCGTCGACACGCGACACGCTGCACCCGCACGTCAAGGCAGCGGAAAAGGCGGCAGGTGTGCAGAATTTGCTTTTGCTTAGATTGGCTATTTTTTCAGATTTCTGTTCTCTTTATGTCGGCTTGATTCTCTGACAACTTTCCGTTCGAGTGGGTGAATGATCTGAGAGAAGGGCGCTGTCGGCACTTTCACGTGATAGCGGCATAGATGGGCATCTCAATCCCAGATCACCTGCATCAGCTTTTTTGATGTTGCGCTCTCCGTCTCGCATTGCACAATTTCTTTCAAAAGTGCTTGAAGACGTTACAAAGGTTTGGCTTCCGATGTGTTTCTTCATTTCCATTCCTGCCCGTTTCTTATGCGTCTTTGAAAAATGATTTTGGCTTTCCAGAGGTGAAGCATTTTGTGCATTTCCCTTACTGCAAGGATCCGGTAAGCGCTTGGTCGTAGCATGTCGGAAAGATGCAACGTTGCTTGTACGCTTGTTTGTGGTATATCGTGCGAAGCCAGGAAAGATTGATGCTTTCGAGTCTTCTGCTCGCATTATTCCTCTCCTCTCTCTCTCTGGTCCCACTTTTAGTACACTGGGTTCGTGCCCTTCCTAACATGAAGGAGCGAGCATTCCATTTCCACCATTTGACCGTTTCATTTGAGAAACGGTACCAAGCTTCGGCTTTTCGCAAACTTGTTTTTTGATTTCATGTCTGGTCTTTCGTGTACCTTCCGGGACCCGCACGAAAACATCCCACCACTGTAGGGTCTTCCAGCACCGTTCAGATCCAGGTTCTCACTTGCCCGTTCGACTCTGCGTGCAGGTCTGAAAGAGGGCGCCCTTGCGTCTGCCGGATCCTCGATCGCCAAAATCGTCTTCGCCAAGGGAGCCGCACGTGCCATCGGCCCCCGCGTGTCTAAAGGCTTCGGCTACCTCGGAACGGCGGCCGCGATTGCGGCAGCAGTGGGAGGTTCCGTGTATGACAGCATGGGTGAGGAGTTTGGAGCACCTCAAGTACTTTTGGAGGGAGCTCTGTTGGATGGTCGCCTGTAACGAGTCGAAACGCTCGTCCGTGGTTTTGCGTGAGGATATACATTTGCATCATCAAGGAAGCGGGCCTTTGAGCAACCTAACGCACAGCCTTTGCTTTTGCTTAATTGCCTAAACGGGGACAGGGGTAAAGTGCCTGAGTCGTACCGATTTGGGGAAGGGTCTGCTCCTGCTTGCGCCCGTCCATTGAAAGGAGACGTCTTCCAGTCATGAACAACATGGTCGGCAGCTACCCTTCTTCTGGATGGATCAGCGAAACTATGTACATTAGAACTGAGCCTGTTCAATTTTGTTTTTTGGCAGCAGCAGCAGGCGACCCCCCCCGGCAAGCGTCCGCATCAGAAGCTGGGCCGTCCGATGGTGCGACGGCGCCCGCATCCAACGGCGGAGCAGCATCCGGCGAAGTGGCCCGTTCCGGTTCCGGAGGCGCTGTTCCGGTTAGCGCCGAGGAAGCGGAACGCCGGCGGCTGTTCGTTCCGGGTTTGCAGTACCACATAGTCCGGCGGCCAGCGATAGTTGGAACGGAAAAGAAGGACGAGCGGAACGGAAAGGGGGCGGAAGAGGGGGTGGGGGAGGGGTCGGAGAAGGTACGGCACAGCTTGTTTAGGGGTGACGATCCGAGCCGACGATTTGGGCGGATTGTGCTAACCAATACGATGCTGGCGGACCACTCGTGCCCGGCGTATGCGGAGGGTCTGCAAGATGCGCTACGGACTTGTGTTTGAGATAAAAGCTGACAAGACCTGTAAGTATCTGCAACTGGTGCAGTGGCGTTTGTCGATAATCAAAAATAGTTATGGAGCTAACTTGGGATTACTGACTATTCTTGCCATGCTTGAAGTTGATTGAGTCGACAGAGTTTCGTTCCAACGGCCATGTGTCCAACTGCTAATATTTCGTAACTTAGAATTCTGAAACGTGCTTACAATTACTTGGTTGCATACGGACGGTTGGTCGAGTTCATTGATTGAACTCTCACAGCTAGTCATTCGCACATGGTCGACAATTCTGAAGGCTTGCCGTACATTTGGAAACAAACGCGAACCCCAGGCTTAACTTGTCTGGTTGCGCGCGGCAGTCGGAAGTCAATTGGAGTATATCGTTGTCGGATAAGCGATGTTCACTTACTGTGTAACTCGTGGCACCACCCGCCATGCGCCGGCGCCAGACAGCGGCCGGGCGGCGGGTCGTATATGCGTACACATCATCCGACATGCATGATATATGCAAGGACCGAGACTACGGGTTTGTCGCGGTGCATGATCTTGGCATGACGGTGAACATGTTATTTCATGCGGTGCCACCAAATCAGCGATGCTGCAATTTCGTGTATATACCATATGCAGTACGTACGGTTCATTAATGGCCAGCGCGATCACGGCGCTCCCTGCAATGTATTTGAGATTGCAAAAGTTACTATGGAACCTCCTTGAGTGCCGGTGGTTCGGCCGCCCGCACAATCCCGACGCATGCCCTTCTTGATCGCAACGACATTCTGCGCTCAACGAAATACGCATGTCCGCCCACTAGTATCGGTGTGATGTCCATTTCAAATCGATCCATCTGCAGATGTTTTCTTTAATGTATATGCCGAGTTTGCAGTAATTCCCCTGTTTGTTTGGGTTAATTATTCTCGTGCAAGCCTTCGCCGGGCTACTCCCGGTTGCTTTCGTCAGAGAGTATCTTTCCATCGAACTGAGGTCAGATCTGGGCACCGATCTGTCGTCATGGCCTCCAAGGCGCTCGCTCCACCACATAGAGATACGTGGTCAACTCAAGATTCAACACCATACATTTTATGACTGAAATCAGACTCTGCCCGCTGCAGCTATTGATCTGTCCTCTTTCCCAAAGCATTTGAAATCTCGTGTCAAACTATCCTACAGCTTGTTTATGTGTCACACAAACAGTGAAATCTCAGTCATTTCAGTGAAATTCAGTGAAATACAGTAAATTTCAGTGAATTCAGTCATTTCAGTGAAATCTCAATCCAACGCAGTGATACCTATGGCTATTTATCTGAGTCAAAGCAATGTCCATGGCTTCGAGCGAAGCACCACTCGCTACGGAAGTCTTTGCTAAAGAAAGCAACTCAAAACTTTTCAAAAATTTGGTAGCATCTATTTCCAACCCCCTCGTGTTCGTTAGTAATCAAGTTCTTGTCCCGAGCGCCGCGTTATACGTTCGCTTGGAACTCCCTGCTTTACGTAGCAACTCTGAGCGCTTCTTCGAGATGCAGATTCCGCGTAATGGACCGCTCTCCATCACTTGAAGAACCCATCAAAAATGGATTAAAAGCAACTGGTAAAAACTAACTAGAATAAGAGCTGTTCCTCTCGTCACTGAGAGTCCAACGACCATCGGTGCTTTCGCTTAAAACATCGTGGCGGCAGCAATTGCCACTCCGCTGAGCGTCACAACGGCAGCGGAAAAACGCGCGCGAGCAGCTCCCCCGGTCTTCGTCCCCGCCCCGGGGGCTCCGTTTCCGTCGCCAGTCCCGGTTCCGCCCCCTCCATTTCCGGTCCCATTCACATTCGTTCCGTTGGTTCCGTTGGTTCCGTTCGTTCCGTTGCCTGAGGTCGACGGCCCCGGGGCAGGTCCGGGCGCGAGATTCGCGGGGGGGGGCCTCGGCACGGGCGGTGGAGGGGGGGGGATGCAATATCCGAGCGTGAAGGGAGTGCTCCGGTTGTTGAGCGACGCGTCCGTGCACTTGTCGACCGGAGCGACGGAACTGAAGAGCGTGGACGGAATGCAGCTGCAGGAAAGCCCGTCGGCCTTGAGGCACGGCGCGGCGGCCGCGCCGCACCCGCCGTTGGTCCACGACAGCACGTCGACGCCGTTGCTGACGCCATCGATGGCGTCATGCAGGGCGAAGGCGAGGTCGGTGCCGGGGGTGTCGGCAAAAACTCCAGCGTAGACCGTTCCGTTGTTGCCGGCGGAGTCCGTCGCGAGGACGAAGGAGAACATGGACGGATCGTCGAGCGGCTGCGGAAGGAGGCGGGGAGCGTATGATTTAAGGCGTCCTTCGGCAAGAGCTTTCCGCCTCGAAAGTCTTTGGCAAAGAGATGCAGGAATGAAAGCGCAATATGTCGCTCAGCAAAGACGATGTTGTTTTGTAATCTAAAACGACAGGAATCTTATATGCAAATCGTCATCATTTCGCAACGGACCGGCAGAATCAATCTTTTGAGTCCCTGGTACCTTTAGTAGGCACGCGAGCTCCCCATGAGAAGGAGAGGTCTTCAAATTGGAGGTCGCAACCGATTGGATCTTTGTCTGAACGAACGGAGGGGCTCTGAAGGAGAGGTCATCGAGGCTCCGTCCGTTTGGGACCCAGAGACACAGAGCATCTGTAATTGCGACGGAGTGATCCCCACGGAAATGAATTGAAATCTAGTATGCCGGACCAGGGCTAGACTGTTGGGCTTTCAAAGAGATCACCGTTCTATAAAAAGCTCGGTTCTCCAAAGATTCTTGATCAAAACCATCTTGTGTTCTAAACGTCCCGAATTTTGCTGTCATCAGCTCATGGCCCTACCCAGATCTCTTCCAACCGTCAAACTTGAAAAGGTTGAACACCTGGATAACATCATCCCAAAGGGAAGGAAGACGTCAGGCTAAGCATACCTTGCTAGTTGCGATCCCGTACAGCGGATTCGCCGGATCATTGGTTGCGAAGTAAATCATGCTGTCCCGCGGATAAGCGGCCATAGCCCGGAAGTTGTGGGCTGGGAGCTCGAAGAGGGGGTCGCTGGGGGAGCCGCCGGAAACAGCGCGCCTACAGCGGAAGCGGATCTCATCTTAAGATTGTCACTTTTAAATGTCGACGATTATGAGTCACATTCATGAGAGCTTGCGGTTGAAGCTGTTCCGGAATCCAGAGCCGCCGAGAGTAGGGCGTCTATGTTGGGAGAGATTCGTTTCTTGATATCGGAAAGAGTTGTTCGCCGAAGCACCAGTCAACTTGTAAAGTCCGAGAGCTTGCAGTGTTAGATATCTGGGAGAAAAGAGCCGTTCGAACATCGCGCCTACACCGGGAGAAAACCGTCCGTATCTTGGTATTGTCAAAGATGGGTCGAAGGTGAAAGTTCACACGGGAAAGAGTCCGAGGTTGATTCTAACGTCAAACCGGTCAACTCCGGATATTCAGGAATAGAGAGGCAACAGATCAACCTGCGAGAGGGAGGCACTTCAAAGATCTTACGCAAGCTGGGGCAAGCTTCAGGCTGATTCAAAGATCGTTTGCATTTCTGGTGGTTCATGATTTACACCTTTTGAAGTCGAAGGAGAACAAAGGTATTGAAGCACTCGCGATTCTGCGTTTGTGCAGCATGCGGAGATGAAGAGTGCGTGACGGAGGCAAGGGTGGCCTTCGAGGGTAAAACACACTGCCAGCAATTGGAACTTTCTGCTCGGAGTTATGATTCCGCCAAACCCCCTACGTAGGAGGAGCGCCGGACGAAGCGGGTCCTCGAATAAGGGCGTCTCACGGGCAGATGCGCAGTCACGGAACCCCCCTTCAAACCTTCTTCCAAACTACGTCTGCGGATTGTCTCTCAAGTTGTCTGGCGGAAAAGGGTTTCGATGCTGCACAGACGTCTAGAAAATGGAGCGCTTACCTCGTGACGTATCCGCGGTGCCCATTGTACGACTGATTGTACGAGCCGCCCAGTTGGTAAAACACCTGGTTGGCGTCATCGAACGTCATGCTGACGTAGTCGATGGCGCCATTGTCCCCCTGGGCGAGGGTCGACGTGGCAACCAGCGCGGGCGTATCCAGGTTCACTTCGTAGTACTGCGAACGCAGGTGGGCGCGAATACTTTGATAGTCAGGTACTTGTTTTTTATGATAATAACTAAATCGAAATGTTCTAGTAATCAGTAAAAAGCTCAGATTTTGGATCAAGGTTGAGTTTTGGGCGGAAAGAGTCAGAATCGTTGGACCGCACTAAAAAATGCCGGTGCTTGTCGATGCATTGAACAACATGCTTAGTGGACGGTGAAGGGATTGACCTAGGGGTTAAGTCATTCTGGGGTAAAAGTTGGTCCGGCATATATCTTTGGTTCAAGGATTTTGTTATGTCGAGGGCTTACTTTTCACGAAGCTTGGTTGACTGAATCAAAAAGTGCAAGAGGCGGAAACCAGTTGCAGGGTCTCAACCTTCGCTTGATAACCCCTTAACATGAACTCCGCTTATGTACTTGGAAGAAGCAAGAACGGAATTGACACGGCGCCATCTCTATTCAAGTTGCGACGCTGGAGATTTCCGGAAGTTGCAGCGAAACCGTATGAGTTAAGAGAGGTTCGCAATCTTGGAAACAGGAGCTGTCCCTTTGCTTACAGACAAAGCATCTCCGCACTGGCCGACTGGATTTGGACGTTCACGTGTTTGGCTTTCCAAACAACAGATGGCAGAGCAACTCCAAGTTTCCAACCGATGAGCTTAGTATGGTCACGTAAGCAGAAAAAGAAACCAAACAAAGTATAGTGGCAGAGAGACAGAGCTGAAGAAGTAGAAGACAAACGGTTGGCGGAAGCAAAGGGCAGGGCGACGGCCGCATCGAGGAAGGACCAAAAAGAAACAAAGAAAAGGGGAGAAAGAAAAAGCGGGCAGGGTCCGGATTTGAGCAGCCGAGAAAAAAGGTCGGTCCAATCAGAACGGATTGGAAAAATCTCCGAACTTTGCGAATATTGCCGCAGCTCTTTAAAAGCGAACGGCTAATCTTGGCTCTAATGCTCAACGTATAGTGACTTTCAGCGGTGAGGGCTCTTCCGTTCGAGAGGTTGACACTTACGGGTCCAGATCGAAACTTTCAGACGTCTGTCATCCTTCAAAACGAAGCGTAGTGTTGGCGACCGAAAGACGAGGGAGCGACTCATCATACATGTGACGTCAGCCCTCACCTGATTCGCCGTCACGTAGTAACCCCGCCGTCCTGCCACGTTGAACACGACTCCGCCTTCGAAGGGGGCGGGGTTCAAGGTGAGACTGACCCCCTGAACCGGGCTGCTCGGGTCGCTGACGTCATACGTAATGACGCTCGTCCCGACACCTGCCCATAGCGTCTTCTTCACGGGGTCATAGGCTATGGTGGTAAAAGCCGCCGTGGAGCCGAGGTCGGTCGGGTTTCCGACCAGTGTCAAGGCGCCAACACCTGGAAGAAAGAGCGGGCGTTGACACTAGCTAGTCACAGGAAGGATGTGCGCCTAGATAAAGCTGGTTATTGGGTCTTTAACCAGGCCTCAACCAGTGTAGTCTGGTGGTAACAAGGTTGACCTATGCCTAACCAGGCTTGGATGGGTATCGTTTTCTCTGTGACTACGTGGAGTCGTGATCTCAGTATGTCGTGAAAGGTCTGGGCTTGCTTTTGGGCTTGCTTGAAGAAGGAGGCAAGCATATGTTGCCGTTTTCGAGCACCCTTCTATCCTCTTTCAGATTGAGCTTTGTTGGTTCCTGGTCGACACAAGAGCTGATAGCTTCTCCACGTTGAACTTCATATTACGAAAAGGATTGTAACGCACATGACTCACTGAAGCGGTGATGACAAAACGACGTCGCACTGATGCTCAAATAAGATTCATAAATTAATCAAAAATCGACAATTGACATCGGCAATCAACATCGGCAATCGACATCTCCGACCAAGGTGCCAATTGCGTGACACGGATACGCCCAGCCTTAATTGTCCAGATTCGATCATTCGTTGTTTCATTCTCAGCGGCCTTTTGCATTGCAGCTGCAAAGATGCATCATCTTGCTTGCCAGAGTGATGCACCGCATATCCAGACTGCAAAGCGGGAGCCTTTTTTTGGGATTCTCCCTACGTGACGTCCCCTGAAAGGCACCCCACTCACCAGTGTAGTTCAGAATCTGGAACTGCATGTTTGGCCCCGTCTTGGTCGCCATGAACGCAAGACCCCGTTCTATGTCCAGCGCATATCGTTGCACTCGGTTGGCGGGCGTCAGGCTCAGAGAGATATCCGGACAGATGAAAACGTCGCTTGCGTTCAGGGTCAGCGACACCGGGATGCGCCAGAACTGCGCAGAAGAATCGATCGGGCTGAGGCTAATGTGGTTGCATAGCAGTAAAGCACGTTCAGGTGGTAGTCTGGTTGAAGAACCTGCTAAAGAATTTGAACGCCTTCCTGCAAACATTTGTAATCTATGCTGACTTGTTCAAAAGCTGCCTTTTGAATGATTCTGTGAGCGAGTTGCGAAAGGGAAGCCCTACAGCTGGGTTCACACGGCTTAAGGTCGTAAGATGCGCGCCGAAATGCAATACGGAAGGCCTTTCAGTTGCTAGACTTAGTTCGTCTCAGCTCACCCAAGCAACATATGCATCAATCACACGAAAACTATGTTAGAAGTATGAGCTTTCATGCAGCTACATCTGGCTGCCAATCTCTCTTGGACGATGACAATTTTAGCAGAGTCCTTATAGCCTACTGCATTGCCATGAGCTTGACACAGTCTGCACATGGTGATAGGTCAGACTGTATTGTTTGCGCATCTGTTGCTGGACAAGCCTGCGGCTTCCCGGCTTATACATCACTTGCTCAGATTCCCTACTCGTTTTTTTTCTGGCAGGGCTAAAGCTGCGCCTTTCTCCCAGATCAACGAAAAAGCATGCAGGGAGTCGCAAGCAGATCAGCAGGGACAAGACAGAGAAGGGCGGGTTCTGTGGGGCAGCTAAGGTGCTCAGAAAACTTGAAGGTCTAGAACTATTTTAGAAGAGGAAAAGACAACAAGCTTCAATGGATGTTGTCAAATTTGCAGACCTGGGTGTCTATAGCAGCCAGAAGGAACCCCCTGCTCTCATCGAGTCTGACATCCCCATAAAAGCCCGAGCGATCATGGAACTGCAAGTCTGAGAGGATTGTCAACGTATCAGCGTCGCCCCCCTGGCACCCTGGAAAAGCGTCCGCAGTTTGCAGGCCCAGAGCCAGGATTAAAAGGCAGCTGAGCAGGGTTTTGACATGCGGCGCAGAAGGCTGGCTGACGAGGAATGACGCCATGATGAGGTCAGCGACAAGAAAGGGCGTCGATGAGACTCATCAAATGTGTGATCACAGACACACAACCTTAAGGACGATTCAGTTGCCGAAGCCGGAGCTTAATGGACCCTTGAACTCTTGGGCCAGACTTTGGCGCATGCAAAGTCGTCGAGCAGATTGGGTTTTTTTCTGCGACGCCAGGTGTGGTGCCTTGAGGAGTACTTTAACTTTAGATCCGATGGTTGTGGCATGCAATTCCTTTGCGGTTTGGCAGGTGTGTTCAGCTCAGTGGCAGCTTCCACTTTCACTGCAGAAGTTTGGACTCAACGTCGGCCTAGCTTAGCTGGTGGTCTGGACTTGCTTCTGACGCCGATTAATAAAGACTTTTACATTCTTGAGCTTAATTCGAGACGACGGGCCGCCTTGAACCTCAAGAGTGGGTCAGCTGCTGCTGCCATGCGCCGGAACTCGGAACTTCCGAGTCGGAACCCCTCTTCA